CCGCACTACGCGATTCTTGCGTGTCCTATCACAAGCCTCGAGTGGCGATCAGAATCAAACGTCCCGAGGGCCTCCTGTCACGTGCCCTCTTGTCAAACACCGCGATGCTTGCGCTATTTATTATTTATTTATCAATCGATCGGCCGAGTTCGCCAACTCAACCTTCCATCTCCACCGCAGGACGTGACGCAGGAGGAGCAGGAGGAGGAGCGCAAGAAGGAGGAGGAGCAGCTGCTGAAGTGAGCGTCGCCATCGCAGCGCGCAACATCAACGGCAGCGCGGTTCGGGTTCGGGCAGCAGAGGTCGCAAACGGGTTTTGATTCCTTACCCGTACCCAGCCGCACCAGGGTCGCAAACGGGTACCCGTACCCTACCCGATATCCGGCTACCCGTACCCGGCCGGGTATCGGGTAGGGTACGGGTATCGGGTACCAGGTTAGCGACCTCTGCGTCCGAGATCCTCACAGTGGCTTTTGGCTCGCTATCGAACAAAGGCGGTCACTGCATCGCCCGCACGATGCGATTCTGCGGCCGTCTGGAACGCTCTTCCGATATTATGAAGCCACTGGAGCTGTGGACTTTTAAATCTAAATTGAAAACTAATTTCTTTAGAACTGCTTTCTTCTGTGCTCAGTTTGCTGTCCTTCCCCCGCACCTCCGATTGGCATGGTCGGCTATGATACGGTGGTGCAATAGAAGTGCAACACACATACTTACCTCCGACAAAGTCGAGTGCGTTCCATTCCGGTCATAAGTGCAGGCGGCGGCAGCGGTGGTCGTAATGGGGAGTGAAGCCGTCGGTGATGTACATGGTAACGGAGGCCCTGCCCTGCCCTGCTCTTGCTACGAATGTGTAGTCAAATTGGTGCAAAGAAAGCGAGCATTTGGCGACCGGTGTTGCAAATATTTGGTGTGGTGGGGGGGGGGCACGTCTTTGCGAACCGCGGTCCGGATTTGAACCCCCGCGAACCGTCGGTGACCGCGGAGTTACGGCGCTCGTTTCATTTCCTTCCCCTCGTGATTGCTGCGTCGTCTGGCAGGAGACAGGAACTTTCGAACTTGCTGCACGAAAAGAAATACCTGAAGGCTCTCCGCCTCGCCATCTCCCTGGATCAGCCCCACACGACACTGACCGTCATCCAAGGTGAGTGGGGAGACTAAACTGTGAACTAAACTTTTTCATTTTATACCAGTTCAGGCCCACTGAGCTATGAAGCTCTCTTTTTTTAGAACCTGGCCACAAGTGATCGCTCAACGAAGTGGCTTATCATGTGGAAGTTTATAGCAGCCATGTTGATTTAAAATGTGGAGGGAAAAACCCGAGGACCCGGAGAAAAATCCACGCGACCACGGGGAGAGAGACGCGTAAACTCCAAATATACGGCAGGCGTCAGGGTCGGGATCGAACCCACATTGTGAGATGAGATTTCCACCTTAGCTCGCACGTTCGGCTTGCGCGTGGCGCATTTTGCATGGTTTTGCGCCGTCGGTCGGCACGCAGTAACCCCACTCCCTGTGTCATGGCACAGCGATCCTGGATGAGACAGGAGGACGAGAGGACCTGGAGGCCACCATCGCCAAGCTGAGACAGGACCAGAAAGGTGAGGACGGAGGAGGGCCTGGCGGCCGGTAGGGAGGCGTTCTTGCGTCATCGCTGGCCATGATAGTTACGTTCGTGCAAAGGCCGGTGACCCAGACGGACCATCGACTATGCTGGACAGACGGGCAATCCAAAATCCAGTTTGGATGCCAGGATCTGTCCACCGATGGTTTTGTGCGTCCGACATGGCTGTCATAACAAATAATGTTCTGTAGCTACCTTGGATTTTTGGTCGATTCCCATCATGAGTTTTTTTTTCTTCGTGTGGGAGGAAACCGGAAAAGATCCCAATGTACAGAGGGGGTTACACTCAAAGCTTCGCACCGATGGATTCAAGAATCCACGGCTGGCTGTGCCGCCATCTCTTGGTCACCTCGCAGCCCCGTTCGTGCGACACCTGGTATTCCCCGGAATGGCAGTCTCACATCCTGAGCAGTAACCAGGCAACATTTTTTCTGCTTAGCTTCCAACATACTGTGGACACCTGTGAAAAAGAGATTCATAGCTCATCGGATTCCTCCTGCAGTAACACATTCCTGCGGAGGGAGCTGGTAGGAACGTTGGGTTGCTCGGTCAATGGCCAGGGTCAACGGCGGCGTGGTGTATTCCGCAAATATGCTCGACTGTGAGGGCGGGCACAAGCCGGCGTGAGTAGGTTAAACGTTGAGTTTTATAAGGGCACCACGGGGTGACCAGCCCCTCCCCACCCAGCCCCACCCCTCCCACCCCCCCCCACCCAGCCCCTCCCCACCCTTCCCACCCAGCCCCTCCCCACCCAGCCCCACCCTCCCCTCCCCACCCCAGCCCCTCCCTGCACGACGGACGGATGGACACAATAATCCCCTGTGGGCTGTGTAACCAGGAGGGTTCCTACCAGTAATATTCTGATTCTGACGTGGACTTCCTCAAAGGCCAAACCAACGGCCGGGGCCTGCCCTGTTGACTACTGGCCACTCTCACCTCGGTCGCTCGGTCGTCTCACGCCGGCGGGTCGCGGGGAACTTTGTTGCCACAGAGTCGCTGCTCAAGTTCGCCGTGACGTGGAACACGAACTCTCGCAGCTGTCACGAGGCGCACGCCGTGCTCGCCACGCTCTTCCGGCACGTGCCGCCCGGCGACCTCCTGCGCTTCACCAACATGCAGCCTGCCGTTGAGGCGCTGCTGCCCTACAGCGGTGCGTACGGTGGTGGTGGGCGGGGAAGTGGGGCCGGGGTGCACCCGTGGTCCGCCCCTGTTAACTCTCGCGCAGCCATACGTTGGTTGAACTGCCAACTGCACGTCGCACTGCGAATGAATGCTGTGAACTTGGATCAGTTAGTGTTTCTTGTTGGTGAACGGATTGCGAATGAGTGAACCTTGAATAGACATTCCTCATCCCGCGCATGGCTGTAGATCGACAGTCTTATATTTCACTACATTTCTCTATTCGGCGCAGGTTTCTCTTTAAGTGAAGATGGTTCATCTCAGTGGGCAGTGGACCCGGCTAAAAAGTCTGATTGAAGGAATGAAACGGGCACAGCCCTCTTGTCGGCAGCGGGAACGCCTGCGCGCTGTGCAATTAATTGTGAGTCGCACCGTTCGGCTGCGTGTGTACTAATCGGAGGCGCCCCCTCTCTTGACAGAGCGACACTTCCAGAGGATGGGGCGGCTCCTGCAGGCCGCCATGTTTGTGGACTACACATGGAGGAGCATGCGGCTCGTGTCCGACTTCAAGTGAGCGCCCCTCCCCCACTCGCCGCACAAATACATTTGAAGGTTGCCCTCCTTACACACGAAAGCGCTTGCAACAAATGAACAACAATACCTTGTGCTGCCGATCTCGTCAAGGAGCTTAAACCATCGCGCAAACTCCGGTCATTCTCGCAGGAGCGGCTTTTGGCTGGCCATCGAACAAAGATGGTCACTGCATTGCGCGCTGTCAGATGCACTTCTGCAGCCTTCTGGAATGCTCTTCCTTCCGATATCACGAAGCCACCGGAGCTATGCACTTTTAAATCGAGATAGGAAACTCATTTCTTTAGAACTGCTTTGTGTTTAATTTGTTGTCCTTCCGCCGCACCTCCGATTAGCATGGTTGGCTACGTACAACACACCGGTGTGCTGTACTAGTAACGGCTACGTATGGTGGTGCGAAAGAAGTTCAACATACATAGCTCCACGGTCCCGGGCTCCCCCCATTACACCAACCTGCACGAGAACCAGCAGTCAAACCGCTCATGATCGGCACGGCATTGTGGAGGGGCCGTCGTCAAGCTGGACATCTGTGAAAAAGAGCTTTATAGCTCATCGGATTCCTCCAGTATAAATAATCTGATTCTGAAGCAGTGGATTGACAAGAGGGCTGTAAATTGTGGTTGTACACCGTTGACAACATACATTCATCTGAAATGTCTATGCAGGAGCACGGATGCCATGGAGGTGGACGGGGTGGACGCCACTCGGCCGAGCTTCAGGGTAGACAAAGTCGGAGCTCGAGCTCCGAACAGCAATGCCGCCACCGCCGATGCCAGCGACGGCTCCGTGTCCGGGTTCGAGTCAGAGTCCGAATCGTCGGACGATGATGAGCACAAATCCACGGCGGTGCCCAGGACCCGACGCGGCAAGGAAACTCCTGCACCAAAATCCAGCAGCGAGGATTCCGGATCGGAGTCGGAGTTGAGTGAAGAAGATGAGGAGAAAGAACAGCCATGCTCCACTAGTGACGAGGACTCTGCTGCTCCAGGTTTTGAGGCAAAACCGCAAACGAAAGTTGCGGGGAGGGTGACTCGCGCGTGCACCATTGCTAAAGGACAATCGCCCAAGGCTCTAAAGAAGCAAACGAAGAAAGTGTAGTGCCCCGAAAGTTTAGTTTAGTACTGAGCTTAAGGTGGACAGCAGATGGCAACGTCTGTTTATTGTTGCGCTGTTTCTCTATGCTCCTGCACCATCTGCTCCCCCTGCCTTCAAACTACACTGACCAGCAGGAAGTATGAACCCCCCCATGACCAGCATGGCATGGGGAGGCACTCATCCAGCAGTGGATTGACAAAAGGAAGCTCTACACCTACTGGTTATTTTAAATGTGTTGCCCTTTACTGTGCTAATCGTGTGCGCCGGAGCCTCGCCCACCTATAGCTCAACATGCTTTCATCAATAAAATATTCTTACCCTCAAAATGCATGGGATCAATGTGTGAGAACTGGTGTCAAGTTTAAATTATTTAGTGATGTTACAATAAGACTAAGGGAAGCAAGTAAAGCCATACAAATGAAATGGTAAAATTGAGAATTATCAATTGTTGAATTGGTATCATTGTAATAATTTATTGGAATCACAGGGTTGGCAGGGGGTGTGAATGTAACCAACCGAGCCACGGTCTCCAGCTGTTCACTCATAAGTGACAAATAAAACTCGTACACTCTTTAACGGTAACTTCAAGTTACTCTTTATTTGCCGAGCCATTTACGCGCGCGACTTGCATTGATCCGCGTGACATTCCGTACGCGCAGCGACGGCAAAACTCTATTTTAAATTATACAAGGAAATATGCGACTGGAGGTGGTGGGACGAAATAACTTCCTTTCCGACTGTTGGTGGTGCCAACAAAGCAACGCATCTCTGATGACGGTGGTGGTGGGGGAGTGAGCGTGCGCCCGCGTTCGGAAGCCACCAGATTCGTTGAGCGTCGTGTTGGCGGCCGTTGCTTAGAAGTTCTTGAGCCATTCAAGGCTGTTGCCCTTTTTCTCGCATGGGTGTTGCGGCACGTCGGGCATGTTGCCGTCATCCCGCACAGGCACTGCCGAGGGGGGGGGGGGGGGTGGGGGCGCGATGCATTTGGAAATAGTTGAACGTTCACGCCAAGATCAGCTGAGTAGGAACGAGCACAAGGACGACACTTCGATTCAAATCGATATCGTACCACGCATAACGTGCACGTTGAATCGTGCGACTAGATTATAAATAACATTCGAAAGGATGAAGTGCTATTACATTTAGATGCATGGAGAGAGCAACTCTATGAATGAGTACGAGAGAGCAACTGCTCGTAACTTTTAACGAGGTCGTTTGGAGACAAAATAATTGGTTATTGAATTGAATCCTGAATTTTTTAATTCGGGTTCATAAATCCCAAGCAGACATGGGTCGAATTACATCTAAAGGCATTTGCACGTGTCTGCTTTGAATGGTGCCGTGCGACATTGGTGAAATATTTGTTTTAAATATTTGAGAAATCAGCGATAGTGACGGTAACGTCAATGAATATGGGTGTCCCGTTTGGAAAAAAAATACTAAACTTGTTTGCTCACACCCGTTCATGCTTGTGTAACACACAGACTCACAGCTTACGTTGTGAAGTGAAAGTCAGAAGACTTAATACAGTAATTTCCAAAACGTAACCGAACTTATCGAGTAACTCACCCGGATAGTAGTACGGGCTCGCCAGGCTCAACTTTCTCGAGTACTTGGTGAGGGGGCTCACGAATGGCAGAATCAGCGCTGTGGGGCAGATGGTGGCGGATAGACCAGATGGGACAGGGAGAGCAATAATAAAAATAAGTAATATTTAAAAATACTTTTTTTTAAACACGCTTTAATAAAATGTACCCTACTTGTAACGGCAGAACTCCACGACTTCAGGAAGTGGTCGCAAAGCTTGCCATAACGTAAGGGGCCGTGATGATTTACAGCCAACGTCAGTTGAACGTGGACAATTAGACCCAAGCCGAAACATAACATATAAAAATGAATGTTTAAATACAATTTTTTATAGAATGTAGTATTGTCATCAGTATGACATAAGTATACCAAGTTTGCAGTCGATATCACATTGGGAAGTGGGTTAAAATTGAGTTACAAGATTTGAGGATGCGACAACAGTGAGTTAAATAAAAGCGTGTAAAATGAAAAATACCCTTAAACCATCCTCCCCTCTTGCCACCTTCCCGAAACCACCAACCCACACAGGTAGCCACTGGTGACAGCAGTTGCCAGAGACAGAAGACTGAGGGTTTTATGAGTCGAATCCCACTTTAGCATACTAACCATCTATCTAGGTTATACTTAATGTGTCACATAGGGTAACAACAGCACACTCTTGTAAGCATTGTATGTTGAACTTCTTTCGCACCGAATGTAGCCAACCACGTGTGAATCGTAAGTGCAGGATTTAAAAGTACATAGCTCCAGTGACTTCCGATTATTGCAAGTGTTCCGCAGAAGCGCATCTGAAAGTACTCTTAGGTTTTTTCAGTAAAGTCACGTAGGAAAAAAATTAATAATAAAAATAAAGAATATAAAAAAGAAATAAAATAATAAATCAAGTTTCGGAGGCAACACAAGCTTCCGAAAGTCTGATTTATTATTTTGTTTCTATTCTTTTTTTTTCTACGTGACTTTACCGAAAAAACCTAAGAGTATGAATCCTTGCAGTCACGAAAACTTCACATCTAGCATCTGAAAGTGTGCGATGCCGTGACTGTCTTTGTTCGATGGTTAGCCAAAAGCCGCTGCGAGGATGACCGGAGTTTGCGTGATGATTTATGTTCCTTGACGAGCTCAGCGAGGTATTGTGGTCCATTTATGACAAGCACTTTGTGTGTAATGAGTGCGACCTTTGAATGTGTTCGTTCAGCAACTGGAAGCCAATGCAGTTCAGCGAGCACCGGGCGGACATGGTCGGATCTTGCAGTGCCCGTCACGTATGGTACAGTCACAGGGTCTTGGGGTCATTAAATTGCAACTGCATAGCACACGGTAATTATCCACAAAGGCTGAGTTGGCCAAGTGGCTCACGTCACCAAGCTTGCACCACTGAGATCCTGAGGCTCAACTCCCACGTTTCAACCACCTGATTTAACCAGATTCTCAAGTGTAGGCCACTTGATGGTGTCGGCCATATCACCGCGATGGCTGTGTTAAGTAAACAATTACATTGAGTTTTTTGACAATGTGGTCTTTTTCCAGTTCGCCAGCTTGAAAGAGATTGCTTTTGTTGACACGTCATCAACACTTTGCAGGGGGCAAATAAAAGGTGACTCCCGCCCCCCCCCAGTGTGGGAAATGGCTTCTGGAGTCACTTCAGAATTGGTTCCTTGACGTCATCCTCCGGGACCGTTCTGGTCGCGTGGTGTTAAGTTGCTCAATGTGCTGACAATGCGAGTGGCGTTATAATTAGGAGGGACAAAAAAAATGCTACATTTAGAACAAAAAAACGTCAAGGCTGTCACCGATATCAAACCATCCGTGCAAATCCGACAAAGTCGTGAAAGCGTGGCCCACAATGCCATCCCGCCACGAGGCTTCAACACAAAACCGCCGTCGCCACAATTACCGATCGTGCCGATTCCCAAGGACGCCATGATCACTGGCTCCTTGTTCCACAGGTGCTTGAGGTAGGCTGCGCTCCATGCAGAGGAATGACAGCAAAACAAAGACCCTCGTGTTAAGATTTTTACAAGGCTCTGCCGGGATTTGACTTGCGGTAAGGGCAGGGGGCAGGATGAGAGCTAAGTTTGGGTTGGACAAGGGTCTGGTTACCGTAGCTATGGCGAGGACTAGGGTGAGCTTGCCTAGTTAGGGTTAGCAGTAGAGCTGCTGTCTGCTTCATTCGTGTCCACCCACCAACCCTGTGTGGATTCATCACTTTTGATTCACCAGTCACTTGCCGTGTTGACAGCCCTGTGTGATACTGTTAACAATCAGAGCAGAATCAAGTGGCATCTGAGCTGGGAAAAACTCGTGGCATCGACCAATAAATAATTCACTGCTATAACAGTGAATTTCCAATGATGTGCCCTCTTCAAGGGTTGGCACAATCGTATTGCCGACTCCCCCCTTTAAAAAATAACTTTACAAACTACACAATTTTTTTTACTTAACCAGGTAAGGCCCACTGAGCTATAGAGCTTTTCATTTTCAGAAGCGACCTTGGCCCACACATGATATCTCAACCAAGTGGCTTATTGCGGGAATTTATCTCAACAAAATACAAGAAACGCGTGCGGTTGATTCGATATGTGGAGAGAGAGAGAGAGACACGCAAACTCCATATATACAGCAGCAGCAGCAAGCGGTCAGGGTCGGGATCGAACCCACGCCGCCCTCCTGTATACCAGGCGAGGTAGTTAACACATCGAGACGATCGGTTAAGTCCGTGCACACGCTCTGCCTTTGCTCCGTCTATGCCAGGGGTCGGCAACCAAAATAACAAGAAGAGCCATTTCTTTCCAATTCGGTACAAAATTCAGTATTTCAAGAGCCGCAATGCATCTGAGTACATACTGTACATACGTACTCATCGTCAAGAAGCAGCCCGTAAAGAGCCGCATGCGGCTCCAGAGCCGTAGGTTGCCGACCCCTGGTCTATGCCTACAAATGCACTTCTCGTTGTAAACGTATTTCCATTTCGCATTGGCGTCATCGTTATAATGACGAATTGGGGACAAAAACCCGACGGTCAGGATTTAGAAAGAGCGATGCCACCAGTGTGGATAGCGCAAACGCGCTCGCCGCGAACCAGGCAACCCCAAGGTTCGATCCCGGCTAACATCAGCGGCGGCGAACGCTACTGGGAACCGGTGCTGCGGCCAGCAACAACCAGCACTGTCACAGTCGTCATCGCGCCAGGGGTGAGCGCGTCACTTGAATTGTTGCAAGGTTACGCAGTCGTAGCCGCCTCCACCCCCGACTATGCCCGCAGCAACGCAGCCACAGCCGCTCAATAAACACGACTCGTCAACAAACATCTGAGGCGTAAACAATAAACAACACGAAGCGTTACGATCATTCGCAACAACGGCCACAGCAAACCACAGCAGCGCACCACCCACACGCGCGTTTCTTCGGTTTCAAACCCGGGCCGCAAAGCCTCTTTAAAACGCGGGGCAATTTCGATTTGCTTTTAAAGTTTTTATCTTCGCCGCTTGACGAATTCACGACGCCGGCCCGCTTGAGAGTGACACCGTGGGCTGTAATCGCGACGATCCCGCGACCGTCACCACACACACGGCGGAGTGAGGGAACTCACCGCCGAACGCCATCGCCACCACCGGGTACCGCGTGACCTTGGGGGGTGTGGGCGGGGCAGAGCGGGGGGGGCGGGGCTATAGAGGGGGCGGGGCGATAGAGGGGGCGGGGCTATAGAGGGGGCGTGGTTATGCAGATAGGGAGGGGTGGGACGGTAGAGGGGGCGTGGTTATGCAGATAGGGAGGGGTGGGACGATAGAGGGGGCGTGGTTATGCAGATAGGGAGGGGTGGGACGGTAGAGGGGGCGTGGTTATGCAGATAGGGAGGGGCGGGGCGATAGAGGGGGCGTGGTTATGCAGATAGGGAGGGGCGGGGTGATAGAGGGGGCGTGGTTATGCAGATAGGGAGGGGCGGGGCGATAGAGGGGGCGTGGTTATGCAGATAGGGAGGGGTGGGGCGATAGAGGGGGCGTGGTTATGCAGATAGGGAGGGGCGGGGCGATAGAGGGGGCGTGGTTATGCAGATAGGGAGGGGCGGGGCGATAGAGGGGGCGTGGTTATGCAGATAGGGAGGGGTGGGACGGTAGAGGGGGGCGTGGTTATGCAGATAGGGAGGGGTGGGGCGATAGAGGGGGCGTGGTTATGCAAATAGGGAGGGGTGGGGCGATAGAGGGGGCGTGGTTATGCAGATAGGGAGGGGCGGGGCGATAGAGGGGGCGTGGTTATGCAGATAGGGAGGGGCGGGGCGATAGAGGGAGCGTGGTTATGCAGATAGGGAGGGGTGGGACGGTAGAGGGGGGCGTGGTTATGCAGATAGGGAGGGGTGGGGCGATAGAGGGGGCGTGGTTATGCAAATAGGGAGGGGTGGGGCTATAGAGGGGGCGTGGTTATACTGGTAGGGAGGGGTGGGACGATAGAGGGGGCGGTGTTATGTATAAGAGGGCGGGGTCAATGGGAGAGAAAGAAGGCGTGGTCGAGGTGGGTATTGGTCTTGTCGATATAGTGAGTTGGCAGAGCATGTGGGGGGGGGGGGGGGACTACATGGCACCTGTTGGGTGTTTGTCCCGACACCTCCTGTCAGCAGGAGTGCACCTAGCCTGGCACAGACGCTGTGGTGACGGCACCGTCACTTAGTGGCGAACGGCGGATGTTGGTATTGGTCATATCGATAGGTGCGGGGCTAAATGTGGGCAAGGTGAGAAGGGGGGCAGCGGGGAGCGGCCGTTAGGTTGATGGCCAATCGAGAGCAAATTATGAAAAATAAGAAGAGGACTTACCCCCTAGTCTGACAATAAAACAGGACGCGTTAAGATGTTCAGACCACAAATATAAAGCGTTTTTCAACGCATAATATCTGCATTATCCACACATATTTGTGGAAAACATGTAAACAAACATGCTCTGATAACACTGGTCAACACACTTTTTCTGGCATAAGGTATTCCAACGGTGTGAATGTAATTTTGGGGTGCTGATTCCAAATCTGGCATCAGTTTTTGTCTATCACATCAGGTTTTTGAGATATCAAAGATTGCATTTTCAATAAAAACTGCAGAAGAAAAACATTAAATAAATGTGGATATCTACATAAAATTATATTATAAACACACTATCCTAAAAATACAGCACCGTATTTTAACACTAAAGCAGTCACTGACTCGCATCAACTTGCAATCATAAGTGACAAAGTTTATTTCGGGTAAAATCAATGAAAATGGGGTATGCCGATAGCATAAAAATGAGATGTGATAGAGCAAATTTGAGATCAGATTTGGAATCAGCACCCTGAAATTAGTTTAAAACAGCTGCAAATGTCCAGGCCAGAATTTTGTTGTTGTTGACCAGTGTAATGCACGCATTGTCTTTGAAACTGATTGACCTGCACCAGAGACGGCCTTCTTTATGGCCTTGCCTCACCGGTGTTAGACCAGAGAACGCCAACAGGCGAACAGCACAATGACAATGCAAGTAGCAGAAGACGTATAGCTCGAGTCGAGCAGTTATATCTATGGGACCAAGAGGAACTCCACAAAAACCTTGGATTGCGAACATAATTCGTTCCGGAAACGTGTTTGTAATCCAATGCACTCGTATATCAAAGCACTCGTATATCAGTTGTGATCACGTGACGCTCGGCAGACGAAGCATATACACGTACTACTCGTATTGCAAGACCTCGCTCGTTTATCAAATTCATTTTAAAATGTTTTGCTCGTCTTGCAAAACACTCGCAGACCAAGTTACTCGTAATCCAAGGTTTTACTGTATGATAGATTAATTCTGCCAAACCCAAATGTGGATCATTGTTAGTCGGTTCTAAGTGATTTGACAGCTTAAATTCTGTGTCTGAGAGTTGGTGGATTGAATATTAATATGTTGGGGCAGTGACGAGTTCTACGGTCCCATAGTTTGGTTGTTTGTAGCTGCAGTCACGCACATACATGTTCTGTTTTCCCACGTTGTGCGTTCGGTTATTTAATCCGCAGATTAGGTTGAAGGCGCTCCATGCCGGCGCTATCAGATGGCTCGTCACGTATCAGACCACGTGTATATATGTGTAGTGACTGACTCAGAGAGACTAAGAGTAGGATGCACTCTGTTTATTAACACGGCCTGACAGTAACACTTAGTAACTACAGTTCCCAGTCAGGACAGCTGGTAGACTGCCTGACTGACGACGCCGAGACGGTGAAGACGGAGACGATGGTGAAGACTTCAGCAGCATGACGGAGATCCCACTCCACACGACAGCCCCGAGGTCCCCTCCCGGGGCCCCTCTTATACTGGGGGGCGTGTCCTGACTCCGCCCCGAATGCCACGCCCCCTTCTGGAACCTACTAGCGGGTTCTCGATGTGCCCCTTCCGTAACCTTTCCCCTCGATCCCTCTTTGGTCTGTCACGTGACCTGCTGTCAGTCAGGGCTGTTGTAAAGCTGCAGACCCCCTTCCCTGCCATCAGCCAGCGCTATGGTGCTACGTGACCGATTCTATGTCACTCCATGTGTACTGTTGACCAAATGGCATGAAGTTGATGTGATGTATAACGATTTGAACCACGGTTTGAAGGTGAGGTTACACGTTTATTTGTTTAACCACTGTTTAACTCAATAAACCAGGATAGTCTCATTTGAGTCACGTGGGTAACCAAAATTACAACAGCACAGCAATGAAGGAAATCGAAATCTGTACAAAAACAACCGTGTCCCATGATACATTTAAAATACTGGATTACACAAACACAAATTAATGTTAAGTAATACATTACCCATAGCAAAAAATTGGCTAGGGCAGATTATGTTAAAACTGACAGTCGTTCAATTAGAAGTTACATGAACATTAAACAAATATAGGAAACGCCTTTAAAATATGCACTTGTGTAGTAATGTATTTGAATCCATAATAGTTTTTTTGGGTTAGATCACGTAAAACAAGGGGTGTCGTTAACCCTGCCACCACCCGACACAGCCAATTTTTAAGGTTTGTCACTGAAACAAAACATGCCAATTCGTTACTAGTTCACCAAACTGGTGTGTTGGAGAGTAAACTTACAACATTTATATTTCGAGTACGACGTTTCGCCTGTAATTACAACCAGCCTCATCAGGCGACAGCCAGAGTTGTGGCTGTGTCGGGTGGTGGCGGGTTTAACAACACATTTACGCGATCTAACATAAAAAAACCTTTATTATGGATGTTTGTCGTAAAAGCCCACGTGTTAAGAAATTTTAAATGTTGATTCATCAGATTTTCATACCGTTAACATGATCAGCTTACTTTAGCAGCCACATACCCAATGCAATCACCATCGATTGCATGATAAAAACAAGGCTAAGTAATGCACATTATAGTCTGCTAGCCACATGTGTCACATGACCTCCGTATTAAGCATTGCACAACTTATATTCAAACGTGAATAAACTCACTCCTTGCATTACAAATATGCTACGGGTAAATATGGTTTTTAGAAACAATATCTTAATTCAATCTTAATTTGAAGCTTTCGTGACTGCAGGAATCCATACTCTTTGGTTCTTTCGGTAAAGTCACGTAGGTAGAAATAAAATCAAATAATTCTAGATTTGAAGCTTTCGTGACTGCAAGGAGTCATACTCTTAATTATTTCGGTAAAGTCACGTAGGTAAAAAATGAAATTAAAATTAATAAAAATAAAACAATAAAAATCACGACGTTTCGGAGGCAACACACGGTCCCACCTGATGACGGAGACTTGTGTTGCCTCCGGAACGTCGTGATTTTTATTGTTTTATTTTTATTAATTTTTATTTCATTTTTTACCTACTTGACTTTACCGAAAGAACTAAGAGTAAAAATCAAATAAATCACGACGTTTCGAACGCAACACAAGCGTTCGTCTTCAGGTGAAAATCGCGATAGCTGCGATGTCTGCTGCGAGCAGACATCATAGCGAGAGTTTAGCAACTGTAACGTCTAAGTTTCTGTGCCATTAGTTGGAGTCAAACAATTCAAGGAATTCAGAACAAAAACGTATTCGTCACCACTTTGACTTTTAAACAAGTATTTTGTTTTTTAAATCTAAAATGGACAAGATACCCCTATCCTATATCAACCACGGTTGTCAATTGCATACAATACACATTTGTATATACTTCCCATATTAATAAAACAACTGAATATATGGCAATCACCTGCAAATAAAATGCTTCACACAAAACTCAACATTGTATTCCCATAACCATGACTAACTTCGTTACGCTTTATACTGCCAATAATAACAGGCACATTGCTCCTCTAAATCGGCACATTTCAGTTTGAGATATGTTGACTAGCTGAAACATTTTAAAGGTACTCTTTGCCCATGTTGTTTTGTTGACAATAATCATCTATTACATAAATCCTGAGGTTATATGACTTCCTCATTGTTGCCAATATGTAAGCCTTATCCCCTGATTGTCAACGTAACGTTTTAAATTGCTAATGGTGCAATTACTGCAGCACGCGCTGTCATAAATCACATCATTTGCATCAAGACAGTAAACCAGTATATTCACGTTTCGTGTTGAGGAAGTTGTTTCGCGTCCTTCATTGGGCCATTTCACACTACGGCATAAACGTGCGAACCGCCTCTCTCACGGCCGCGCGGCAGATGGGGCAATTGGCCAGGGAGGAGGCGCATTCTTGGCATGCCACCAAGTGGCCGCACGGCACGAAGACGACGGACACTTCATTGTCCATGCACACCTTGCACGTGTGCCGATCCTGCAAGCGCCTGAGCTCCTCTTCGGTCCTCTTGTTGGTCAGGGCGTCAGCTGTCCGTTCTTCCACGGGTGGTTTGGGGGCAGGGTGAAAAGGGTCGCTTCCAGCTGCGGATGAATTTGTTGTCATTCCATAAGCAGCAGTCGCGGGCTTCTTCTGCTCTTCAACGGGTGGATTGGGGGCAGGGTACCAAGGGTAGTTTTGATAGATTCCAGCCACGGGTGCCATGACCAAGGAGATCGAGCGAGGGCGAGAATACAGAGGCGGCTGCTCTCCAAACACCGCGAGCATGACATGAACGAGTCCCAGCAAATCCGACGCGTGAGCTTTCCACTCGTGCAGGTAGGGCAGGTAGACGCGGCCATCTTTACCCACGTGCTTGCCCTCCTTGATCAGCATGCTGCTCGTGGGCTTCACAAAGCAATAGGGAGGCTGGTACGGATGCGTGTGAAACAGCCAGACTTGCACTGGGATGTTGTAGATAGTCCCCTTGTAATGCACGGGTATGGTCCCACTGAGGTTCACGAGTTCCTTTGAGCTGCCATCATCAAACACGCACGTGTCAACACCTGCTCTCAAATCCCTATAAGCGGCAATCAGGTCCACGGCGTCTTTGGCCGTCACGTCCTTGTAGGTGTACCCGCACCTGGTCAGCAGCATCTTGACGCTTTTCTCGGTGGGAAGCGCCATGGCTCCGAGCGGCTGGGCCGGTGGCTTGCGGCTGACACGGGAGGCGATGGGACGCGCGTTTGGGATCTCGCTCTGCGGTGTCCGCGGCACGGAGGAGACGAACCGCGTCGCTTTCTTGAGATCTTCAAAGTCACGGCAGACGGGCCAACTGGGAAGACGCCTTTCACGCCCTCGCACCCGTCGACGATGAGAGAGAGAGGAGAGGGGGTGGTGCTTTTGACGCAACTGGACGACTGATATTTCCTTAAAAGAGAGAGCAAAAAATGTTAACTATGTCCTGTCGTTTTGGGACAGTGACTTTGAGGGGCCTTACGGGAAATGTCACCGATTATATATTTCATTTGACGGCCACATTGTTGTTGGCGCAGCCAGTGGTCGGCATCCTGTCAAACTTTGGCGGCCCCCTTGCGGGCAGCCGTTTATAAAAAAAAAAAAACAATTGTATTTGGTTCTTTAAACCCTCTAAACTAGCAGGGGTGGGTAACCTTTTATCTGCCAAGGGCCATTTGGATATTTATAACATCATTCGCGGGCCATACAAAATGATCAACTTAAAAGTTAGCCCGTTATATTTGGTCAAACAATTAATTAACTCACCCCTAATGCGATGGCTGGAACGGCTTCTCTTTGGCGAGGCGTGTGATGATGTTAGTTGGTATTGATGATGTTGCTGCTACTCGCAACTGCTTTTCCAGGTTTGCTCCCAGATTTATTGAATTTCGAGTCCCGCCTGCTGTTGCCTTGGCAGGGCCAGACCCATATGATTTCGCGGACGTTCCCCACCCCAAACTCACGGCTCCAGAGCCACGTGTTGGCTCTTCGGCTGCCCCATTGCGGCTCCTTGCGAGCAGCCGTTTCATTTAAACGAATCTGAAATGTAATTTGACGTAAAGACGATGTATTATTTATGGCAGGGAATGGGTCACTGTGAAATGTCTTGACGACAACAACATGTTACAGTCAAACTACATTTACGTTATGAGACCTCCTTTACCAGTGGCAAAATATAGTAGTAGGTTTTTAACCTTTAAACTGATACAAAAACTGACACCTTTATACGAGGCATCATGTTTGCAATAACCACAACACAAGCAGTCAAAATGCAAACAAAATGAAACAACTCTGATAATGATATGCACCGTCCTTGAAGTGCATTGGTCCACACCCGAGAAAGCTTCAACTTCAAGGACAGTGCATATCATTATCAGAGTTATTTCTTTTTGTTTGCATTTTGACTGCTTGTGTTGTGGTTATTGCAAACATGATGCCTTGTATAAAGGTGTCAGTTTTTGTACGAGTTTAAAGGGTAAAAACCTACTGCTCAAACTGCATTGTTTAAAACATAACTCAGCGAGAAATCTCTCTCCACCCGCCACCCCCCCCCCCCCTGCTAAGTAGACGCAGTTTATTTCATCACCTATTGTGTGCGATTCAAGTCGGAATGTGTTCGTCACCTTGTCGTACACCTGCTGCTGCGCACGTATACAAATAGCTCTGCGTGCGATGCGACTCTAAAGCTATGCCGGTTATCTCTCTCTCTCTCTCTCTGCTTGTGTGTCTGTCTGTGTGTCTCCGTGTCTGTGTTTTGTCTCTCTCTCAAATGTATAAATCTTTGGAAGAACGTAATCAACCAGGTGGGGTGTTGACTGTTGTGTTGGCCGACTCTCTGTGATGTATTGCATTATATTTCTAAATGACTGGGTTTGTTTTCTCTTTCGTTTGTACCTGATGACGATTGCTTGTGTTGCAATCGAAACGTCATATGCTATTATTTAATTTATTTTCTTTCTACGTGACTTTACCGAAAGAACCAAAGAGTCATTCCTGCAGTCACGAAAGCTCCAAAGAAAGTTTTTTACGGCTCTATCTTATTCTTCTTTGAAAGGTTGCCGATCCCCCCCGGCTCTGAAGTTGTCGCACAGGCGGTCTCCGGATCGAGAGGGGTCATTCGAGGTGGTTCTGGCACCCGGTAAGGATGCCCCCCCCCCCAGGTAGACTCCACCTGGACCCCTACCGGGCAGCAGCAGCAGCAGCAACGTCCCACTGGGCTAAGACCGCGGGGCCGGCCCAGGACCACGCTGATGCTGCTGCTGATGCTGCTGCTGATGCTGCTGCTGATGCTGCTGCTGATGCTGCTGCTGATGCTGCTGCTGATGCTGCTGCTGATGCTGCTGCTGATGCTGCTGCTGATGCTGCTGCTGATGCTGCTGCTGATGCTGCTGCTGATGCTGCTGCTGATGCTGCTGCTGATGCTGCTGCTGATGCTGCTGGCGGGCCGTGCCGCTCGGCTGGCCTGGGAACACCTGGGGATTACCTAGGAAGAGCTCGAGTCTGTGCATAGTAGTGTAGTGTATAGTAGTTCATAGTGTCGTAGTGTATAGTGTAGTATAGTAGTGTATAGTGAAGTAGTGTATAGTAGTGTATAGTAGTATATAGTAGTGTATAGTAGTTTATAGTGTAGTAGTGTACAGTAGTGTATAATGTACAGTAGTTTTATATTGTAGTAGTGTATAGTAGTTTATATTGTAGTAGTGTACAGTAGTGTATAGTAGTTTATAGTGTAGTAGTGTATAGTAGTTCATAGTGTAGTAGTGTACAGTAGTGTATAGTAGTTCATAGTGTAGTAGTGTACAGTAGTGTATAGTAGTTCATAGTGTAGTTGTGTACAGTAGTGTATAGTAGTTTATAGTGTAGTAGTGTACAGTAGTGTATAGTAGTTTATAGTGTAGTAGTGTACAGTAGTGTATAGTAGTTTATATTGTAGTAGTGTACAGTAGTGTATAGTAGTTCATAGTGTAGTAGTGTATAGTAGTTCATAGTGTAGTAGTGTACAGTAGTGTATAGTAGTTTATAGTGTAGTAGTGTATAGTAGTTCATAGTGTAGTAGTGTACAGTAGTGTATAGTAGTTTATAGTGTAGTAGTGTATAGTAGTTCATAGTGTAGTAGTGTACAGTAGTGTATAGTAGTTCATAGTGTAGTTGTGTACAGTAGTGTATAGTAGTTTATAGTGTAGTAGTGTATAGTAGTTCATAGTGTAGTAGTGTACAGTAGTGTATAGTAGTTTATAGTGTAGTAGTGTACTAGTAGTGTATAGTAGTTAGTAGTGTACAGTAGTGTATAGTAGTTCATAGTGTAGTAGTGTACAGTAGTGTATAGTAGTTTATAGTGTAGTAGTGTAAGTAGTGTATAGTAGTTCATAGTGTAGTAGTGTACAGTAGTGTATAGTAGTTTATAGTGTAGTAGTGTACAGTAGTGTATAGTAGTTCATAGTGTAGTAGTGTACAGTAGTGTATAGTAGTTCATAGTGTAGTAGTGTATAGTAGTTTATAGTATAGTAGTTCATAGTGTAGTAGTGTACAGTAGTGTACAGTCATGTATAGTAGTTCATAGTGTAGTTGTGGGGGCCGACGTCCACTTCCTCCACTCCCCCCTCCTCGGCCGCCTCTCGCCGGGCCCGCCGATTGGGTGATCAGCCCCCCCCCCCCCACGCCAGCTCCCTCTCTGAGGGGCATGGCTTAGTGGCTGGCTCACCACCGCCCGGAGTTATCCCACACACTCCCCACGTACACCACCCCTCATGCGGAGGTGGCTGCGTGCACGCGCGCGCCCCTGCAGGCGCTCTTTGCTAAAAATAGCCGTATGAATATGCCAGCGCCCCTCCTGGTGGTTAAGCCCTAATCCGCGTGCCCGCAATGCTAATGCTGTCAACTGAACATGCACACCTACCCCCCCCGTGGATAAGCCTTAATCCGCGGTGTACCACTACTAATGCTACACGAAAAAGGGGATGACCTGCGGCACGACCCTGGGTAAGGCTATTTTACATGCTTTTATTTAACTCACTCTGTCTGTTGTCGTATCCTCAAATCTTGTAACTCAATTATAACCCACTTCCCAATGTCGTATCGACTGCAAACTTGGTATACATATGTCATACCGATGACAATACTATATTCTATCATTAAACATTAAAAAAATATTTTTAAGTAATCTTTTGTATATCTTATGTTTCGGCTTGGGTCTAATTGTCCACCCTCAACTCATGTAAATCACCAAAGTCCCTTACGTTATGGCAAGCTTCGGGGCCACTTCCTGGAGTTGTGGAGTTCTGCCAGTACTCGTACAGTACATTTCATTAAAGCGTGTTTAAAAAAGAGTATTTTTAAATATAACTTATTTACTCTGTAAACGCGCTGTGTAAATGCGCGTGAACGCCAGCGAGTGGGTGGATCGCCCTCACCCTCCGTCCCAATTACTCACGCGGCGCTGCAGACATGCGAAACTGCCCGTAGGTCGGTAAAGATAGTAATCTATGCGCAAACGACAGGGAGTGGATTTAGCGCACCCCGACCCCCACCTTTATCACTCACGCGGCACAGCAAGTGCGAGTTTTGTACACACTCGAACGAAAACCCGCATAAACAATGACGGTCAAAAAGATGGTAATCTACGCGCACCTCACACCCTGCCCCCGCACGCAGTACCGCCACTCAAAAATCACAGACACCACGCCGAAGTTCACCCACACACACAGAAATCACACTACACCGATCCTTTGAACTGAAGTTTATGAATGGCTCGTCTAAAGAAAAACCCTGTGCGGCCCGGAGTAAATATTCTACGAGCAACGCCTAACCTATCTCTATTCAATCTCTGGGTGTACCCCCACTCTACTTCTCACCTCGCAGACACACTCACGGTGTGTCTGCGAGGTGGAGTCGGAGGGATGATGATCCGAGAGGTCTCTGCCTGGGGTCGAGTCATAGCGGCACTCGCGTCTCTCGGATGTTGCGAGCGGCTGGGAGTCGGACTGGACGGCTGAACGGCTGGAGGAGAACTCCTTAACGTTTTTCCGCTCCCTCCTTTTATGCCCTCGGAATCCGACGATCCAGGGTCACGTGGTGTTACCCTGCGTGGGCAATCGGGCGCCTACCTTTTGATTTTAAACCGATGCCCCGCCCCTACCTGGAGCGTTACTTTCCGTTATGCCTCGATCCATTGTCTACGCACCCATCCTCCCCACCCTGGACTCAACCGGTTTGATTGGGGTGGCCGTCCCGCGGAATACACATTTGCAGTGTGTCTAGGAATTTCCCTCCCACCTCCTCATCTGCGCTGCCCGCGTAACATTTCCCCCCCTGGCCCCTCCCCCGTGCTGTGAGTGTCTCATTGCGGTTAGCCCGGTGAGCTTCTGTGCGCCCATATAATGCTTAGCCAATTTAAGGGGGGCCGCAATGTAATTTGGCCTGGGGGTACGGCCAATCTCCTGGCACTGGGAAACTGTGGGATATCCCCGCTAGGGGCCCTTCGGATGAAAACCCATGGTGCCAGGAAACCCCCCCTCCGGGGCCCTACGTGTGTGCATGTGTGCATGTGGTGTGTTTAGTGAGGGGGGCAGGAGGGAGTCACAGCGCTTGCGGTGTTGCTCCGCGGTCGTGGCACCACATAGTAGTGTACAATAGTGTATAGTAGTGTATCAGTGTATAATAGTTCATAGTGTAGTAGTGTACAGTAGTTCATAGTGTAATAGTGTATAGTAGTTTATAGTGTAGTAGTGTATAGTAGTTCACAAGTGTAGTAGTGTACAGTGGTTTATAGTGAAGTTGTGTATAATAGTGTAGTGTATAGTAGTTCATAGTGTATTAGTTTATAGCGTAGTAGTGTGCAGTAGTTTATAGTGTAGTATGGTTTCGTAATTTATAGTGTAGTAGTGTACATTATAGTGTAGTTGTGTATAATAGTGTAGTGTATAGTAGTTCATAGTGTAGTAGTGTATAGTGTAGTAGTGTTTCGTAATTTATAGTGTAGTAGTGTATAGTGTAGTGTAGTCGTGTATAATAGTGTTGTGTATAGTGGAAAGTAATGTAGAGCTCGAGTCTGTCGCCAGGGAAAGGGAGGTCTGGACCACCACTACTCAACATGCTGTTGTTGTGTATAGTGTAGTGTACAGTGTATATTGTAGCGTAGTGTATAGTAATGTAGTGCTGTCGCCAGGGAAAGGGTGGTGTGGACCGCCACTACTCAACACGCTATTGCCGAGACCCTCACCGGGACAAGCAGACTGAGAAACAAAGAATCGAGCGATGTATTCCTGGAAACCCCGTTGTAAATGGGATCGTCGTAAATGGAACTCTACTTTCCTATAGATGCAATGTTACCATGTTGGTGACAACCGTATGGGTTTACCATACCCGTCAACCCTCACGGTTTACCCCGTATTCTTGTACAAGGGAAATTTAGTTTTCAGGTACACACGGCATACAGACGTTTAAATTCGGGCAACAAAAATGTTGTCTTATTTGTTTGCGTTTCTCCCTTGTGATGGGACTTCGCAGGATGAGCGTTGAGATTTATGAGGGGCACGGGGTGACCAATAAGGTCTGAATTGTTCTGTAATAAGGTAGCGCAATAATAAGGGGTTGACGGCTATGTTTTACTCAGAGGGAAAAACACAATTAAGTACACAGTTTATTCCATCACCAAGTGTGTTTAATTAAGGCAGACGTGTTTGTCATTTTGCTGCAAAACCGCTGCTTCTGTGTACAAGTAGCCCTGCGCGCGTGATGCGGCTCTCGAACTATTTTGGTCAAAGACAAAAAAAAACACCAGGGACGTGCAGTCAGGGGAGGCAGGGGAGGCAGAGCCTCACCTGTCATCCTCCAATGAAAATAGCTGTTACGAAAAGTAAAAAAAAAATATTAAGATTTTTCCACTGATGTGTGTTATAAATGTAATTTCTGTACGATTCCAATCATTTTAATAGTAAAAATCGGCAAATTTGCGGAGGTCTGCTGCAAATACAGGAAGAGACGAGAGGTGAGGCAGCGACGAGCTCAGCCTCCCCTCTGATTGCGCAACCCCTCAGTAACTGGATGGAGCGCGGGCAATAAGCGCGTGCCTGTTACTATCTCTCTGTGTGTCACCAATGTAATGTTTGTAGACCCCTCCATTTCATGTCCTCGCCTTCCATACTCCAGGTAACTTATTTCACGTATGTGTATAAAGATATTTAGGCTCGCTGGTCTCGTCATGAAACTGCAATTAAAAAGCACTAGGGGAGGCAGCTATCACATCTGCCTCACTGAGGGGGACGTGTCTAACACGCCCCCCTCAGTGAGGCCACGCCCCCTCCGTGAGACCACGCCCCCTCAGCGAGGCCACGCCCCCCTCAGTGTGTGAATCTGGCTCTGACACGAGCCAGTGCCTCCCCAGCCATTGACCTCACCGCACGTCACTGCAAAACACGGCTCTATCTTAAATTTCGATTTAAAGCTTTCGTGACTGCAGGGATTCGTCTTCTTGGTTCTTTCGGTAAAGTCACGTAGAAGGAGAATAATAAAATAATAAATCATAATAAAATAATTTTCACCAATAGAATTATTTTATTATTTATTATGTTTTTTTTATTCTCCTTCTACGTGACTTTACCGAAAGAACCAAGAAGACGGCTCTATCTTCTTCGTTGAAAGGTCACTGACCCCCTTTCCCCCGTCGTCGACGAATGTCACGCACCATCAACGTTCGCTGGACGTCATCACATTGGCACGACTCTCGTCCAACGAATGTTGCCCCCCCCCCCACCACCACGCCCTCATTCTTCTCTCGCGGGACGCTGCTCGACGCATTCGTCAATATCGCTGTGGCTTGAAATCGACGGGAATGCGGGGACGGATGTATTTGATAGGCGACGTTTCGGGCAACCGCCCTTGTTCGTGGCACTTTTTGTTTTTGTGGAAGGGGCCGACCATAAATGACGTCACGCACCTGGAGGGGGGGGGGGCGGTGTCAGACATTTGTGACGATGTGTGACGAGGGGGGGGGGGGTGAGAAATGTGACGTCACATCAGAATGCGCAACTTTAAATATAGACAACACGTTCTACTTAATTAAATAGACTTTTTAATAAATGTTTTCTCCTACAACATCAGAGTGCAGCGCCACATTAAATACACACTACAATGACAATAGTTTAAAGCGATTTGAAGCATGTTTTATTTTCAAAATGGAAATATGCTTTTGGGGGGGGTGGGGCAAAGCTTTGTGACGTCAGATTTGAGGGGGGGTCTGAATTTTTGTGACGCCGTGTGACGAGGGGGGCGGTCAAAAATCGTCCAAAATCGCGTGACGTCATTTATGGACGGCCCCTAATACAATTTTTTTATTTATTCCCCCACCCATGATGGCCGATAGGTGACTTCGATTATTGTGATGACGTCACAGACTATGTGAGGGGCGGATCGGCGGGGGCGGGGGTGGGGGTGGGGGTGGGGGGCGGGGCGGCGGGGCTGGGGGCGGGGCGGCGGGGGTGGGGGCGGGGCGGCGGGGGTGGGGGGGGCGGGGCGGCGGGCTGGGGGTGGGGGGGGGGCGGGGCGGGCGGGGGCGGGGCGGCGGGGCGGCGGGGGTAGGGGCGGGGCGGCGGGGCGGGCGGGGGTGGGGGCGGGGCGGCGGGGGTGGGGGCGGGGCGGCGGGGGTGGGGGCGGGGCGGCTCCTCTTATTTCCCAAGCTGCCCCACGCCATCAGTCATGGCTGCGCCCAGTGAGAAGGAGACCACGCTGGCACCGGGTTCGGGATTGGGGTCAATTCCGGGGTCTGGGTCAGTGTCCGGGTCACTGCCCGGGTCACTGCCGGGGTCAAGCTCAGCGGCCAAGGCCCCAGGAGCTCCCAAGCCGTGCCGGGCGTGCACAGACTTCACGTCATGGATGAAGGCGCAGAGGAAGGAGGTGCGTGGGTGAATTGAGTAACCGTTGTGAATGTGGTCTCTATTTGACCATTATAAGAATGTAATATAACCATTGCTACCGTGGTTTATATTGATCCGTTATTATAAGCATGGCGTTTACACATTGTGACCGTGGTCCTTATATAACTACTATAAGCATGTCCTTTAGATATTTTGCAGTGGTCTTTAACTGGTATAATCATGTACTTCATTAACCAGTGTTACAGCGGTCTTCGTTTAACCATTACGGTATAAACACATACTTTAACCATTTTATAGTGTTCTTAAATTGGCTATTATAAGCTTGTCTCTTGGTTAACCACTGCGCTGGTCGTCATTTAACAATCATAAGGAGGGTTTTATTTCGGTCACGTTGTTTCGAGGTAACCAAAGCGGAGCACGTTACTGCACCCGGCAAAGCACATCCAGTATATCTCTCGCTGCAGAGGTTTCCAGGCACGACCCACCGCCTCTAGTCTATCAGGGAAACAAAACATTGCGTGATAAATAAAGCTCTATTTATCTGTTGTCATCCTCCATATCCATTAAACCATGGCAGTATTATAATCACATCCTTTAACAAAGGTTAAAGCTGCAAAGTAGGCAATTTGACAGTACCGTTCATTGAGATTAATCTGACAATTCCGTACATTTAATCATATATCATTCCAATTCACTGTTTATAAATAAACGGAGCCCTGTTAGGAGTCATTGTCGTATACTATACTTTAAGCAGATTGTGCCCCATTAGGATTTCGTTGGTGATTGTGAACACCATCGACCATGGTCTATTCGCTGCTGTGTTAAGGCCTTCCCACGCCGTCGCTATCCTTCGCTGCCCGACAAGGCGCTGAAAATGTTACACAGGGGTTGGTCACTATTCTTAACTAATTTTCAGAGGGAAGGGGGGAGGGCACATTCGCCGGTAAGACATCGGTGTGAGGGCCGCCACACCGCCTTCACGTTTGTCTAATGTCGGGGGCCGCACTAAAGGCCACCAGAGGCCACCGGTCGCCCGCGGAACTTGCAATGAAGAACACTGGGGTAGGATCTTCTTGGTTCTTTCGGTAAAGTCACGTAGAAGAGAAATAATAAATAATACAGATAAATAAGACAGCGTCTGAATGGCCATTCAGACGCTGTTTTTTCGACAGCCCTGTTCTTCACCTGAGGACGGCTGCTTGCGTTGGGGCCGATACGTCGTGAGAATTGTATTTGATTGTTTTAGTTGTATTATTTTATTATTTCTCTTCTACGTGACTTTACCGAAAGAACCAAGAAGATGAATCCCTGCAGTCACGAAAGCTTTAAATCGAAATTTAACACTGGGGTAGGACATGTGTGCGTGATGATTGGGAAGCCAGTTACCGAGACGGGCATTGGAGTGATCTCCACGAGTCTGGCGACCAAGATGAAGATGTAAGAGCAGATGGTGGAGATACTGTTCCAGCAAATCCTGGAAGGTCGCATGTCAAACTGTGCAGCAGCTGCGGTATTTTTCTGGCAGAAGGTATCAACGACTTTGGCCATGATGACACCTTGATCCTGACTGATCATCGTTGCATGCTTGTTTCGTCACCTTCGCTCTTCTCGCGTTTTCCTCGATACGAGCAGAAGGGGGCGGCAGCGGGCAGCGTGGCGACCGAGGAGGCAGAGCAGCGCAGAGCGGCCGCGACGGCGGTCGAGTGCCCCGCGGACCGGGAGGAGCTGGGCCGCAGCACGTGGACCTTCCTGCACACCATGGCCGCCTACTACCCCGAGCAGCCGAGTGCGCAGCAGCGTCGCGACATGGGGGAGATGGTGCGGCTGTTCTCACGCTTCTACCCTTGCGAGGATTGCGCCACGGACATGCGAGAAAGGTGAATCCCCCGTGGGGTCTTTGTTGTGGTTCCCTGCAAGGCCGTGTGGCTCCGTGTGTCTTCAAGTGCTCTCTTCTCCCTGTGCCACCACGTGTATCAATGCGTCTGTCTGGGCCTTGCTGTGTTTCTGTGTGATTGTATGTCACGTGTCTCCATGCGCCGCAGTGTGTTGTCATTGTGCATCCTTGCACCCGCGTGTGATGGCTGTTGCCTCCTCCATGTGTCCACACGTGCCGTCTGTGTCGCCCTTTACTTCATTGCGATTGTGCCACAATCGGGCCTGTGTCTCTAATACCTTGTTGTGCTTCCTCATGTCTCGGTGTATCTTTGATTCCTGCCTGTGTCGCTGATGTGTAGTGTCTCCACAGCAGTATACCTTTGTTTATATAAACAGCCCGTAATACACTGCTGGCTCTAATTCTAGATTTGAAGTTGTCTTGACTGCAAGGGTCCATACTCTTTGGTTTTTTCGGTAAAGTCACGTAGGTAAAAAATTAAATAAAAGTAAATTAAATCACGACGTTTCGGAGGCAACACAAGCTTCCGTCTTCAGGTGGCACCGTCAGCAAAATTACTGTATCAAGTGGGGAGAACTCTAAGAGACACGAGACTATAGGTTAAGGGGGGGGGGGAGGAGCCAGGATGGGCCGTGGGGGAGGGTTAAGCTAAGCCTCTTTTTGTTATACTGCAGGGGATTGGGGGAAGGCGCTGTGTGTAGGCGATGGTAAGTGGTTAAAAACGGCGTACGACTAAACAAGAGGGAGTATTTAGGCTGACAAACTGGTTGCCTTGAGTATACTGCAGTAAACTATAAGGCTGCTAAAGTTTAACTTGGTTAAAAAATGGGGCTAATCAAGCTGGGAATAGAAAACTGGAAGAAATATGAATGGCTGTACTGCAGAAACACTGCTGGCTGTGACAGCCTTTCCCACGTTGTGTCAGTCATGAGGATTGTTGGACCTTACCATGCTGGACCATGCCGGGTTTGAAGTGCTATGAATCCCACTCTACACGAACCACTCCACCTCCATTTACACGTACCACCACAAATCTGCCTGTGCTCAGCTGTGCTTCCCTTTGGTTGCGTGTTTTTCCATTCCTCCTTGTTGCCCACATCAGGGATGTCCGTACAAACCTTACCTCCTCTCAAAGCATCTTATTTATAGGCATGGCTCATCATGGCCATCGCTACCACCACCAACTACCAATAGCCACCATTTGCCAATGCTGCACTTATTTGGCAGCATAGTAGCCAACCTGTGCTGATCGGAGGTGCAGGGGAAGGACAACGAACTAAACACAAAAAGCAGTTCTTAAGAAATTCGTTTTCAATCTAGATTTGAAAGTGCGTGGCTTCCTAATATTTGAATGAAAAGTGTTCCATTTTCATCATGTGTGTATCTGTGTGTTGCTGCTGCGCAGGCTTGAGATTCGGCCACCGGACACGAGCAGCCGCCGCGGTCTCTCACAGTGGATGTGCGGCTTGCACAACGATGTGAACCGCAGACTCGGAAAGCCCCAGTTCGACTGCAGCCGCGTGGACGAGCGCTGGAAGGATGGGTGGAGCGATGGTTCCTGTGACTGAGCGATGGAACACGTCGATCGCCCACCCTCATTTCCACCAACCCCCCCATGACCCTTGACTCAAACCCACGATTTAATACTTTTATTACTATGACTGTAATCCTTTGTGATGCCAATCCATGATTACTGATTCTTTGACTTCTACAGGTGTGTGGCTCAGCGCACTTTGATATTGAACGTTGAAATATGAAAGTAAATGTTACAATGCAACAGCACTATGCAATTGAGTAAAGTGTGATTTGATGTTATTTATAATTTTCAATATTTATAGAAAAAAATTACTGGTTCCCTTTGCAATTTTCGCAAATTTAGGTTGAAGGATTTGAACTTTTATGCGGGAGGAAATTGGAGTGTCCAATTTTGTTGGAATACACGTGCATATAAGGGGATAACACTGACGCACTACAATAAAGGTAACCCGTCTGAAACCTTAATGTAGTGTGGAAGTTCTTTCAGAGACCAGCACAGTTCATCTTTACGGCCTTGTATATTATACAGGTAGTAACAACAGGTTCCATACTGCCCACCAGGGATTATTTGTCTGTCGTGCACGAATGCGCTGTACAACCAAGTTCCTACCTGCCCACTCCGAAGGAACGTGTTGCTTAAATTGCCTGTCCATAAGAGTCTTGACTGCAAAACATCTCTGCACTTTCATAAGTACTCACTAACTGAACTTGCCCCAATAACCATCTTAGGCTATACAGGAGATCTTTAAAAACATGCCAGGTGGCACCTCGGTTATCTCATAACGCACAAGTCTCGTGACCAGCTGCTAGTGAGCCTTTGAACCTCCACATGGCCTCAAAGTGCACCTCGCCTGGCATGAGTGCTGGAATGACACCTCTTAGTGTGGCGATTGGCAGATGAATGCATGTGAACGCCCTGATAGAAAACGCGCCAATGATGAGGCTGTTGCCACGCTCAAATTACTTGGTGAATTCACCTCCACTTGTTATCTCACCTGAAGACTTGAAAACATTGGGTTGAACTTTGTCGACCTCAAACTGGAGCCAAGTAGGGCTCCAACAATGCAGTTGGAATAGTCGACGATCGTGTCATGGGTACGGTGTGAACACTGCACGTCAATTTCCTTGTGTTCCTACGTTGGTATCTGCGATCTGTGGGTGCAGTGGTATTTTAAGCGAGCAATGTCGTGCCTGTGGTCTCGTGATAAAGTTGGCATGTGTAAGTGTGGGTGGGGAGTGGTAGTGTTGCGGTTCGCCACCCGAGTTCGATTTCTGCTCATGGCCAACATCGGTGACGAATATCTGAACCGGTCCTGAGCCTCCCTGAGGTTGACTCGGCCTCAAATGAGTACCTACTGCGGTGTGTAAATATCGCCTCTGGGGAGACGAAGGCGGTCGGGCGTGGTGCTGGCCACCCATCCCCATGCGTACTGTGCCAGCATTCGTAGTGTGCTCGTAAAGCATTTGCTCCAACAATCTGTTGAGGCTACATGCGGAACATTTGTGTTTGCGTGAGGAGTGGTGGTGCGAGTGTGGCTTCCCGAGTTCAATTCTCGCTCACGGCCAACAACTGCGAACCGGTCTTGGGCCTCCCCTAGGTCGACCCAATCTCAAATGAGTATTTGATGCAGTGTGTAAATATTGCTAATAGCGAGGCAAAGGTGGCCAGGCATGGTTCTAGCCCCCCCCCCCCACCTTTTCTGCCGTTCCTGCCTTAATAGGTGCTTGCTAACAGCACGTTGTTTAGTGTTTGCCCTCAAGGCGTTTGCGCGTGTATCGCTGAATATTTCGTAAACAATTGGTGAGGCATTTTATTGTAATCCGTCACCGACCTTCTGCACGTGTAACGTAGAATAAGGAGGGGAGTCGTGTGATGACAATAAATGAGGATAGATTTTAATTGTGTTTTTAGTTATTTGCGTGGTTGGGCCCAACTCTCCCCCTACCTTCGACGGCATAGACATTTTCCGGAGTTCAATCAAGCCCCCGGTCGCACCATTATGAGTTGTTTAAATTATTTCATGACAGGTGTGCGTACGTTCGTTTAAACTACTTACGCGCCTCATGTGCCTGATAATAATGTAATAAATAAAAGCCCCAGGTGACTTGGGGCTTGAGTTGATTCAGTGGCGAGTTGTATTGTCGAAAGATGTTCGTAGTACCTCGTTTGCAAAATTACGCCGCTGCTCGACATTAAAATAAGACGTGGCGCGTAAAATGGAAGCGTTTTCGTCGAAATAATTTGAAGTTTTGTTGGTGTTCTTTGACACGTTGTTGAAAACGCATCTCATGGTTGTTGTCAAGGGGGCATCATCCCAACTCGTAGCTTTGGCCATCACTGGGTTGGTTGGTTTGGGGGGGGGGGGGGGTCAAGGCACCCCCTGCCCCCCACGCTCGTTACGCAACGGGACTCGGTCAACTTCAGTCCGTGGGCTCACGTGAAGGCGGCCGCCGCGATCACATGGACGAGTGGGTGTCGAGGTGTTTCTTGGAATCGGGACACTCGTGGTGAACATCTTGGCAGGAGGGGATGGAACAGCGGGGTCCAGCACAAGGGCCACGGCCTGGCGCGGGGAGAAAGAGAGCAGAGAATCAGAATCAGAACGTTGATTTCTTCTGGACGAATCCGACGAGGGAGCGAAATTGCAGCAAGAGGCTGATTGATCGTCAGCCAGCCGCGAAGATGGACTCGCAAACGTTGCTCGCAAAGATGTGCGACGGATTCGTTGCAGCAGCGTTCTCAGACAGGACTAGCTCGTTGCCACTGTGTTTTGGACCCCTCGTTGATTTTTTTGTTTGTTTTGTTTTAAAGCTGACCCGACCAAGCGTGGTTCTGGGAGAAATAAATGTAAGGAATAAGGAACGGCAATTTTGTTTCAGCCAAACCTGCGTTTTGTGAGGTCTCCTGATTAGCTAAGTAACGGCAAACGAATAAAAAAAAATAACAACACGGAATTCGTTCGCTCCCGCTGGTTAATCTCGGAAGCCGCGTAGTTTACCATCAATGAGTTAAAAAATGTCTCTTTTTAAATCCTTTATATTAAGTTCGCTTGCTTGCTTGCGTGCTTGCTTGCGTGCTTGCTTGCTTGCTTACGACCGTGCAAACCTTTCGGTCGTTTTTTAACCCACTTCCCGTGATCCAATCGAGCTGACATTTTGCACACAGACTCGTTGTGCGAGACAATTAATGTTCGTGAAATTTTTTTTCCAAAATTTTACACTGTTTAGGGAAAACAAATTAAATATTTAATTACCAATTGCTTAATACTGGCAAACAATCATCTGACCCATAGGTGGCAGCCATCTCAAGCCAGAGGACGAGAGGACTCTAGCCGCCACGCATATAAAGGCTTTAGAGTGAAAAACTTTGTTTTTACGGGTTATACTTATTACATCCTGGGTGTTTAGACAAGATGGACCCGATTTGAAATCGCTATATCTCTGCAACCACGAACCGCCCGTGAATGAAACGCTTACCACTTGAAAGTTCAGGGCGTAGAGTTTCAAATGATGACCGCGAGATGCCTCTCCCAGCGCACAAACAGCCCCTAGCCTCAGTCATTCGCAAGACGGTGATCTCGCAACACAAGGGGCGTTTGGCGTTCTGCAGTTCAGCAAAGACTGCATCCGTAATTGCGGTGCAACGTGCGTTTCAACGGCGTTTTGGCATTGATCCTCCAATGTCAAAGAGCATTCGTCATTGGTACGGACGATTTGAGGAAACAGTCTGTTGATGTAAGGGGAAGAGCACAGGGCGACCACGCACCTCAGAGGGAAACGTGAGAAGAGAGGCGTTTGGGACGAATTCAACTATCGTCTCGATGTTGCCCGTACAGCACGTGGAGGGCAAATAGAGCATTTATAAAATGGTTAGTAAAACTTGATAACTCATTCAACCGTTTGTAACTTTTCGTGTAATTGTAACATGTTGCCATCGTGAAATATACTGCTTTGAAATTGGGTCAATCGTTTTCAAACACCCTGTATATACAAACAGTCGCAAGATATCACCGCGTAGATTTTAAATATTTTCTTTAATCGCAGTTATTTTGTTAGAAGAACCGATTGAAAGTTGGTCGGACGCTCGATATTCGCAACGAAAGCACTTCGGCCACACATCGTTCCAACTTTAATCAGGATGGAAATAAAAAACAACTTGTTGCGAAACAACGGCGTGTGTTGGGTGGCACGGCCGACTCGTGGCGCGTGACAATTTCACAACGTTTACATGAATCACCTCGCGTACCAACATCCTGGACCATTGCCATGTACCCCCATCGCTCCCACCCAGGCAAGGGGGGGGGGGAGGTCCTCGTACCCCCACCCCGACCTACCCAGGGGGGGAGGTCCTCGTACCCCCACCCCGACCCACCCAGGGGGGGGGGAGGTCCTCGTACCCCCACCCCGACCCACCCAGGGGGGGAGGTCCTCGTACCCCCACCCCGACCTACCCAGGGGGGGAGGTCCTCGTACCCCCACCCCGACCTACCCAGGGGGGGGGGGGTACGCGTACCCCCACCCCGACCCACCCAGGGGGGGGGGGGTCCGCGTACCCCCACCCCGACCCACCCAGGGGGGGGGAGGGTCCTCGTACCCCCACCCCGACCCACCCAGGGGGGGAGGTCCTCGTACCCCCACCCCGACCTACCCAGGGGGGGAGGTCCTCGTACCCCCACCCCGACCTACCCAGGGGGGGGGGGTACGCGTACCCCCACCCCGACCCACCCAGGGGGGGGGGGGGGTCCGCGTACCCCCACCCCGACCCACCCAGGGGGGGGGGGGTCCGCGTACCCCCACCCCGACCTACCCAGGGGGGGGGTCCGCGTACCCCCACCCCGACCCACCCAGGGGGGGAGGGTCCGCGTACCCCCACCCCGACCTACCCATGGGGGGGGTCCGCGTACCCCCACCCCGACCCACCCAGGGGGGGGGGGGTCCGCGTACCCCGACCTACCCAGGGGGGGGGGCCGCGTACCCCCACCCCGACCCACCCAGGGGGGGGGGGTCCGCGTACCCCCACCCCGACCCACCCAGGGGGGGGTGGGGGGGTCCGCGTACCCCCACCCCGACCCACCCAGGGGGGGGGGGTCCGCGTACCCCCACCCCGACCCACCCAGGGGGGGGGGGGTCCGCGTACCCCCACCCCGACCTACCCAGGGCGGGGGGGGGGTCCGCGTACCCCGACCCACCCAGGGGGGGGGTCTGCGTACCCCCACCCCGACCCACCCAGGGGGGGGGGGGTCCGCGTACCCCCCCCCCGCCCTACCCAGGGCGGGGGGGGGGGGTCCGCGTACCCCGACCCACCCAGGGGGGGGGTCCGCGTACCCCCACCCCGACCCACCCAGGGGGGGGGGTCCGCGTACCCCCACCCCGACCCACCCAGGGGGGGGGGGTCCGCGTACCCCCACCCCGACCTACCCAGGGCGGGGGGGGGGGTCCGCGTACCCCGACCCACCCAGGGGGGGGGGTCCGCGTACCCCCACCCCGACCCACCCAGCCCCCCGGTTGAGAGCCGCCGCTTGTTGCTCACAACAGCGGCATGCGGCTGCCTCTTGCCAACCCCTGCGGGTTCGTGACGCAGCAGTGGGGGGTGGAGTGTGGGGGGTGAAGGGGGTGGAGTGAGGTGGGGGTGAGGGGAGGGGTGAGGGGAGGGGTGAGGGTGGGGGTGGAGGTGGTGAAGGGGTGGGGTGAGGTGGGGGTGAGGGGAGGGGTGAGGGGGGTGGAGTGGGTGGGGGGGGGTGGTGAAGGGGGTGGAGTGAGGGGGGGGAGTGAGGGGGGGTGAGGGGTGAGGGGAGGGGTGAGGGGGGTGGAGGTGGTGAAGGGGGTGGAGTGAGGGGGGGAGTGAGGGGGGGTGAGGGGTGAGGGGAGGGGTGAGGGGGGTGGAGGTGGTGAAGGGGGTGGAGTGAGGGGGGGTGGAGTGAGGGGAGGTGGAGGTGGTGAAGGGGGTGGAGTGAGGGGGGTGGGGTGGGGGGTGAGGGGGGTGGGGTGGGGGGTGAGGGGGGTGAGGGGGGTGAGGGGGTGAGGGGTGAGGAGGGTGAGGGGAGGGGTGAAGGGGGTGGAGTGGGGGGGGAGTGGAGTGAGGGGGGGTGAGGTGGGGTGAGGGGGGTGAGGGGAGGGGTGAGGGGAGGGGTGAGGGGAGGGGTGAGGGGGTGGAGTGGGGGGGGTGGGGGGTGAGGGGGGTGGAGTGGGAGGGGTGAGGGGAGGGGTGGGGGGTGAGGGGTGGGGGGTGAGGGGGGAGGGGTGAGGGGAGGGGTGAGGGTGAGGGGAGGGTGAGGGGGGTGGAGTGAGGGGGGTGGAGTGAGGGGGGGGTGAGGGGTGAGGGGGGTGGAGTGAGGGGGGGGGTGAGGGGTGAGGGGGGTGGAGTGAGGGGGGTGGAGTGAGGGGGGGGGTGAGGGGGGTGGAGTGAGGTGGGGGTGAGGTGGGGGTGAGGTGGGGTGAGGGGGGTGGGGTGGGGGGTGAGGGGGGTGGGGTGGGGGGTGAGGGGGGTGAGGGGGGTGAGGGGTGAGGGGTGAGGAGGGTGAGGGGAGGGGTGAAGGGGGTGGAGTGGGGGGGAGTGGAGTGAGGGGGGGTGAGGTGGGGTGAGGGGGGTGAGGGGAGGGGTGAGGGGAGGGGTGAGGGGAGGGGTGAGGGGGGTGGAGTGGGGGGGGTGGGGGGTGAGGGGGGTGGAGTGGGAGGGGTGAGGGGAGGGGTGGGGGGTGAGGGGTGGGGGGTGAGGGGGGAGGGGTGAGGGGAGGGGTGAGGGTGAGGGGAGGGGTGAGGGGGGGTGGAGTGAGGGGGGTGGAGTGAGGGGGGGGTGAGGGGTGAGGGGGGTGGAGTGAGGGGGGGGTGAGGGGTGAGGGGGGGTGGAGTGAGGGGGGTGGAGTGAGGGGGGGGGTGAGGGGGGTGGAGTGAGGTGGGAGTGAGGTGGGGGTGAGGTGGGGGTGAGGGGGTGAGGTGGGGTGAGGGGGTGGGTGGGGGGTGGGGGGTGAGGGTGGGGGTGAGGGGTGGGGGTGAGGGGGGGGAAGTTCGTGAGCGGCGGATCCCGCGGCGGTCGCTGCAGCGCTCCGAGTTTCGCGTCTCTCCTCTCCGCGTCTCGCCCGCTGGTCTTGAGCCGCGCCGACCTCGTCGTGTGCCGTCCGGGAAGCAACTTCTCTCTCAGTCTCTCCTCTCCTCTCTCTCCCGCTGTTGTTGTCGTCTCTGTTGTTGTTGCAGCGACGACGGCGGCGGCGTATCGAGTTGCGTAATTCGCAAGCCGTCGACGTTGCCTCCATCTTCACGCAACACCGTGAGCCAACAGGTACCTGCCTGCCTCTGCTGTGTGGCGCCGGCTACTTCGACAGCCTTTGTGGTTCAACGCGTCCACGGAGTTCGGGCGTGTTGTTGTTGTTGTTGTTTACTCGACCATACTTCACCTCGCGAGCGAGTAGCTTTGGTCAAGAACATTCATAGTTGTACTGTAGTTGTGTTCCCACGTGCTATCCCCACCCCACCCCCCCAATCGTCTCCTTCACCAACCCGCACTGACCGTCGTGGTGAAGTATGGTCAAACTAAAATCACCGGCGTGGTTGGGTGGGGCTCCCATCCAGCAGTGGATTAACCAACAACAACAACTTCTTCTTAAAGTTGATCGCGAGCTTCTTGGCACGAGGCTTTTGTGCGCTATTCAGAGCGCGTTTCGCTGTAAGTAATTTGATTATTTGGTTTAATCAGATCTTGCGATGTTCGTAATCTCGGGAAAAAACCCCGATGCTATTGCCGTGTCGGGTTAGGTAGCGCGTTAAAGGGTTTAGTGGTGTGACTTGTGTGTGGAAAATGAGTCACGAACACGAACGCGCAACGATATGCCTCGTGTTTATTTATTTATTATATATCATAGCACCTTTTTATAGCGCACCTTTGCTCGAGGTCTACCACGTCAGTCGTCAACGAATCGTCAAACACGACGTAACAAAGATAAAGATCCCCCATATAACCTTAACAGTCTGTAGGGGCAAGTGCTGTTAGCGAGCACCTATGAAGACACGACATAACACACACACACACGTACGCCGCAGGTCAACGCGAATAGTTTTTCGGGCCTGGGTATTCATCCAGCAGTGGAGTTCCACGTGGAAGCACCACAGGACCGTATGTAAATCTTCACGGTGCACGTTACTAACGCGCGAAATGTGCATAACCGGTAACCGCTAATGCACATTTTTTTTCCACGCATTGAGGAATTCCCCAGCAGGTGAACATACAAGTTTGAACTTTTTTCGACTCAAGATACGAAATGAGCTTCCGTTATGAACCACACATTTGTGTGTGTGTGTGTTTGCGCGTTACTGTACACTTAAACCATCCGTCAACATATCCCACTGCGCCGTGTATTATGCACTCGGGTTCCACTCGAAATTTCACTTTGTTATCTTTCAGCCTCAAAGCCTCCTTATTTTACCTGTCAGCCTCGAGAATCCACCGCGAGTTGACGGACAGCAACCTCCGTGTGTAACCGGTTTAACAATTCACGACATCATGGGACCTCCTCTGCCAGTAGCAAAATATGATAATAGGTTTATCCCCTTTTTTCTGGCCACAAAACAGGTGTTAAGATGTTAAAACACCAAACTGAAACCTTTCACAAGGAATCATGTCTGCATGAACCACCATGATTGTGGTCAGAACGCAAACCAATAAATACTTTGATAATATATGCATTGTCCTTCAAAACTGATTGGTCCACACCAGAGACAGCTTTCTTTTGAGCCTCGTCTCAAACGGTGTTAGACCAGAGGACGCCAAAAGGCAATGTATAGGTCGTAGTGCAGTATAGGCACGGGGGCACTGGAAACTTTGCCAAATGATCCTTATGGCGGTACCCCGGGATACCAAATAATACTAAATGGTCGAGGCAATTCAATTTTTTATTTCTGGGACACTATTTTTTTCCAGGGGTGTACTTAACTCCGCGACTGGGGTACCAATCAATCCGACATCAGTGCTACTCCGCGATGTGGAAAACGCAGCGAGGATGATTGTGCTGAAAGCCTGAACGCTCGTACGCACCGTAGTCGTGCATCGTGTACAGTTCGTCGAGATGAGTCGATTGCCACATCGCCGACCATCAACAGACTAAAAGTGACTGCATCACGGACATTATGCGAGAGCTGGGGTACTATGGTACCCTGAGGCACCGCCATAAGGTTCATGTGCTGCCCGATAATATTATTGAGCGTCACCCTAATTTACAGAACACATGGAGCTCGAGGCACCGTAGTGAGGAAACGTTCCTCGTTAATAAATACATTCATGAAATGTCCGTTTCCAACAGCATATCCTCGTGGCTTTGTCATTCAAGAATCAAGGTGATGGTTTGTTATTTGCCGGGGGGCTTTGTCTCGTGACCTGGGTGACCTTTTCGAGTGGGACAGCAGCACATCGGTTGGGCCCCAGCTGTGGCGCTTGGTGGTCAGAGCTCTTGTTGGTTCCCAGGGGCTTTGGCCCCACGAAGGAGCTTCCATGGGCACTTTGAACGGCTGGAGGAGCGAGCGAGGCCGAGCTTTTCCCCAACGGTTTGACTTCGTGCAGATTTCAAGGACTTCCAGCAGGGCGGGCGTCCTTATCTTTGGTCACAGGTTCTGTGATAAACTCTCTCAATCGTCGTTTCATCTTCCTGGTTTACCAGCGTGGCCCACGCCTTTCCTATTCCGCTCTCAGGATGTTGTGTTCGGTTTTTTTTTGTTGCGTCAGATGTCAGATATTTTTTTAATGAAATCTATTGACGTTTTGAGGTTTTCCTCCAGCTTCTACAAATGGGGGCTTCGGTTTCTTTTTTTCGTAGCCTGGCCAAGTGTGGGCCTTGCGAGAGTTCAAACTCAACGACTGTTATGAGCGGTCTTCAGTCGTCCAATGTGCCCCACCGCATGCCGCACTTGCCTCGAATTATTTGCGGGGCAATTCGCGGCTTCCCCATTGTTGGTCCTTTTGGAGAGGAAGCGTGAAGTCGTCGTCCGGTTGTAGTCCGTTTACCATCGGGCTGGGTGAAATGTGCCCAGCTGTCTGTGGTCATATTAATAAGCAATGTTTCTTGAGCCCCCCCCCCCCGCCCCCATTGTGTGCGTGTGGTGGCGATTGAAGTCACCTGCCCACGTGTGTGGTAGCCACGTGAGTGGCTCCTGGCAGAAGTGATGATGTTCAATTTAGTATTTGGGTGGACCAGACGTCTTGTCACCCCCCAATTAATGTACCCCCTCACTTTTTTGTTCCATTTGCATATTAATTTCTGTTTTAAATAAACCTTACTTAAAAAATGTAGGTTACGAGAGATTTAAATGGAGGTCACAAGACATCTGGACCAGCCTGAACATTGATGACCGTTAACGTGACCATCTGTCACGGTTACACCGTCGGTGCGTCATCGCCGGTGGACTTGAGGGTCTTGGCCCGTGTTTAGGGTGGTGGATGGGCGCCACGAGGGTGGTGCTGTGTGGCCGTTCAGTTTCGTGACTTTGCCATCCTAACCCTCCTCCCCCCTGCTCAAGCTTTCTATTTGGCCGGGAAGCCAAATCATTGACGTCTTGAGTTCACTCGAATACCTCTTTCGAGCAATTCATGGCCCCCTAGCAGGGGTTCTATTTTTATTTCGGCTTTTAGCACTCTACTGGGGTCATATCTGGATTCAAATTAACGACGTCCATTTCACGTCGATGATGGTATTGCGTTTCACGGAACACGAGACCCAGTGACAGGACACAAAGCAGCCACCACCACCATCACAATGCAGGTCACAAACAAGGCCTCTCTTCTTCTTGGTTCTTTCGGTAAAGTCACGTAGAAGGGAAGTAATAAAATAATAAAAATAAAACATAATAAAATAATTCTCACAAGCAGCCGTCCTCAGCACGGCTGCAGCCGTCCCCAGGACGGCTGCTTGCGTTGTGGCCGAAACGTCGTGAGAATTATTTTATTTTTATTATTTTATTACTTCCCTTCTACGTGACTTTACCAAAAGAACCAAGAAGATGGATCCCTGCAGTCACGAAAGCTTTCGAAAGGCACCTCTTGTTTTCTCGCACTGCTCCACCCTGGAATTCCCGCCTATCGTCTGTGTCGGTTCAAGCAAACGAGTTACCCCTCATCCGTTACAACTTAAGGCAGTGCTGTCTGATGCTGGCCAATTGGCGTTTTGGGCCTGTTCTCGGCAACCGTGATATAAACACTCTACTGTAGTGTACAATCACACACGCACAACAAGCATTAGGAGACTGTTTGGGCAAGAGCTGTTGGCAAAGTAGCACCTTTGAAGGCCGGCACGGCACCAGGGAGTGGGTGGCCAGCACCACGCCCGTCTCCTTACTGGCGACGTTTGCACATCGCACCAGGTACTCATTTTAAAACGGAATCGACCTAGAGGAGGTCCGGGATCGGTTCAGATATCCGTCACTTGGCGTTGGTCGCCGTGAGCATGAATCGAACTCGGGTAGCCGGGTTCGTAGCGCAGCGTGCCAACCACCGCACCACCGCTCCCTACAAACAACAACAAACACACATAATTGGGTTTTTACCCTTTTATCTGGCAACAAAACTGACACCATTTTTACAAGGAGTCATGTTTGTATAGACCACAATACCTGCAGTCGAAATGCAAACAAGAAAACAATGATCCTATTTTGCTTACTGGCAAAAAGGAGGTTCCAATGATGGAACAAACACACAGCCTGCGACGTTTCAGCAAGTAGCCCTTGGGTAAAAAAGAGCATATTGCCCGAAACGTCGACTAGTACATATGGTTAAGCCATGTTTGTTTGTTGAAGTACTGAGTTAGCCTGATAACTTTAATCTAATTTGTCTTATGGTTGTTATTGTTAGACTTGCATCCCACTGGGATGTTTGCACAGCGTTGATATACGGTGCTTTTTTGCGGAAGATTTTCCTGGTTTTTCCTGGATGTTTCTGCTGCGCGTTGTCACGCTAAGATGTTCTTTGTTCATGTTTTTGTTTGTTGCGGTTGCACCCGAGTCAAGAGCCGCATGGCTCACAGGGCTATACCTAATAAATGAAACTAAACTAAAACTTTAAAAAAACTAAATTACGTATTTTTCATTCGCGTTCAGTTTTGTCTCATTGTACTTGTGCATCACTGCCAGTGCAGATTAATAATAAATTGTTTAAAAATCTGAGCACACACAGCCGTGCTGTTTAGTAGAGTCCCAGAGTCCACGCGTGGGCCATGTACGTCATTGTATTATGTAAGAAGCTCGATTGTATGGCGACAACTCGTAGTCATTTGTGGGGGGTGGGGGGTCAACTTGAGCTAAATTATTGCAAGGCAACGCTACCACACCCAGGGACTGGCCCGACAACTTTAGTCGTGATGCGTTTGTGGTTGGGCATTTGGGGGGGGGGGGGGTGGCATTTGTATAGTCAAATTCACCTGGGGAGAAAAGGGTAACTCTTCAGTTAAGATGTCGGAGAATCGTGGGCCGCCAACGCACGACATTTAGAATACAACGGGAAATGAGAGCCTCTCTTCCTCTCTGTGTGCGGGGAAGCGGTGGTGTAGCGGTTACTGCAATGCGCTACGAATCCAGTGACTTAGCGTTCGATTTCCGCTCATGGCCAACAGCAGTGATGATTATCTGAACCGGTCATGGCCCTCCCCTAGGTCGACTCGGCCTCAAATGAGTACCTGGTGCGGTGTGTAAACCTCGCCACTGGGGAGACAAAGGCGGTCGGGCGTGGTGCTGACCACCAACCCCCTCGTGTGCCGTGCCGGCCTTCACAGGTGCTCCTAACAGCACTTGCCCCAAAAGTCTTGTGAAGATTATACGTGGGATCTTTGTCTTTGTATCTCTTGCTTGTAGTGGGGAGTCATAGCGTAGTTGAGTTGATTCTCGCTCGCGGGTAAATCGCTCCTCTTCATGGCACAAGTAGTAGTAAGTAGGTTTGCCACCATTTTATCGGTTTTAGCGTCATACTTTTCCGGGAACGAGTTAATTAATATCTGATGCCATATTTTTATTCAGCGGTCATCAAAACTTCCAGGTATTAAATTCTGTAGTCCGAGGATATAACATGAAAAAAACACTTCTTCCCAGCAATCTTGGGAGACAACCATCTTTAATTTTCGTTTCGGGAATTAGTAAACCTGATTTCAATTTCGGATTTGGCATCCGTGAAACCCCACGGATGCAACCTTTCATAGACCCAGGGTCACATGATAACGTTCTAAACAATTGACCCGCAACATTGGGGCGGGTAAACATTTCTAAATAAACATTTTCTCTTTTGCCAAAACTCATCATTCTGGCCCTTTTAGAACGTGCCATACTATTCTGTACTCTGGTATGGTATGGGTGCATAAAAAAAACCCATAAGTGCTTTGTATTGCAATTGGTATGTGCTACTTCTGGTCACTGACCTCTGTTAAAAATACATGTTTATATTCGACAAAATATTTGCTATGCCTCGGTATGTTGGAGCGCTGAGGAGCAAGCGGCAGATCTGGCTCTGCCAGCTTCCAGTTGGAGGAGGGGGGGGATACTGTCCCTACATTGTGTCAACAAAGACAGAAATGGGATGACTTGTGGCTTAGTGAGCCTTTCCATTCAGTACACAAAAGGTGCGGTCTTCCACTTACAGAGGAATCTCGCTGTCGAAACAAAGTGGCCCAGGGAAGTTTTTGAGAGACGGGTTTTTCGCTATTCTTAGGTTTTTTCGGTAAAGTCACGTAGGTAAAACATTTAAATTAATAAAAGTAAAATAAAACAAATTAAAAAAATTCACGACGTTTTGGAGGCAACACAAGCCTCTGTCTTCAGGTGGAACCGTCACAGCCACGACAGCTGTATAAAGTAAATGAGAGATTGCAAGAGCTACCACTCCGTATATATAATGGTTGGAGAGGGGGGAAGGGCCAAGTACGGCACACTTTTTATTATTTTTCGCTGTGTTGCTCGTGTTCTCCAATGTGACGCTAATTCATATTTCGGTTTACGCGTCGTATGATTTTTTGCGTTGTATGAGGATCCGTATCTTTCAAGGGTGTAGTAATGGCAGTTCGACAGCATTGACTCTAGCAAGCCTGACTCTGCTGACAGGTCCAGAGATTTGCTTTTCGTGAACCAACGCTGCGGACATTATGCACTCCCAGAAGCCCATGGGGCCCGATGGGGTTTGTGTAAAAATATATTTATAATATACGTTTATACTTAATGATGTGGAGAGACATATTTATGAAAAAGACCTATTGCCCGCTTCTTGTTTGGATGCTTGTGTGCTCCTCCACGATGCTCACGAGTGCTTCGCGTTGTGCAGAACTTGACCGAGTGTTGCCTCGTCGTGTGCGTGTGTGCATGTGGGAGTTTTGTCCAAGGTATCCAGGGTTTCCTCCCACATATTGCCAAACACCCATGAATGGAATCGGCTCAATGTTACAATGCACCCTCCTAAACAGTCTTGAGTCTCGGTCAGCCTTGCCTGGATAATTAAGGGGAATTATTATTCGTCTCCAGGGCACTCTATATTGCTGAAAGTTAATCAGATCTGAAGACATCCAGGAGGTGTCTTTTAGGGGTGGCTCATAATGGCTATGTCGGAGAGCTGAGTCAGCACCTTTTGAGGATACCTAGGTTCAAATCCTGGATTGCCCACACACAGTAACCCCCCCCCTCCCATCAAGTTTCTATGTGCATTATGTGACAGCCTAGGCACGTGGAAGCACATGGGGGCCACTTTAGGCCAGGTTGGGACCGTGCGTGGGGACCACTTGAAGATTTTTGCAACTCAGGTGTGGTCTTGTAGAACCAGGTGTGATGAATCGGGACAGTGTAGGACCATGTGGGACGAGGTTGAGCTGTGCGGACCCATTATCAAGCTGACGCCTATTATGGGATAAGATTTGAAAAAACATAAAAAATTAAATTCATAGACAAGTCACAAACACACTTGCTGTACTGCCTTATCTTGGCTCAATTGCCTTCATCACCCAGCGGGTTGGGGGAGTTTCGCAGCACATGACGATATCTGAGTGACCTATTTGCTAACCCCTGCTGCTGTTTGTTTTCTAAACAGAGCGCACATACCTCGTCTGTTATTGAGCAGCAAGTATGAATCTGCCTCCTCCAGACCAGTTCGGAAATGACTTCAACAAGGCTCCAGGTGAGTTTCACCCCCTCCACCCCCAATCCTCCGCCCCCCCCCCCTCCCACTGGCCCCACCTGGAGTTGTCCGGTCTCTCGTGCCACGTGCAGGTGGGTAGAAGGGAAATGTTAGAATCAAAATCTTGATTTATCCTTGAGAAATCCAATGAGTTATGAAGCTTTTTTTTCACAGATGTAAAGTAAACCAAGTTCTAGATTGTTTTGTTATACTTTCATCTGTAATGCTCAGAGGAAATGCGTTGCGGGTTTGCGTACAGTGTTGCTTTTTGCGTTCAACGGGATCTCACGGTTTTTATGGAGTGCTCTTACCAATAACATCCTGGAACCTGGCAGGGTTTGCTTAACAAGCCTGACTGCTGATGATACCCAGAAAATTGGAAACCTGCTGCTGCATGATATTGGTCTGGAAATACAATAAATAGGCTGGTGGACTAAAACATATTTTATTCATTTATTTAACCGTGGAAAGACACAATGGAATTGTGCTCACATAGGCTTTCATCTGTGGTCGATATGTCCCGATAGCCGTGCGTCCCACGCTATTCAACGTGTGAGCTTTGTGGCTTCGTTATTGATTTAAAATGGAATTTAAAGCAACATTCAAATGCGTCTGTTGAACTAAAGGGCAGCAAAACCGCAGTGATGTCACCGCAGTGCTATGGCGGCATGCTGACAGTCATGGTGGAATTAATCTTAGCTGGCAACCTTCAGCCCAAGGTGGAAATTCCACATTCTGATGTTTTTTTTAAAAATTCCTTTTTGAGGATGGCCCTACTTAACCCAAGAAAGCCTCACGAAGTCTCACAAACAATAAAAAAAATGGTCCTGCCAACTTTTCACAGTAGGGGTGGGGAGTGCGATGGTTGCGGTGTACAATTACGATTCAAAAGTTTTCCAGTAACCTTTTTCAAATATGACAAACCTGGACGCCGACACCAGCGCACAATGTCCTCACTTTTGCAAATAACTTCGGAATCTTTGGCGTCCACTTTAAAGCAGATGGCCCGAAATTTGTATTGTTAATAGGCCCCCCGGCAGTATTAAATCAGGGCGGCCTCCGGAATTCGAAATACCAACTGGTGCAACAATCGGTGAACACACTTTGCACATGACAACAAGTTGACTTCCCACAGAGCGAGCGGCCTTGACCTTATCATAAACATCGAAGGGATGATGATTACGATGATAATTCAACTCGCCCTGCGACCCGGATTGCGAGTGAACTTTCCTACCTGCCCTGCTGTAGAATGCAATGTCTATCGTGTGATGGGCAAAGCAACTTAAATGCGCTTGAGAGCTAAGGTTTAATTACAGGCGGCTGCTGCTGCTGCCTGGATACGAACCCACGATCTCAGTTGTGCCGGCTCGGCGATTTGATCTCTGAAGCCACCCAGGCCACGGCCACCTCGGTTGGGAAGGTGTTTGTAGAAGTTCCTAAGGCGGTCAAACTGGGCCGTTGAGCAGTTTCCGTTGCGTCCCAGGTGGAGCGCCGATGGGGTGGGAGAATCCGGAGCCGCATGGGTTTGCCCAGCCGCCCGGTTACCTCCTGCCGGGCCCGAGCTGCCCTCAGGCACCGCCACCGCCGTATGACTACCCCAGGCAGCAACTGCCTGGCCACCCGGGCTATCCAGGCCACCCAAGCTACGCGGGACCATTGATGGGGCCCAACCCTGAAGCGGCATACCCACCGGGCCCTCGGGAACCACCAGGAGGTGAGCTGTGTGGCCCGGCCGTTGTTCCCCGCAGTGACGTTTTATTTTATTCGTGAAAGTGATGTATGTGAATAATAACACTAGTCAACACTTTTTCTGGCATAAGGTATTCCAACGATTTTAGGGTAATTTTGGGGTGCTGATTCCAAATCTGGCATCAGTCTTTGTCTATCACATCAGGTTTTTGAGATATCAAATATTGCATTTTCAATAAAAACTGCAGAAGAAAAATATTAAATACATGTGGATATCTACATAAAATGGTATTATACACACACTATCCTAAAAATACAGCACCATGTTTTAACACTAAAGCAGTCCCTGACTCGCAACAACTTGCAATCATAAGTGACAGTTAATTTTGGGTAAAATCAATGAAAATAGGGTTTGCCGATAGCATAAAAATGAGATGTGGTAGAGCAAATTAGTCTAAAACAGCTGCAAAAGTCCAGGCCAGAAAAAATCTTTTTTAGTGTGTTGATCTGTGTGTATAATCATTGGAGTTGGGCACATTTCCCGATATAGGACCACGGAGCTTGTGGTCATTGTTGGTGTTGCTACTGGCTGCTTCGCCGCTCGTGTGTGTGTCGAGAGGTCGCAAACGGGTTTTGATTCCTTACCCGTACCCGGCCGCACCAGGGTCGCAAACGGGTACCCATACCCGTACCCGGCTATGTACGGGTAGCCGGGTATCGGGTAGGGTACGGGTATCGGGTACCCGATTGCGACCTCTGGTGTGTGTGTGGTCTTCTGCATGTGCGCGAGTGGTGGCGAAGCGGTCGTTTTAACGTGCGCTTGCACTGCAGAAGTGGGGCGCGGTAGTGCAGCGCGATAACACCTGCACAACGCAACCCTGATTCGATTCCCACTCGCGATTGCCAACACCAGTGATGATTATCTAAACTGGTCTTGGTCCTCCCCTAGGTCGACTCGGTGTGTAAACATCGCCACAGTAGAGACAAGGGTGGTCGGGCGTGGTGCTGGCCACCCACCCTCCTCATCCCCTGCCTTCATTAGGCGCTCGCAAACAGCATTTTCCCCCAACAGGTGTGTTGAGGCTTTAATTCTTTGTCTTTGCGTGATTTTGTTGCAGCAAACGCCGGGCAGCCGCAGCCGCCCCAGTCGATGCAGCCGCAGGGCTACTTGATGGTGCCCAACGTGACGGTGGTGCAGCAGCCCCTGCGCACGCCAGACCCCGTGGCCGTCACGTGCCCGTCGTGCCAACAGCCGGTGGTCACCAAGACGAGCACCTACCCGGGCTTGCTCGCCTGGCTCATCGTGGGCGGGTTGTTCCTCGCCGGCCTGGTGCTGCTGATGTGAGTCGTCACGCGTCACCTCTGTGTGTGTGTGTGTGTGTGCGCGCGTGCCTGTGTATGCGACGCTCACACACATCTTGCGGAACGCCAGGTGGTTAAAACACAGCGGGGGGAGCATCTGCTAGTCAGCTCAGGCAGTCAACCCGTGGCACCTGGGTCCGTCCCGTGACCTCCTGCCAGCGAGCCTTCGACGGCGAGTCTCCGTGTGAAACAAAATCAAATATTGGGACCCCTCCTGACCCCCTGAGCTGATGATCTAGTCAGAGGCGTAGCTAGGGGGGGGCAGGGGGGTACATATGTCCCCGGGCGCCAAGGTAAAGGGGCGCCAAAATGAGGCTTACAACGTTACGTTATAACTTATTGCGGCGGGCGCGGCAGCCTGAAATTACTGCACAAATCTACACCTCAACCTAAAAGTTTATATATCCCGCCACACACAGCCTACATGTCATGTAATTACATTTTGGTATGTGATTAAACGGGGGGGGGGGGGGGGGGCGCGACAATTTTATAGTTCGTCCCCGGGCGCAAAATATTCTAGCTACGCCACTGGATCTAGTTACGCCACGAGCGGGACTCGAACGCGTGCCGCAGGGTTCATAGCGCGCTGACCACGGCGCCACGGCTCTCCACTTCACTTGGCACATGCGTGCTGATTGCTCCCTCTGCTGGCTCATAGAAGGTACTGTGGGTTTCTCCCATAATGCTGAGCAATCTGAGGATGTGCACGGTCATGTTGTCATAGTTATCGGTGGGAATTGAGTAATTAAATCAGACCGTATGTATATAAATAAATAATGGGTCGAGTGGTGATGCGGTGGTTAGCACATTGCTATCAGTGTCAGATTCCCGGCCATGGCTAACATCAGTGACAGGAAATATCATAGCTCAGGCATTTTATAACAAATATCACGACACAACATTCACACAAAATGAAAATTTTTATACCATACAAATTGTATTGCATTCGTGCGATATTCTTGAACTTGCCGAGCAGTGGCACGGTTTGTTTTTAATCTGCCCTTGGCCTGCCCTCCCTATATCCACCACCTTTCTCGCCCACCACCCACTCCCTCACCCACCCCCTCCCTCAACAACCCACCACTCGCCCACTCACTCTCCCACCCACCCACTCTCCCACCTACCCACTCGCCCACCCACCCACTCCCTCACCAACCCACTCTCCCACCCACCCACTCGCCCACCAATCCCTCCCACTCCCTCACCAATCCACCCACTCCCTCAATAACCCACCACTCGCCCACCCACTCTCCCACCCACCCACTCTCCCACCTACCCACTCGCGCCCAACCACCCACTCCCTCACCAACCCACTCTCCCACCCACCCACTCACTCACCCACCCACCCTCCCACTCTCTCACCAACCCACCCACTCCCCCAATAACCGACCACTTGCCCACCCACTCGCCCACCCACCCACTCTCCCACCCACCCACTCGCCAACCCACCACTCGCCCACCCACCACCCGCCCACCCACCCACTCACCCACCTCCCTCTCCGCCACCTTTCTCGCCTTAACTTCTGCCTCCTCTCCCCACCACCAGACCGCTGCTCTTCTGCTTCGTCCCGCTGTGCGTCCCCTCCTGCCACGACGTCCGCCACCGGTGCCCCAACTGCAAGGCCAACATCTACACCTACACGCGCATGTGATCGCCGCCGCCGCCGCCTTCCCGCGGAAGGAAACCCGGACGGCGGGTTTAGCCCAAGGCTTGTACGTGTAAAAAAAAGAAAAATCGCACTCTTCGGCACGATTTCTACAGAGAAGCATATCTCACCCTTGAGGGTTGTTGGTTCAAACTGGCGATTTCGCACCGGTGATCGATTCAAACTTCGAATTGCACGCAAACGACGTTTTATCTGTCACTGCAAGCTTCGTGGCTGCACCAGTCAGGTACTCGTGGCATCTTTAAGATCTGCCAATAGCACTGGATTTTTGTGTGCGCTCAGGTGCGCGTGTGTGTGTGAATGTGTGGTCATCTGAAGGCAATTACTATGCTTGTTTATTGCAGGAATGCCTCGCCAAGGCTCATGACTCGTTTACAGGAGGGTCCTACCAAGTTTTTGCAGTAGAGGGCGATGATTGTCATGTATATTTCAACAGAATACTTTGCGGTGTAATTTTTATTTTATTTTTGGTCCATGACACCAGCACACAAATGCAAATGACGTCAAGGCATCTACTCTTGCGAATTACGTCAGCGCATCTTTAACAACGTTCATTATGAAGCAGACAGTGCGTATGTTTGCAATCAAAAAATGCCCGCAGTATAACCAGGCCTAAAAAAGGTGTTTGAAAGTCGGATTAAAATGTTCGTCACTGCTGCTGCTGTATATGTACCTTATGGCGGGACCCCGGGGTCCTATAAGCCTCCGGTTCTCGCATTAACTGTGTTGCGACTTCATTTTATGTCTGTTGAAGGCGAACATATGGCAATCTATTCCTCTCGACGAGCTCTACACGATGCACTAATCAATGTTTCAAAGTTTTGTTTCTCCTGCGCATTCGTCCTCGCTGCGCTTGGATGACATGGCAACAGAATGATCCGCGCCAGGCGGGTCGCGGCGTTTATGTGCGCGGTGGGACGGAGTCGCCAAAAATAAATTAATTAATTACGATTTTGACTTTCGTTTATTCGGGACCCCGGGGTCCCGCCATAAGGTTCATATGGTGATCACTTCGTAATGTGATGTCACTTCCGGCAACCGTGCATCATTGTGATGTCATATCCTGTTGCGGTGCTTTCCCATGACACGGCTTTCTGAAGGAATGTGGGTGACCAGAGGGGGAGGGGGGTGGTCGAGCAGGATATGACATCACAGCCATCGGTGATTGGCCAGTCCTCTGTATCGCCACGCGGTCGCTAGAAAACGGCAGCATGTGACGCTGCACAGCAGCAGTGAGGGAATGGCCTCGGTGACGTTCTGCTTCAAACATTGCTGCGATTGTGTGAACCTTACGTGGTCAGCACGCGAGCCACCAGAACCGATTCACACAATTAAAAACGTTCCATTTACCGCTGGCGACTGCCTAGCCGAAGACCTCTTTGCAGGGAATTGTTTACCGCGGGGTACCGTCGCCTGTAAAAGCAGGCGATGAAGTCGGTCCACTACGATGTCCATTAGCTCGTGGTTGCGTGAGTGTGTGACACAAAGCACCTGTGTGACGTCTGAACATTTGTTTTTTTTCCACAGTTGCACGTGAAAAAGGTCACAATGTGTTTTTATTGTTGCACAGCCATGCTGAATAATGTGGGTACGCATGCGGTTTTGATGGCGTGCCAGCCTTCCTTTTTTATATTTATCAACCACGAGTTTCTTTTTAAAGGTGATTCTTCGCACACACACAGGTTTCTCCCTCGCTCTACGCGGGTTCGGTTTGCGCGATTTCGCGCTGCTTAATGCGGCTAACCGATCTATACCCAAAATTCGCAATAGCACGCGGTTTGAATTAACTCGCACGCGGCTATGCGGTCGGACGTGGGGGGCTACATTGTTTGTGTACTGCGTGCACTGCACGGCAGGCAGCTGTCCCGCACACAGATAGACACACACATATATATACAGAGAAACAACATTGTGTGTTCACTGTGTGTGCTACCCGTGCTCTTTCGCTTGACGTGTCTCTGCGACAGCTGCCGCCGCAGATCGAGGAGAAACCTGTGTTGTTGTCGAGGTGTTTTTTGGGGAGGGGGGGGGGGGAATTTCTGATGCCTCCGCCGCCTGGTGATATAATCAAAATGTAGTTTGCCTAATGCGTCGGAAGTGTTCAACGATATACATGGCAGCGTGAACACAGTTATACGGAGGTTAGCCTTCCAAGTCTGAATGGACTGATGGGGGTAGGGGGGTAAGTGCTTTTTGAGGCCAGCACCACGCCTTCACGATTCTCGATGTTTATACACAACAGGCATTCATTTTAGACCGGTTAAACCCACATGAGATCTATATTAAAATCAGTTGCCAAAATGATACTGGTAGAGGGGGAGAGAGAGGTGGAGGGCGGTGACATGGTGGAGCCTAAGCTGCTTACTGTTGCAGATTACAGAGGTTTGCGGTTCAATCCCCTGGCCACCCTGGTTAATACTGCATTTGTATCGACCATATCGCAGTGGACATTAAAAGGTCCCGTGACGTTCTCAGAAAGATGGTACGGCCATGCAAGCGCCACGGGTCAAAAATCGGCCAAATTTGAATGGTTCAATAATCAATATTTGGAATGACCAATCGTAACATCGCCCTCCACTGACAAGACTCGTGCCCGCTTGCAGGCCAGTGCTGCGTCGCGACCGGCTTCACAGGGACAGCCGTGAATCGGGGCGTCCCCTCGGCTAAAAGACGATAACGGCAGCTGCGTATAGCGACGCTCGATTTGAGATGTGATGCGAGGCGCTCCGAGATGAAGGGGAATTCCAGCGCCCAGTCACTGCAAATCCTTATTCCTCCGTGTTGTGCGCGACAATTGAACCACACTGGGGGGGGGGGGGGGGTGCGTCAGAGTGCAGTTGGACACATTTACTGCTGCTCGCATGTTTCACAACATATGAAAAACACGTAATAAAGTTTAGTTTTTTCTCTTTCCGACAGTGGCGTTTGTTTGTCCGGACGATCTAGAATCGCACGTGAACTGTGGGACACGCGTGGCTGCGTTGTGGGGAGTCTGTGAAAGGGAGGCAACGTCTCTTCTTGTACCCTGCGTGCATCTGCGCCGATTTCTTTTTCAATCTCCCCTTTAAGTCTCACACTTCGTCCCCCCTCCAACTGAACCGGCTTCCCGTTTACTCCACGACCGCTGCATTTTAAAATGCCCTAACTATAGTCTTTAAAATCTCTTCGTGTGTTCTTGCGCCCCCCCCCCCCACCTCATCTCGCCTCTCTCATTTCCTTCCATGCCTCCCCCCCTCCTCCTCCTCTCGTCCTCTTCGTTCCCAATCCTCTCTCTGGCTCTCTGTGTCCCTAATTCTACCTGTGCCCAGTCCCGTTTATGGGCCCACTCCCTTCTTGCAACCGCTCCATTTGAATAAACTTCCCCTGCACATTAAGCAGCCCCTCACCCCCGTTAACCTCCTCTGATAAATCCTCGCCTCTATTTCCCATTCTCTTCCTCTTCCCTCCCCTTGCCACTCCGCTCATCCCCCTCCCTCGCTCCCTCCCCTTTCACGGTCCCCAAGTACCCTACAACGCTGTCACTCATTCCTCAATCCTTGTACGCCCCCTGTCCACTGCATACACTGTCACCTACCCTCAAGTCGACCCCAGTCGCCTCGCTGCCCGTGCTGTCACATGTCTCTCGCCTCCACCCGTCCGCTGCAACCCTGTGGGAAGTCCTGCACATCGAGGACAACAGTCGCCTTGCCATTCATCAGGACCTCGCTCACGTCCCCTTGCTATCGATGGAAGTCGCGCAAACCCTTTTGGGCCCCTACGGTTGAAGTCGCGCAAACCCTTTTGGGCCCCTACGCTTGAAGTCACGCAAACCCTTTTGGACCCCCGTGCGCTTCCCCTTCAACAATGAAGGTTTAACCCCTGACGAAGCTTCGAGAGCTGAAATTGAGTTCAAAAGAACTCGCATTCCTATTTGTCATTGTTTATTAATTCCAGGACATCTGCCCCCCTTGAGCCTTTAGAGGCCCAAATATAATGTGTACATATCTTGAACTTCTTTCGCACCGTACGTAGCCAATCGTGCTAATCGGAGGTGCTGGCGGGGGGGGGGGACAACATACTAAACCACAAAAGGCAGTTCTAAAAGGAAGGCGTTATCGATTTAAATGACAAAAATGTGCTTCGTTTGCTTGTGTCTGGTGCCGCCAGCAACTGATTCATAGAGTCCTTGTGGTCATCTCGGTGCTAAGCGATCGTTTACCACAACGCTTGCTCAACACAAAAACGAAAGCAGTCAACTTCAGTCTCTCCACAAAGAAAGAAAGAAAGACAATCAGGTGCAGTGGGCCGGGTGATTCAAGGGTCAGAGCGCTTGGCCAGCACTAACTGAACCGGTTTCCCAAGTGTCGTGAGTTGATGGTCTCGGCTCAGGTCACCAACGACCAAAATAAATTACTATAAAGTCCATTGGTTTATTTTGTTACGTTATTTGGAGAAACAAAATCCAGCTTTTAGAATTAAAATTATTTAAGTTTGAGTGCCATGCGCTAAACCATATCTGCAGCAGGGCGGCGTAGGGAGAGAAAAAAACACGCCAGCAACACGCATATAGAGGGAATGAGGTCACTTGAAGTAATCCCAGAAGTAGTTCTGTGAAATCAGCTTCCGCGGGTCGTTCTCTCTGGGACAGTCCCAAGTGGGCACTTTTGTCCCATGACATGATTCGAATAGCACAACCGATAGTGAATTGAGAGAAATACACGTTTAAAAAAAAAAGGGATTTGGTCTGTGGGTCTGCTGGGCCAGACGCGTTTCAACTCCCTGCAGTTCGCTCCTGTCCACCACCGCGGTCATCATCGCAGCAGCAGCGGCAGGGGTGACTTTTGGTTGGCCATCGAACACCACATCGCGTACTTTCAGGTGTGCTTTTGTGGCCGTCTGGAACGCTCTTCCTTCCGATATTTGGAAGCCACCTGGAGCTACGCACTTTGAAATCGCCTAGATTGAACACTCATTTCTTTAGAACTGCTTTTTGTGTTGAATTTGTCGTCTTTCCCCCACACCTCCGATTAGTATGGTTGGCTGTGTACGGTGCGAAAGAAGTTCAACATACATACGTCAAGCCATGGACTCCTACACTATTTCGTGACTTACGGACATTGCAAAGAATACAAATCTTTACTCTTTGATTCACACTAAGACAAACAGTCCTGTTTGTCTTGATGTGTGTCTCGCTCGGTGTGTCTTTGTGTGTGTCTCTCTCTGCATGTGTGTCTGCCTATGCTGTTCCTGTGTCTATGTTTTATCATTCATTCTTACCTGATGATGGTTGCTTGTGTTGCAAACCAAACGTCGTATTCTATTATTATTTTATTTTCTACGTGACTTTACCGAAAGAGCCAAAGAGTAATTCATACAGTCACGCAAGCTTCGAATCAGAATCTTTATTTATCCTGGAGAAATCCGATGAGCTATGAAGCTCTTTTTCACAGGATATCCAGTAGGGGGTGGGTCATAAAGAGTTTGTTTTATCGTGCACGCGGCTACTAGGATACCCATGCACCTCCCGCAAGTAACACAAAAACAAAATCAACCGCCTGTGTAGTCACGTTTGAGTGACGTGCCTATATTTACCAAAGCGGCCGTATCCTGCCCTCCAACGAACAGGGCCCGAAAAGCTCTTCAATGTGTTGTGCGTGAGAGACCCATGAGCAAATTTACACAGCGCACCTTAGGGAGGGTCTTTCCCAGTCGTATATAGCAACCAGACGACGCCGTACACCGCCGTTGCCCGGTGCTCGCGATCCCATTGGCACGGTCGGACTACGTACGGCGCCAAAGAAATTCAACGTAAATCGCGCCGTGGACTAAATAAAAAAAAACACAACTACCACGCGCCGTCTCAAAGCGGAGAGAGGTGAACTCGCGTCAAACACTCGCCCGACCCGCGTCCTGGGGAATTTGCGTTGCGGTCCGGCCTCTTTGGTGATCCATCCCATCCCATAAACGTCCGTCAGCACCTCGGTGAGCAAGGTAGGCCACCGCGCGTCCACGTTTGTGCTCCTTCGCCCCCGGGTTTGTCCTGAGCGTTTTAGCATCTCTTCCCTTGAGCTTTGGCCGCGCGCTACTGCGGGAAACTCGTCGACGGAATTTGATCTCCACCGCATCTTCAGCAGTTGATGGAACGTTACGGTCACTGTTTTTTTTGTTCATCGAATCATCATTTACACGGATGTTCGAATACGTGTGTGTTATGATGAATAAACAAGGCGGACGAGAGCAGATCGGAGTCGGGAGCGCTCCTGAAAAAAAAACTATAATTAGTAAAAAACTATTAATGTGCCGAACGAAGTAGTTTTTTTTTATTAGCTTCGACATACGGACCAGAAACGTGGACATTGACGAAGATGATGGAACAACAGTTGAACAAGAGCACGGAGGTGCTCAGGACAGACACGTTAACAGAAAGTAATGGTCGCTAGGAGGTGGAGTCTATAACGACATTGGCGACAGCCAAAGTAGAGAATACATGCCCGAGAGGACGTCCATCCACCGTGCAGATGGAGTGCTGCGAATCAGCTCGTGTGCTGGAGCCTCATGGATTGTGGCATCGCAGTTGAATATATCATGGGCGGCGATGATGGTGATATGTTGCCCGTGGCACCATACATCTTGCGGGATTACGGTCATGAGGGCGTGAATTTTCGTGGGCTAAGCACCAGGCGTGGACATTTTTATCGCCGATTCGTCGACGAAAAGCCTCGTTAAACTTGGGCGCTTCAGTCGAAGGGGCCCTGTCGATTCCAGTCTCTCCGCCCCGCCGAGGAGGAGGGAGGAGGGGGAGGAAAGCGTAAAACTCGACCGTGAAGACCACGGAGCCTTTTCACAGGCGCCGGCGACGATGGCACACGTCACGGTGGGCACGCTCATTACGAGAGACGATGGAGAGAGGAACGGCTTTTTTTAAATGGAAAACTCACTTTTTAGAACTTGCCATTTTTACGTTTAGTTTGTGTGTACTTCTCCCCGCGCACATCCAATTCGCACGGCTGTACTACGTACGGTGCGAAAGAAGTTAAACGTTCGTCCGACCACGTCGCCGTCTTCTGTGCGACAGTTTGCAGGTGCCGCATTCAACGTGGTCGGGTTTAAACCTGGTCTGTACTCACCTATACAACAGCAACAAAAAGGCACTGCACGATGTAGCAGGTGTCACGGACAGAGCTCAGTTTCCCACTCGAGTGAGTTTTGTCTGACCTTGTTTCTTATAAAGTCTACGTGCTCCCGTTGCAATGAATGAGCTCATCGAGAGAACCTCGTGGGCGTCCGCATGCGACCACGGGTAGAACATGCACGAGTGGCGTAATGGTGTAAGAGTCGGCTCACCGGGATTTGTAATTCATAGGTCGCCCTTCAACTAGTTTAATTCGATCTCTCGGCAGTTAAAACGACGGCTAACCGGGTAGAACGACCACGGTTAAAGTCGATCAGCAGTCGTTTTTGGATCGCTGCCGTTTCCAAACTATTTTTTAAATTATAACCAATTAAGACACACCCATATTCTTTGGCTCTTTCGGTAAAGTCACGTAGATAGGTTCATCATGACGACCGCTTGAGTTACGATCGAAACGTCCTAGTTTCTTTCCTTATTTTGTTATTTTCTTTGAACCTATCTACGTGACTTTACCAAAAGACCCAACGAATATGAATCCCTGCAGTCACGAAAGCTTTAAGTCAAGACCCACCCAGTTATTAGCTCTTTTTATCAGAAGCGACCCGGCCACAAATAGGTCAACGAAGTGGCTTTTAACGTGGACATTTACAGCAGAAATTAAATTTAAAAAACGCGTGTTTATGAATGTGGGGGGGGAGGTAAAATTGTCGGACCCGGACAAAAATCCACGCCATCACGGGGCAGAAAGAGAGAGGCACGCAAACTCCAAATATACAGCAGGTGTCAGGGTCGGGACCGACCGAATCCACGACCTCCTGCATACCAGGCGAGGGGAGATAACATCTCATCACCGTGAAGCCTAACCTTCCCCCCCCTCACCCCCTCGTGGTGCGTGCAGTCAGAGACAGCGATGGCGTCACCAAACCCACAGCCCAACCACGGAGACCCCTCCAATTCCAGCGCCCCCTACCCAACGCACGTGCATCACATGGAGCAGCCACCCTCGTACCCGGGCCACGCGTGGGGAGGGCCCAACCCAGCCATGGCGCACCCGCCGGGCGCTGCGGCACCACCACCTCCAGCAGGATGGGGTGGTGGTGGTGGTGAGTCGTTGCGAGCTGCAGAGGTCCTGGAGAAATCCCACCCGGGCCATGCGGAGAGGGTGGTGGCACCATGCAATGCCCATCTCACAGAACCACGCCTACAAAACTATAAAGGAAACACATTTTTTGTTATTTTAACAAACTTATGAAGCTAAACTATTTTTTTAAATATTATTTGGGTCTTTCGGTAAAGCCACGTAGATAGAAAAATAAAAATATTACGACTTTTCGATCGCAACACAAGCAATCGTCATCGGGTGAAAAATATAGGGGGAGAGCTGCTGAGGCAGAATATTTTAGTTTTTCCAATTTTTTTCCTGCCTCAACAGCTCTTCCGCTATATTTGTTTCACCTGATGACGATTGCTTGTGTTGCGATCGAAACGTGATATTTTATTTTCTATCTACGTGGCTTTACCGAAAGACCCAAAGAATATGAATTCCTGCAGTCACGAAAGCTCTAAGTCAAGATGTAAACTATTTTTTATTTTATTTTACCAGGTAAGGCTCACTCAGCTACATAGATATTTTTCAGAAGCGGCCTGGCTAGCAAAAATTATAGCTCAAGGAAGTGGCTTATTACGGGGGAAATTCCTAGCAGCCAAATACTCGAAACGCGCGTTGATTCTTAATGTGGAGGTAAAAACCAGAGGACCCGGATACAAATCCACGCGGCCATGGGGAGAACACGCAAACTCAAACTACACAGGCGTCGGGATCGAACGCATGCCCTCCTGCATACCGGGCGAGGTAGGTAACGCCTCGTCACCGTGGCGCGCAAACTCCTGGTAAGCCATGAATGGTTACCACTCATTCAAGCTCTAAGGGGCCGTCCATAAATGACGTCACGCACCTGGGGGGGGGGGGTGTCAGACATTTGTGACGATGTGTGACAAAAAGGAGGGGGGGGGGGTGAGAAATGTGACGTTTCATCAAAATGCGCAACTTTAAATGAATATAGGCAACACGTTCTACTTAATTAAATCGACTTTTTAGTAAATGTTTTCTCCTACAACATCAGAGTGCAGCGCCACATTAAATACACACTACAATGACAATAGTTTAAAGCGATTTGAAGCATGTTTTATCTTGGGGGTGGGGGGCAGAGCTTTGTGACGTCATATTTTAACTGGAGCGGCAGCCTAATATTGCAAATCGGGTACTGCTATTGCTGTGGTAGCCGCACTTTGCGAAGACGGAGCGCCCCCCATACAGCGTTAGAAGTTTGAGACCGTGAGCGTAACGAGGTGACGTGGGCAGAGAGAAGCCGCGATGTGCAATAGCCTAGGTGCGAGCGTGCGATGATAATGTCGTCACCACGCCACTTGGCTGATGATAATGTCGTCACCACGCCACTTGGCTGATGATAATGTCGTCACCACGCCACTTGGCTGATGATAATGTCGTCACTACGCCACTGAGCTGATGATAATGTCGTCACTACGCCACTGAGCTGATGATTATGTCGTCACCACGCCACTGAGCTGATGATGTTGTCGTCACTACGCCACTGAGCTGATGATGATGTCGTCACCACGCCACTTGGCTGATGATAATGTCGTCACTACGCCACTTAGCTGATGATGATGTCGTCACCACGCCACTTGGCTGATGATAATGTCGTCACTACGCCACTTGGCTGATGATGATGTCCTCACTACGCCACTGAGCTGCACGTTCGGGCAACGCCACCCACCCCTGCTCCCTCCCCCGCCCCAGGCCCCCGGGCCCGCCCTTGCTACTACGCCGTTAGCGAGTGACACGTGCACCGGTGCTGCCCGTTCCCTGTCGTGGTGCAGCGCCGACGACGATGACGTACCCGATGCAGACGTTCGTGACCCAGCCGCAGGCGTTCACGCAAGTGCCCGTGATGGTGCAGCAGCAGCAGCAGCCGCTTCGCTCGCCAGACCCCGTGCGCATCACCTGTCCGTACTGTCACGACGAGGTGACCACCAAGACGAAGAGGCGCGCCGGTTCCTACGCCTGGTCCGCCGTGGGCATCATTTTTCTGACCGGCTGGTTTTTTATTCTGTGAGTCTGCGTTGTGTCTGTGTGTCTCATCTCAGTCAATCAACCCATGGCACCTGGGTCTGATCCGTGACCTCCTCCTGCAAAAAACCTGGCACAGCAGTCAACCCATGGCACCTGGGTCTGTCCCGTGACCTCCTCCTGCACCTAACCTGGCACAGCAGTTAACCCATGGCACCTGGGTCTGATCCGTGACCTCCTACTGCACCAAACCTGGCACAGCAGTCAACCCATGGCACCCGGGTCTGACCCGTGACCTCCTCCTGCACAAAACCTGGCACAGCAGTCAACCCATGGCACCTGGGTCTGTCCCGTGACCTCCGCCTGCACCTAGCCTGGCACAGCAGTCAACCCATGGCACCTGGGTCTGTCCCGTGATCTCCTCCTGCACCTAGTCTGGCACAGCAGTCAACCCATGGCACCTGCTGGGTCTGTCCCGTGACTGGCTCCCAGCAGAAAGAGCTTTCGACACTTCACATGTGGCCTTAAAGTGCACCGAGCCTGGCATGAACGCCGTGGCGACTTCACCGCCACTTAGTGGCAATTGTTGCCGGAGCGGTGGTTGAGCAGTTAGCAGTTAGCGTGCTGACCCCGTGCCCCCGACTGGACACGTGTGAAAAATATCTTTATTGCTCGTCGGATTCATGCAGTAAAAATCAAAATTCGAATTCTGATGCTCTGCCCTCTCCCCACGCCGCATCTCGCCAGGCCGTGGCTTTTTTGCTGGATCCCGCTGTGCATCCCCTCCTTCCAAGATGTTCACCACAAGTGTCCCAAATGCAAGAAGCACCTCTACACCCACTCGCCTATGTGATCGCGGCGGCCGCCTTCACGCGAGCCCACGGATTCAAGTCGGCCGAGTGTTGTGGGGAGCAAGGAGAGCCTTCTCTACCGCCCCCCACCCACCCCACAACCGCCCCGTAAAATTTCAATTTAAATCTTTCGTGACTGAAGGGATTCATCTTCTTGGTTCTTTCGGTGAAGTCACGTAGAAGGGAAATAATAAAATAATACAAGTAATTTTTTAAAATCATGTTTTCTTATTCTTATTTTCTTATTTCCCTTCTACGTGACTTTACCGAAAGAACCAAGAAGAACCGCCCCGTACTTAATTCGTGTTTTTGATGATTTACCTTCGAAGAAAGATCTGGCCATGTCTCGCACCCCCAGAGAGGGCGTCCCCAGGGGGTGCGCAACACCCCAGCTTAAGAACCACTGGATTAGATCGTGTTCACTACACTCACAGATCGCGTGTTATCACGACACACGGACAGAATTAAACGTGCCTTGTGCTCCCACGTGTGAAGTGATGGTTGATCTTTTACTCCAATCGGTCGGGTTGTAGCCACGCAGCCAGTGGCGGATTTCGTCGCATTTGGGGGCTCTAAAAGCCACAATATGTTTGATGTTATCCCCCTTATCGAGGCAATACGTGAAATCCTTGTGAGATCTAGCCAAGATATATACGTTTTAGACAACAGATGTAATATAGTAAGGGGCCGTCCATACATGACGTCACACACCTAGGGTGGGGGGGGGGGGATCAGACATTTGTGACGATGTGTGACGAGGGGGTTTGAGAAATGTAACGTCACATCAAAATGCGCAACTTTAAATAAATATAAACAATGTAATTGTTATAATAACACAAATTTTGATACATTTTCATTATTAACTATTTGATTATTTTAATTTACTAAGGTCACCTTTTATTTATTCCATGAAGGAGCATTTTGCTTCTCCATGGGAGAATGGAGAAGCATACATTTAGATTTTTTTTTAATGATTGTTATTAAACATTTTGATTCTAATGATTCTACCAGGGCTTTTCATTCTGTGGAATGAATATGTGATTGTTATAATTGTACTCTTCATTTTTATTCGTTCTACTACAAAGTTGAAAGTATTTTTTATAGTTATAATTACTTTTAATATTTTATAATTATAAGATAATCTCAATATAATATTCTGAACATCTGCAGTTTTAGTTAGACGTTGAATACTTTCAAGTTAATTTTATGCAAAATTTCTGCTTTTCGACGCCTCTTTTTGAATAAATGTTTTCTCCTACAACATCAGAGTGCAGCGCCACGTTAAATACGCACTACAATGACAATAGTTTAAAGTGATTTGAAGCATATTTTCAAAATGGAAATATAACTTTTTGTGACGCCGTGTGACGAGGGGGGGAGGGGGGGTCAAATATCGGCCAAAATCGCGTGACGTCATTTATGGACGGCCCCAAAGGTTAACGAGATGAAAGGGGAAGTGCTTCCGATTAGCGCGGTTGGCTACATACGGTTGCGGACGAAGTTCAACATAGTACGCAGACAATGTGAGAGACTCATTTGCTTTGCTGTGTTAACTATAACCTGCTTCAGCTTATTCAGAGTTTATACTTCACCGCGCTGGTCAGGTTAGTTGACCATGCTTCACCACGCCGGTCAGGTTATTTGACCATACTTCACCTCGCTGGTCAATGCGGGTTGGGAAAGGGGGGGAGGAGCATACTTGCGTAAGCATACAAGTGTAGTGACACAGCGCCGACTGTTGTACAGCAGCGTCAACTGCAGGTGGACACGACTTAGCGCACACGCCGTTGAGCACATACACGGTGCGTGTGCCGGCAGGACGGAGGAACTGGGGCAAGGGTCACGGTAGACCTCGTGGGGAGGGTTCGAGAAGGGAGGCGCGGCTAGGAAGGAGCCAAGCCGTGCCGAGGGGAATAAAAGCAGCGGAGAGCAAGAGCTCCGGGCTCCCGGTTCTGGGATTGGACTCGTCTTGTCATCATCGATCGTCGATCGCTCTCGTCACTGCCGCCTTCGCCTGATCGTTACGCGGCTGGACAGCGGTTGGCTGTCCCGGTCAACGCCGTCGGTGCAACGCGGACAGGGTCGTGTCTGGGACGGGTTGTGTCTGGGACGGGTTGTGTCTGGGACGGGTCGTGAGAGAGAGGGGAGCCGAGTTGGTGGCGTGAACTCGACAACAATAAAAGGGGAGGACGGTGCCTCCTGCGACTACCTCGTCTCCGGTAGTGGTTGGGGTAGTGATAGGGGTTGTGTTTGGGGTCGGGGTAGTGTTTGGGGTAGTGATAGGAATAGTGGTTGGGGTAGTGATAGTGGTTGGGGTAGTGGTAGTGGTTGGGGTCGTGGTTGCGGTAGTGATAGGGGTTGTGTTTGGGGTAGGGGTAGTGATAGGGGCAGTGGTAGTGGTTGGGGTAGGGGTAGTGATAGGGGTAGTGGTTGGGGTAGTCATAGGGGTGAGGGTAGTGATAGGGGTCGGGGTAGTGATAGGGATTGTGTTTGGGGTCGGGGTAGTGGTTGGGGTACTGATAGGGGTAGTGATAGGGGTAGTGGTTGGGGTAGTCATAGGGGTGAGGGTAGTGACAGGGGTCGGGGTAGTGATAGGGCTTGTGTTTGGGGTCGGGGTAGTGGTCGGGGTACTGATAGGGGTAGTGATAGGGGTAGTGGTTGGGGTAGTTATAGGGGTTGTGTTTGGGGTAGGGGTAGTGGTTGGGGTAGTGGTAGTGGTTGGGGTAGTGATAGGGGTTGTGTTTGAGGTAGGGGGGTAGTGATGGGGGTAGTGATAGGGGAAGCAACATGGGTGGGGATCGTCCTGCTTGTAGCTTGTAGCTGGCGACGGGTGGTAGGGGGAGGGGCATCAGGGTGATGGGCTAGGTGAGTAAGAGACGCGGGTTGCTTTAAGAGGGGGGCGGAAGCTGCAGGTTGTTAATGTGAAGGCGAGTGTTTACGTGCGGCGGGGGAGGTTGTTCACGCGGCAAGAAGGCACAATGAACGAGCGACCACGTGGGACGTGTGATGCAACAAACGGACGTCGTCAAAAATAAGAACAGGTTCCACCCTTCCTGTCAATCAAACAGCAAGAATTGCGTTAAGATGTTCGACCGCCAAATAGAAAAAAATTTAGTTGTTGCAAGAATCCAGTTTCCGCATTAACCACACGTACAAACAAACGTGTGCTGAATGCGGTAACTCGATTCATTGCAAAGAAATGCTTCTGTTTGGTTCTAGATTTGAAGCTTTCGTGACTGCAAGGATTCATATTCTTAGGTTTTTTCGGTAAAGTCACGTAGGTAAAAAAATGGTGTTTGAACATTTAAAGACACACCTCCTGTTCTACTGCCAGAAAGGGTGAGACCGTTTCTTTTTCAAACGCATGCTTGTTCAGCACTGCCCCTTGCCACGTCGTTGAACGGTGGGTCGCCTATAGCCTCGCAGCTGTGCTCAACGCTGATTTGGCCTTTCGAGAACCTTTCGAGAACCGACCAGATTTGGTGCGCACTCCGGGACGATTTACGCCATCGGCTGGGAGACCAACGGTGACGGTGAGTGCCTGCTATTAAGCTAACTTTAGTCCGCGCCCCGCGCACGCTCCGTGTGGCCCTCGCCGCGCCGTCACCTCCGGCCCCTCCTTGTGCTCTCTCCTCACCCTGCTCTGGCCACACCGTCCTCGGGTCCCCCATACCCGCTCCGACCCTCTTCTCTCTTCCGTGCCCCTCGCACGCTCCGTGTCCGCGCACGCTAGACTCCAGGGCCCCTCGGCCCCGACCACGTGGCAATGGCGCCACTTCTCCTGTTCCCACCAGCGTGGCTCCCCTCTGTGGTTCCCTCTCTTCTCCCCCAGCTCCTCCTCCGTCTCTCTCTTATATCCCCCCCTCTCACGTGACCCAACTCCACCTCCTCCTCCTGCCCCTGTCTCTGCCCCCACTCACCCCGACGACCAGGCTCCGCCTCCCTAATACACCGGCCCGTGTGAGTGGTGCGGAGGCAGCGCCCACCCTGTCCTTGCTCGTATTACACTGCTATGTAGAGTTAGTAAATACTAAAACAGTCAAAATATACCACTACAATCAGTCAATACTGCTAGTCAGTATATACTACTATACAGTCAGTACATACTACCACGGTGAGTAGCTACTAGAGTCAGTAGATACTATTATAGAATGAGTAGATACTGCTATAGAGTTAGTAGTTACTACTATAGTCAGTGGATACTACTATAGAGTCAGCAGATACTATACAGTTAGTCGTTACTACTATATAGTCGGTAGATACTACTGTAGGCCCAGTAAATACTACTGTGGTCAGTAGTTACTACAGTCACTAAATACTACTACACAGTAGTAGTAGGGTTTTACCCTTTAAACTGGTACAAAACTGACACCTTTATACAAGGCATCATGTTTTCAATAACCACAACACAAGTAGTCAAAATGCAAGCAAAAAGAAACAATTCTGATGATGATAATGATATGCACTGTCCTTGAAGTTGATTGGTCAACACCCAAGAGAGCTTTCCTTAGACAAACTCCACTCTACATCCTGGCACCAGATAACTCCACTCTACATCCTGGCACCAGACAAACTCCACTCTACATCGTGGCACCAGACAAACTCCACTCTACATCCTGGCTCCAAACAAACTCCACTCTACATCCTGGCACCAGACAAACTCCACTCTACATCGTGGCACCAGACAAACTCCACTCAACATCCTGGCACCAGACAAACTCCACTCTACATCCTGGCACCAGACAAGCTCCACTCAACATCCTGGCACCAGACAAGCTCCACTCAACATCCTGGCACCAGACAAACTCCACTCTACATCCTGGCACCAGACAAACTCCACTCTACATCCTGGCACCAGACAAACTCCACTCTACATCCTGGCACCAGACAAACTCCACTCAACATCCTGGCACCAGACAAACTCCACTCTACATCCTGGCACCAGACAAACTCCACTCTACATCCTGGCACCAGACAAGCTCCACTCAACATCCTGGCACCAGACAAACTCCACTCTACATCCTGGCACCAGACAAACTCCACTCTACATCCTGGCACCAGACAAACTCCACTCTACATCCTGGCACCAGACAAACTCCACTCTACATCCTGGCACCACTCTTTGGTTCTTTCGGTAAAGTCTAACTTAGCAATCTTTTAAATACGTAATCAACCAGGCTATGCGTTAATTGTGTGTTGACCGACTCTCTGTGTTGCATTACATTACATTTCGATATTTTGCTAGGTTATTTAATTTAGTGTGTCTCTCTCCCGCTCTCCTAATTTTCAAGCTTGCGTACCTTGCCAACCGTCGTCCTACTCATTGACATGCTAATTTTTTCTCTAACCCCTCCCTCTCTCCGCCCCCACCCCCTCTCTCTATTTAAGGCCTCGTCACAGACACGTTCTCTCTCTGTGTGCCGGTGTGTTCTCTCTCTATGTATCTTTGTGATATCTGTCTGCTTATATGTCTGTCTATAGTTTTCTGGTTAGATTTTTGTTGCTATTTCTTTTATAGCTGATGATGATTGCTTGTGTTGCAATCGAAACGTCGTATGCTATTATTAAATTTATTATTTTATCTTTATACGTGATTTTACCGAAAGAACCAAAGAGTGACCGGATTAAGTCGGGCCGTTGCGCTCAGGTGACTCCAGGGATGCTTGTGACCGGAGGTGCATGTGGCACATTAGGAATGGACCACTCTTTTATTTATTTCCTTGTGCTGCAAGGGAGTAAATTGTGGTTCTGGGAAAGCCCTGTTGTTCTGTGCGTACAGCAGCATGTGGTGACTGAGATGGGCCTGTAGGTGGATGGCAGGGTTATTGAATAACCGCACTTGTACACCAGTCATATGGTTAATGGCGACTCGGTTCAAGAATTGCTGTGTGTGACACACGTGCTGTTGCATCTTACAGGTAAAGGACCCAAAGGTTGTTTTTGATCGTTTTAGAAATGTTCTAGACTTGTTCTTGACTTGTTCTAGACTTCAAGCTTGACTTTGAATTGTTTGTGACATTTTCAATTGGAGGGGTTTGAGCACTGTGTATTGTAAAGGATGATGCACTGTAATTACATACAGTGATTTTCATTCTTTAACCCTAATACTGTTTAGTTTATCACCATGCCCATGCACTCAGAGTATGACTAGTTGCAATGCTATTGAGAATAAAACACATGCATAGTCGTGTAGTGACTGGAAGCGTCACTACTGTGTACACAAACAAACGCGTGACACCACGAAGCGGGGAAGCGTCACTATCCCGCGGGTCCAAACACACACATGACGTCATCCCGGCTCTAGGCAGGAATGACGTCAGGGCTGGTTCCGAAATCTGAAGGTTGGGTAAGGCCGTGGCACTCTGAGTGAACCCGGCTGGACACGTGACCTATCAAGGTGGGGTGCCAGGTTCCCCGGGGGGAACCTTGGGTGGCCAGGTGGACAGCCGGGGAGCTTCGAGAGGGTTCTCGAAGAGAGGCATGTCCGGGGTGGGGCCCGGACACGCCGAGGCCGATAAAAACAGCCTCCTCATGGGGCTCGAGGTTGCACGTGTCTAGAATGAAGAGGGATCACGAAGACACCTCCTGAGAAGAAGAAGAGTCAAGCCTCCAGTCAGCAGACCCGCCAGTAGCCCACCTGGCTGGGTCACGCTAGTGTATCCGAGAGTCTGAGATAGAGAGTGACGGCGTGTGTTGGAGTAGGACGGTGGTTACCACCCTATGTTAGTGTAACGAGGTTGTTAATAAACAGTGCTGCCTCCCAAGAAGTGTGTACGCCTATCTGAGCCCATTACAGTCGTAAGTGGTACAATGGTGACACGTACAGTACGTATATTGTTCATATACAGTACAGTCGATGGTATAGAAAGACATACAGCTTAAGATTAAAGTAATATGCGAATAGTGAAGTGCAAAGGTCATTGTCAAAAACAACGATGGCTTATCAGTAGTAGAATTGGGTTTAAGAAAACTGTTATTGAATAACCGGACGTGTACACCAGTCATATGATTAATGGCGACTCGGTTCAATAAATTTTGTTTGTGACACACGTGCTGTTGCATCTTAAAGATTAACCACAATAAATGTGTTTGCCCTCGATTTGGAGCACCTGCCCACGTCCTTCATTTCGAAGGTGCAACATGCAGACCCCAGTCCCCCAAGAGGGGGGCTGGGGGGATGACGTCACACTCCAGGTCCCGCTCGAAGGTTCGAGAAGGAAGGCGTGGTTAGGGGTGGAGAGAGCTGGGACTGTGTATAAAAACCGGACCCATGAACGGGTCCGGCTGTTGTTGTCCACTGAAGATCCGAAAACGCCACCCTGAAGACCTGGAGCCAAGGCCAGGACCCGAGGACCTTGGCTGGGTCGGGTCAGAGTTATCCTCCCTAGACGCCGTTAGCTGGAGGACCGATACTAGAGCTGTTCCCCCAGTATGTAGGACACGCTAGCCCGGAGGACATACCTCCCTATAGTATCGGGTGAAAGGGGCCGTTACCCCTTTGTATCAGGGATTGTTATCGTTATTGTTAAATAAACGTGTTGCCTCCAGAGAAGTCTCTCCATTTGTACCCACTACACATGTGCAAGGACTGGATGGAAAGTTGCACCGCATAATTGTGAGAGATGACTGCGACTTGAGAAGGCCTTGATCCAGCAGTGGATGTATCATGAAATGAAGCACACTGCGTTATAAATATGCCACCCGAGTTCAATTCGCGCTCATGTCTAACAGCAGTTATCTGAAACGAACCTGGGTTTCCGCTTGGTCGATACAGCCTTAAATAAGTAGCTAGATTCTGAGTACCAAATGTCCGATTTCCACCGGAATTTACACACAGGCATTGCATACATTTCCACGAGAATTTACGAGTGATATCGAGCAGTTGTGAGTACTCCATTACTCTCTGATACGGGTGCGTGAGTGGAGAGATCTCTGTGATTGTCCAGTTGTGTGTTAAGTTCCTGGAGCCTGAATACTAAATGGCCAAAACAATTATTTACATTGCGAAGGCCACGATTGTTGGCATGTCCGATTTCCCAAGGCATTTACACACGGAGATTCCGTAGGAATGCAAATTCTCTCTTTGGCCACACTAACTCAGTCAAAAGGCACGATAACCGCTTTCAGAAGTTGCAGTTTTGTTTTCATTCCCAGAAAGTGTTTTACGCACACTCATGATATTTTTATTGGAATTATTCAATTATTCAAGCCCAAGCATGTTTATGGATATATAATGCAAACAAACTGTTGGCTTGTTGTCAGGAGTATATGTTTGAATTATGATTAAATTGTAATGGATGAATTAATCTGTGGCTGATATACTGTATATAACGGTGGGTGACGTACGGTGCGAAAGAAGTTCAACATACATATATAAAGTTGCAAATTTATTAACGAAGTAATCTGTAGTTTCAACCATATTTGTGGCAATGCATTCATTTAGCACATACAAATATTGGCGTAAGTTCTGCGATAATCTGTGAGATTGGTGCACTCTTTTTCCGGTTGCAATCTTCACAAACTCGCAACGACCGACATGGGAAAAAGAGGTCATGTGATTTGACCACCCACTATGGACGTTCAGCCTGAACAACAGCTCAGTCACAAGCAGCTTTGGTTTTAATAAATGTGGTATCGACTAAGTACAATGTGTCAGTTACAACAAGCAATCATTATCAAATGTATCAGTGCCTTAAAGTTTTTAGTTCTTTTATTATTTCAGTGCCATTATATATTTGGGAAAGCCTTCAATCATCAGTAGATCGACCATTGATGATGCTGATATGAATGCAAATCCTGAATATAGAAAATAATAAAGAAAAGTTGATGTAATACATCTATCAGACGATAAAAAATACTTGATGTCAATGATCATAACCCTAAAATAATGAAGTCGATGCTGTGGTGTACAATACAAATGTGATTGCTCCACTGACATAAACACAACAAACTTTTGCATAAAAATGTGGCCGATATTTTATTGAAAATAAAACTTTTTCCCAAACTGCCATCCAATAAGAAAACTTCCCTGTAAAGTATTTGTGTATTTTTTTACTATAGGTGGAAGGCTTAAAAAAATAATAGCAAAAAAGTATTCACAGCGATATATTTTTTAAATCAAAGGGAAAAAATTAACCCGTAAAAACAAAGTTTTTCACTATAAATCCTTTATATGCGTGGCGGCTGGAGTCCTCTCGTCCTCTGGCTTGAGATGGCTGCCACCTATGGGTCAGATGATTGCCTGCCACCATTAAGCAATTGGTAATTAAATATAAAAAAAAAATCCTAAAAAGTGTAATATTTTGGAGAAAAAAAATTCACGGAAATAAATTGTCACGCTCAACGAGTCTGTGTGCAAAATGTCAGCTCGATTGGATCAGGGGAAGTGGGTTAAAAGACGACCGAAAGATTTGCACGGTCGTAAGCGTGCAAGCAAGCAAGTGAACTTAATATAAAGGATGTAAAAAAGAGTCCACGAGCAGAACAACTGGACAACTTACGAATCCAAGAGTCCACCAACTGCCTTATTTGTACCACGTGGTCTGGTGGTGACCTTGCAGTGTAGATTTCTTACATACATTTTCCTGAATTCAATACGAAAAAATTATATAAAATGATTAGTATTTCAAATGCATGTATTAAACGTATTAAGAATAACGTTTAATAAAAGGGAGTGTAAATTGACCACCATTAGACAATGTACGTGGTAGACCGATGCATGTACTGTGCACAGTTTAATGAGCACACGAACAGTGTTGACGATGCATTTGTTTTATTCATAGCTTGAAAGAATGTTCTGGTAGCTTTCTGCCATGACGAATGAGAGCGCTGAAAGTGTTTGCTTTCATTGCAAAGTAATCTTCCAGAAGGCGTAATTGCATCATGCTTCCTTAAATGATCAACATTAAAATGATGCTCATTAATTCATCAGATCTTTTTTGTTTTCTGGAAGCCTGAGCATGATTTATTCAAGATTCTATGCAAACATCAACCCTATGTGTTGTTGATACTCAACCAATGAACTGACTCGCACACACACCAAGGAAACAGGCTATTCTTAATCTCACACAACCCCCCCCCCCCCCCTATTTGAGCAGACTTCACCATTATCCTGGTTGTACGGGTTGGTTGGTAAAAGAATGGAGCATGGACGTGGGAGCATAGAAGAATATGAAAACAATGGATTTGGCCATGAGATCACAGTATGACAAATGACTGAATCCAGAAAAGAGGATCTTTGGGTGTTTTCTCTTCATTATAACATTCTCCATTCAAGAACCCTTCTCAACGTGAGCAGAGTAACAGGTTGAATAAAGCAACATAACTAGGGGTGTTTTGTCATTGAGAATGAAGGAAGAGCTCAGCATACATACGTGTCAGGTGCACATTGAGGCCACGTGAAGTGTCGAAGGCTCCCTGGCAGGTCACGGGACAGATCCATCCATGTGCCGTGGGTTGAAGATTCGAGAAGATTGGCAGATGCACCAACTTGGCTCCCCACAGTGTCACCTCTCCCAGCCACATGTAAACAGGCACATGTACCACCCCAACCCCACGGCCGCCCCACCCCTCCCCAGCCCCACGCACCTGGAGAGCCCCACCCTCACCTGGGTGCTCGCATATAAAAGTGCGCGCATCGCTGCGATCCTCACATCAGCGGCTCCAGATTCGACCTTCCAGTTGCTCACGGATCACCAACGACTTCAGCCATGGTAGGGAATACACTCATTGCACCATCACGACAAAGATGCCTGGCATTGCCTTTCACATATACACGGATACCGAACGTTTCGTTAGAGAGCACCTATTAAATAGAAAACATATTATATATTCGTATAAAAACATTCTATATATATTTTATTTGGAGAGACAAATATGCTCTCATTGATGACGCTAAAAATTATTTTCCGTTACCTATTAAGGTTGTTAAACAATTATCCATGAATTTAAAAAAATCGGCCTTGGACACTGATATCCATACGCTAGTCATGGAATCGATAATTGAATCCAGTAGAGACAAACGTAGAATACTTGTTTTAATTGTTCATGGCTTGTTGATTATTTGCATCGTCATAAGCTACGATCAAACCACACGATTGGCCAAGGATGTAATTTAAAATGGATCGCTGCAGTTCATGGCTCTCGACATTCTACTCTATTGTGAAGTATTCTTCCAAACGTTGACTTCGCACAATGATCAATATGCAGTGTCGCAGCTCCGTATGATGATGTTAAGATTTCTAAAAGTTTTGTTTCTGATTTGTTTTGAAAAACAGGACCGGGAATCACAGGTGGAAGCTAATTTCGAACCAATTGACATGGTGAGTGAAAGCAGTTGCATCTGTATCCTCTTCTTTTATCTGATTACACCTATTTACTTTGTCCACCTTATCTTATTTTGCTACATCTCATGTTTCACTTGTCTACATCCTGTGTTTTCTTACTTGGGAATTTACGAATTGAAAGGGAGGGAACGTAAATGCTTAGAGCCCCCAATGGGCTAGCACCTCTGCTCTTATGTGTCGTGTTTAGGTCTGCTGTTCTATGAGCATTAAAGACTGAAGCTACTCACTCTTCTCGTGCCCAAGCCATGGCACCTGGACACGAGATGGGTGTCTCTGTTCACCTCCCTCGTGTTTACCTGAGGCAGTTGAAATGCAGCCTCTAAGAGGTGCGATTTCCACACAGCAAGTCCATGCTTCCTGTTGCATATCGCTGGATCATGGCCCTCACAAGCCTGTGGGACCCTTCAGCTACTGTGGGACTTGTATCCCTGATCAGTGCCAACACTCACCTCTGTACCAGCTGATATAATGATGATTATGAGTTACTCTTTGGTTCTTTCGGTAACGTCACGTATAAAGAGAAAATAATTAATTAAATACTAGCAATAATAATCCTTTTTTATTTTCTCTTTATACGTGACTTTACCAAAAGAACCAAAGAGTAATTCCTGCAGTCACGAAAGCTCCAAATTAAGGATGATCATGAGACCCATTATTCATACCAAAAGTCTCACTTCGTCTCAAGATGTTTCCAGCAGGGTCATCCATTGCTGTGATTGATTAATTCCGTGCATGAGTGGATGAGAGCCTCCTCATGCCTTGCGGATTGTGGGTTATTTGACCATACTTCACCACACTGATATTTTTGAGTTGAAGGTGGTGAGCGTGGACATGGGGACATTAAGGTAAAAAATCCATTACTCACAGTTCTGCGATATACCAATCCACCAATGAACAGCACACAAGCTAATTTCATCACTGACATATCCGTGGTAGATCACAGACACGTTTTTTCCCTTGGATGTGAATCTGTTGCTAGTCTTGACCACTAGCCACCTTCCCATTAATTTGCACCAGCACTTTCAAATCTGTCATTAACGAGCAAGGCAATGTCTCCTCCTCATTCTGCGGAAACAGGACAACGACGGCTTCATTTCGTTTGCCGACTACCATGACTTCTTGGAAATGAACGGTGTGGATCAAGACTGCACCAGTGTGGACAAAAACAAAGATGGCAAGATCTCTTTCGAAGGTGTGTGGCCATAGTCTACGGAAGATCGTGGCACAGGGCTGTTACCTTGTTTAAAAGGGACATACACAAACTCAGGATGGCATGATATAATCCGTGAGTCATAATGACATCTGCCTTTGATGCGACCATGATATATGCTCTACCTCGCTGATGGTAAAGGGCTACACTGGGGATAATAGGACTCACGGAAGATAGAGAGGACAAAGGCAAGGGAAAGGCATTGCTATATGAACAAAGATGACCCGTATTCACAAAGAAAACCTTCCACACTCTCTCCTGAACTGGAATGTCTTCCCAATTAGCTAAATTCTTATTTCACGTGTGGGACGAAATTGGAGTACCCAGAGAAATCACGCTTATACAAGAGAACAGCAGTGGAATGTGCACAGACATACATTTGAGAATTCATTGCTCTACTGCCATTTCCTGGAAACCTATAGTTAGGAAACTCATCATTACATTCAAATGAAAAGTTTTTTATTCTCGTTTGAAATTTAGGACGTAACCACGTAATTTTGAGGAAATTAAAGGTCGAATTACGTTTATTTAACAGATTGTTTTATTTAATTCCCTTCTACCAACTATCCAGTACAATGCCACATAACCGACGTGATGTGAACTGAGGTATAGGTGGTTATGTAACAAGGTCGGACAAGTGAACATCTAAAGAAAATTTGAATTGGGCCTTGCACAAATAGGTTGCTGAACCAAAACAAAGTACAAACTGCTTTAAACATTACGAACTGCTGTTCTTTAGAAATGAATGTGTGTAACATTTTCAGTACATTCAGGTAGGGTGGGGTCATTTACATTTCTCGTTTGGGGCTGGGCATAGATCAGTGACGGGCACTTCCTGTAATAAGGGGTTTCCCTTGTTTCATGTGGGTTCAGTTTATGTGATTTTGTCTTTTTGCGGCTAACCTATTTATACCCAAAATTTGCGATATGCGATTTGAATTCACTGATATGCGACTACGTGGTTGGACATGTGCGTACCATAATCTGGCTGTCGCCTGATGAAGCTAGATGTAATTACTGGCGAAACGTAGTGCTCAGATTGTAAATGTTGTGGCTAGGCTCTCCAACACACCGGTGTGCTGTACTAGTGACGAATTGGCATGTTCTGTTCACGTGACAACCCTTACTCGTTGGCTGTGTCGGGTGGTGGCGGGTTTAGCGATACATTTATTTATTTATGCGATCTAAACCAAAAAACCTCTATTATGGATGATATTGGTCGCGGAAGCCTACGTGTTAAATTGTGTGTACCGTCTGCGCTACTCGACTGGCAGCTTTCTCCTATGGTCCCTTGTGGGTTACGTGAGTGTGAGGTCTCTGCTGTTACGCAATTTTGCTTTGTCCACCCTCTTTTGGAACGCATCTACGCCAGAAAGCGAGGGAACCCTGTACGTATGCCATCCATTTTAAGTTACATTTCTCTCCCATGCCAGAGTTTTCTCAATTCTACAAGAAGGACTCTGACAAGCAGAAGGAGAAGCTGAAGCTGAAAAAGTGAACTCCAAGGACATGGCTGCGGGGTGAAAGGGTTGCTCTTAGTTTTTGCTTCTTAATCATCATGACCAGTGTCAACCCTACTACTAAGTATTAGGCATGTAATCATGTATTTATTCATTAAAATGAATTCTTACTCTCTCATTCATGCCTCCAATCGGTCGTGCAAGAATCAGACATTTAAATGGCATTGCATATTATATGCAAACATTATCTTTATGCTGAGCAAATTTAATTATATGAATGAGATTAAATATATTACAATAAGACCTAAAAAAGGAATTGATTATTGAATATAATAGAGAATTGACATTTCACTGAATCAGAGGGTAATCTTTACATGCCTAATAAAAAAAAACTACTGCTGCTATTTATAGCTATTACTACATATATGTGACACTACTGCTAATTAGCACAACCACTAATGCTCCATTTAAATGTACTTTTAGTACAAAGCATTTCAATAATCTTTCAGATGTATTGTGCTGTATGACGTCCAGGCACCATTATCGCAAATTGCACAATGACACGAACTCGAACGAGGCATAATGCATCCATTCAATACGGAATAAACACCTCAGTGCAGTACACGTACTCTCAAATACCAGTCACAGATCACTCTTGAACAACACTACATTCAGAATGCTGGACGTGGCTTGGTAACCTGAAAGGCAGCAGTGTACAGAATGCTAACACGGTTCTGTCTGCAAATACAGCCCAGCGTTCTGATGGATGGATTTTTACACATGCAATGAAATAAACCCAGCCTTGCTTATATTAAAGCTGACTACCCCTTGTTCATGTGTACACGCGCACCTACGTGAGTGTGTGTGTGTAGTGGGTTCTACTGACGACGTAGAAGTATGGTTGAGGCAACACTTATTTATTTAAACTTACACAACACAACAGCTCTAACAGGAAGGGTAGCGGCCCTTCCACCCGTTAACTAAGGGGACACACTTCCCCACAGAACTCGCCCTATCCCTGAGCTCGGGTCTCGGGCTAGTCTGACCTCACCCAGCAAGGGTGCAGGTCCCGACCACTGGTTACACGGACCTGGCCCTCATAAGGACGTCGGGCTCCGAAGTTCCCAGGGTCACACCACTGGCTCAGTCTTCCCGGCTCTGATAAGGACTGCGGGTCAGATGAGTCCCAGGGTCCTAGGCTAGCCGGCCTTCTGTCTTCAACTGGTTCTTCTGTCTTCGCTGGCAGCACTGCCGGGACCCTCTCGGGCTTCTGCCTTTTATCCTACCCTGTGGCTTGCTCCGCCCTAGCCACGCCTCCCTTCCCGAATCTTCTACGAGGTCTGAGAAGGGTGACATCATTCCCCCACAGCCCCCTACTTGGGGGCTGGCCCATTCGCTCCAGGATCCGATCTGCCGGTTGACTGTTTGCCCCTTGAGCCCGTTGACTGCCCACTATGGGACAGATGTGGGAACCCCCCAGAGACGGTGTACGCCCGTCCAATAACACCGTTACATATGCTTGTGTGTGACTGTGTGTTGTCGTGTAGCGATTAGCGTGCTGCGTTGTGAACTCTGCAACCGAAGCTCAATTATCCACTCACGACCAATACAAGTGACGATTCTCTGAACCTGTCCTGGGCCGCCCCTAGATCAACTCGGCCTCAAACAAGAATATATCGTTCCTGGGGAGATGTTCCAAGAGGCACCTGTGGCCAGTACAACTAAGCCGATTCTCCAGCACCGACGATCATCTCCGTATCTTTTTTTAACCAAATCCATTTGTTGGTAGCCTGCGGAGATGTCGATGTGGCTAGTGCCGCCTCCTGCCAATAATTCAATTAATGCCTCAAGATCGCTGAGAAATCTTAATTTTAGAAACTTTCGTGACTGCAGGAATTATTATTTGGTTCTTTCGGTTAAGTCACGTCTAAAGATAAAATAATGAATTAAATTAAATAATAGCATACGACGTTTCGATTGCTGATGATGATTGCTTGTGTTGCAATCGAAACGTCGTATGCTATTATTTAATTTATTATTTTATCTTTAGACGTGACTTAACCGAAAGCACCAAATAATAATCGCTAAGAAAGTTATAGAATGTTTTAGAAGTTACTCCAAGTTTACTCAGCACTGATGACGATCGCTTGTGTTGTGATCGAAACGTCGTAGTTTTTTGTTATTTTCTTTCAATCTATCTACGTGTCTTTACCGAAAGACCCAAAGAATAGGTGTAACAACAGCCGACATACCCGAGTCAAATTTCTTGCAACGCGCTAAGCCGATTGTGCAAGTGCACAGCGAGCTGGGTCGTAGTCTGGAAAGAGCGCAGCGTTTGTGTGGTGCAAGCCTTTTCGATACACTATGGGAAACTATCCAACGTGCTAGCTGGCCAGCTGGTTGATCGATGCGTAATGAAAATTGGAGTGATGTACGATCAGTCCGAATAGTAAACTTGCGCCCATATGAACCGTATGTACTGTTTACAAAATGTGTTCACAAATCCACACTGAGAAACTCAATAATTGAGAGAGGTGTATAAATTATTTTTAGTGTATTTAAATAGAGGTACTGCAGGTAAATAGTTTTCAGTTTTAAAGGCATAGTTTAACAAGACAACACTTGCCAACATCCTTCAAACCCACTGGTGAAAAAGAGCAAAGTTTTTGTTTACATTATAATGTTTATGCGAGAGCCGGGGGCTTATGGAACCCCAGGGTCCCGCCATAAGTTTACATATATAGATATAATACGGGCGAAATTGCTGTGTGAAATGTACCGTCGCTAACAGTTTCCTGCGCATGACGCAATATCGCTGTTCGGCTGTGGACAGGACGCGACTCCCAAATGCTATGACAAATTGTTGGCCATCCTGTGTCTGAGATGGAACGGTATCAATGCCTACGTCGCTGGCATCCGTGTCTAGAGTGAAAGGAAGTGCAACATTTGGGTATGCTAACGGCTGTGCTTTTAACAGAAGTGTTGGTGAAGACAGTATCCTCCGTACCGAAACATAACATATACAAATTAATATTTAAAAAAACGTTTTTTTTTTAAAGACTATAGTATTGTCATCAGTATGACATAAGTATACTAAGTTTGCAGTCGATACCACATTGGGAAGTGGGTTAAAATTGAGTTACAAGATTTGAGGATACGACGACAACAACAAGAGACAGAGTGAGTTAAATAAAAGCGTGTAAAATATTTTTTTTAAATAATGAGTGCTCCATCACCCAGGGCCGACGGTAGTGGTTCTAACGACTCTCCATCCGACCATGCCAGCGCCTTTGCTGCTGCTTGAAACACAAAGGCGCCCCAGTTTCCTCCATCTGCCACGAACTTTTCTATTGTCGCTGCCAGCCAACGCAGCTGTCTTGCACCTCCACGCCGCTCCTGCTGCCATGGAATCCTATAAGCCCGGGGCCCCCTGTTCTTGGAGGTGAGATGGGCTCTGTGTTAGCACTGGCTGCTGCTATAGAAGATGCTGTTGTTTTTGGAACGTATATTGCTGTGGCTGCTGCAACTGCTGTTGATGGATAGGTAACAGTTGATCCAGCAAGGAAGGTTGATCTGGCATGGTTTCCCCAAGAACCGGCTGTGGGGTAGGCAGCCTTGGCCCCTCAGTTTCTAGCTCTGGTTCCACCGGTACTGGCTGCGGACTCTCATTTGCTGTTGCAGTAACAATGTAACAGCATCCAACAGTCTGTCCAACTTCTCCACGCGGGACGGATTTATTCGTGGCGTGGAAGGGCCGCTACCTAACTGTTGTACGGATCTACTTTGCAGAGTTGGTGATCGGGTTGAGCCTTCCTGAGGACCTGCCATCCCAGCCTTTTTTCATCTCTTCCGCGCTGCCCCATACCACTCCATATTCCATTTCCACAGATCTCTCCGATAGTCCCTCGTATTTAACAGGATTTGAGTATGCAGTATCCCACCGCTGCCACCAAATGTAATGGACTCCAAAGGCGGTACTTCCTGGATAAAGTTTGTCCTCAACAATAACGTTCAATGCCCACCACCAACCAACACAACTCCCCTGTTTCCCTCTTCCAAGTCCCCCTCCTCCCTTTTATACTCATCTCCCTCCCGCTCTTCAATCTCCGCCCATCCCTTCCTCCTAACCAATCCCTCTGCTCCCCTTGTAAGTGCCCAATGGAGCCCTTGCCTTTTTCAAATATCCATCTTCTCACTCTTGAATACCTTCCAACCAATCACCATCTAGCAAGCCAGATCATAGCTATCTTTATGCAGTAACGCCCCAACTCGTGACAGTTATGGTATTTATATCCATGTCACCCCCATGTCCTACAAATATGCTATCCAAGGATGTCTAACATCCTTACATGTGTAATGACAGTAGTCAACCTACGGTGTGGGTGGACTAGTGGCCACGGTAGGTAATGACAGGGGAGTCATCTTGTAGTACGAATGGACTGGTGGCTATGGGAATGATCGAGAATAGGAGCGTGGCCAGGTGACAGAAGAGGACGGTAGAGTCTGCTGGTAGAGCAAGCGTCTAGAATCAGCAAGAAGGTTTGGGAATGGGGGCGTGGCCTCGGACCGTACATAAGAGAGATGCGCGGGAGACTCGGGGCTGTTGCAGCAGGATCTCTGCCTGCTCAAGTGAACGTGTCTACAATAAAAGAAACCATCTCAAGAAAGTGTGTCAAATCGTCATTACACATGTTCATACAAGTGATGAGTGTGTGCGCAAGTAGTTCGACTAGCTCAGGAGTCAGAAACCTGCAGGCTCTGGAACTGCATGCGCCTCTTTAAGGACTGCTTTGTGACGTAATGTTCGTTTAACACGTAGTAATGTTCGTGTTGTCCGAGAGTCATTACATATGTATTCACATGCATTACGGCTTTTGAATTTGAGTTTCGTACAAAATTCGAAAAAATGTCTCTTTTTTATTTTGGTTGCCAACCCCTGGACTAGACACATCAACCAAACATACAGCGATGGCATAAAGCACTATATTTATTTCAACCGACAATGGGCACAAAAGCAGGTACACAGAAGGCACCACCAACATTTTTGAGGTTCCACCAGCACAAGTGATGAAAGCTCAACTGCGCAAGTGTCAATTTGTGGCAACAATGGTGTTTGTTAGTGAGGGGTGTGGGGCCATTGGGAGGTTTGTTGGGAGTGTGCCTGACTGAGTTCACACAGGATCGCTTAACGCATACACAAAACCGAATGGCTATTATGTATGTTGAACTTATTTCGCATCGTACTTAGCTAACCGTGCTAATTAGTGGAGGACAACAAACTAAACACAAAAAGCAGTTCTAAATCATTTAAAAGAGGCGACATCAATTACGGGCTGTAACGTGAATGCATTTTAATAAACGCGAGTAGAACTTTATAGTTCAGCGAGTGGAACTGTAGCCAATCAGGGTTGGGGAGTGGCAAGCAGCTTCCCATAAAGGACACCGAGTGGAATTCAACGAGATGTTAATAGCAGAAGTGAGGGCATTTCCATGGCTGCTGTATGATCGTAGCAGCCCTGCTTTCAAGGGCAAAAAAAATAAGTCAGAACATTGGTGTCAAATTCAGAGTTCTTCGTTATTAAGTGCATTGGGTGAGAAATGTATTTCTAATGGGTATTCAATTTAATTGGTGAAGAAACCAGCTTTAAATCATTAGCTATTGTACATTACTTTCCAAGGATAACGAAAAAATCTGAAAGGATTTTTTTATATTTAGTTGGAGAGTGTCCAAATGTTAATGTGGGCCAAATATCGGCCCAAACGATAAACACACACTACGTGACACCAAGTAACTCTAAAGTTAATACGTTTGTGGATGGTTGAATGGATTTACACAAAGCATGTGACATCCACTAAACGCACGTCTAAAATCCAGTGTGAATCCAGCCTAAGAGTAAGAGAGGGCGAATGTGTATAATTATCGAATGCCAGTATGTGTTGGTATGTAGGAAAGTGTGTGTATGTTGGTGATATTGTATTGATGGGCAACAGCACGCATTGGTAAATGTATACTCGTTGGTGACCATGTGCTTGTGAGTGAGTGTTGGCGTCTTTATTTCAGTGACTGTTGGTTCTTACGTGTGTACGTTAAGAGTGTTGGTGTCGAAGTGTAAGTGTAGAACTTGTGAGTGTTGGCTGTTGCCATGTCAGGTTTGTGTGGTTGAGTGTTGGTGCATGCGAGTGATGGTGTATGTGTTCGTCAGTGTTGTATGTTAGTTATAGTGAACGTTGCTGTATGTGTTTAGTGTATGTGAATTACGGTGTATTCAAGATATACGGCTGAAAGATGAAGTACGTAAGTGTGAGTGTATGTGTTGTTGTGCAAGTGCTGGTGAATGTTAGTGTGTTGATGTATTTGAGTGCGAGTGATGGTGTGTGTCTTGGAAGTATATTTGAGTGTTGGCATATGAGATGGTGATGATTAGTGTTATTGTGTGTGAGTGTATAAGTGTGAGAGTGTTCACAAACATGACTCAGCACCAGTGCCAACCCCGTCAATAGCTCAAGCAGGTCTACACTCTGCAAAACACCCCATACCAAGTATGCGAAGCAATGGACGCCATCTCCTGATAATAACAATCCCCATCAGCTGGGAAAACATGTGCAGACCAAAACAATATACCACACATCGGATCAAGGCAAAATAACGCACATCAGATTCACAGTGAGGTGCAGGGCTACCAGAGAGCAGTCACGGGGCAAGCCCCAACCCTTTGCAAACTCCCATGTAAAGCATTCAACCACTTTTATAATTAAAACATTCTCCCCTTGTTAAAGGAATGTTTTACTATTGTTAAATAAAGGAATGCACTCACTGGTTGAATAACGGAATGTCCTGACTGTTTAAATAAAGGTGTACCGACACTTGCATAAATACAGGAATGCTCTCCCGTGGTTCCACATGGCAATACAAAGGTGAGAAACACCCCCTCTGGAGGAGATGGAATATATTATTGCAGAGTTTTCCCAAAAATATGTTTCTCTCTGCCCAATCTTCTCACCCATATATTCACCAACCAACAGTTCTCTTACCAAAAGCGTTAACTCTCGGTTGGATAGTGCAGATTGTCCTTCGGGAATGACGTTTTAACCAACTACAGACAAAACTCCCCCAAAATTATAAATCATTAAAATTCAAACTACTATATATAACCTGAAGTAAACTATTTTTTATAACTATTAAACTTTTTTTATTTTACCAGGTAAAGCCTAATGAGCTACGTAGCTATTTTTCAGAAGCGACCTGGCCACAAATGATAGCTCAACGAAATAGCTTTTAATGTCAAAATTTCTAGCAGCAAAATACTCTAAAACGCATGTTTTTCTAAGTTTGGAGGGAAAAAACGGAGTACTTGGAGAAAAATTCATGCCACCACGGGGAGAACATGCAAATTCCATATATACAGGTGTCAGGGTCGGGATCGAACCCACGACCTCCTACATACCAAACAAGTAGGCTGTCCTAGCAGGAGTGGAATGATTCACTTCCATAAACTACTGGTGAGTAGACAAGTTGTCACAATTGAGGGTCAATATATACTTCAATAAATGGTTGTTGTTTAAACATTACAATTAGCGATAGTCTCTTAAAGGCTGCAGAATTGACATGAAATATATTACAAATTGCAGAAAAGTATTCGTACACTCGCGAGTTGATGCTTATACATTATGATAATTTACATTAATTGATTAACTGATGTATTGTTACATGCCGACTGGTCTAGATTTATAGCATGAATTGTATAATGCATGCGACAATCATTGCTCTTTTTAAACATGCGTTTAATTCTTTGGCTTATAAATATTAAGGCACTTTGACTTAAAGCGAAAGCAAAGTAAAACCATTCATATTTAATGGGGACCCCCAATGGCTGGAGCTCACACATTTCTCATTGGAAAAAAGCTATTCAGCGGATTTAAAGATGCAATGTACCACGATGATATGAAAAAAGGAATACTTTCCAGCTCAACCACTACTAACCGGTGGCAATGTGTTGCACAGCATGCAATGTTATTAAACAAAACAGAAAGGCACTGAAAAGTATTAATCTCTGAAGAGGCTCAAAGTGGCCAGGTCCTGACACAGTCATTAAGAAACAAAAAGCATACATTCTGCGATAACTCCTCGGACTCCCAACAGCACTGGGGTGAAACGTGGTACGTTTCGATGACTGCTATAACGGTCATCTTATTTGTATAACACTTTCAGCCACTGTACTCATGCAAACAAGAAGTCCACGATAGTAGGAGCCTACTGTAAATTGTCAACTAGAAACTGCGTGAGATGTTTTAAGACACTGTCTCTCAATCAGCAAATAAGAGTTAATCCATGCTTCGACTCAATTGCAACAATTGAGGTTATAATGGCCTTTTGTGTTTCTCAACTCAAGTTTCATGCTTTTTATTCATATGTGAAATAAACCATTAAACCACATTAATTGGACTCGGAGTCTACATGAGACATGTAGACTCGGGTTATTTCAGAAGGAGAAGAAGCATTCACACACATACATATCATGAGCTTACAGGTAAATATTGTCGCCAAATGATTCAAGAATCGATACTTTTTTTGCCACTGACCGCAGTCCATGTGGGATCTCGGGTGGTTGCAAGGTTTATGTGAATATAGTACATATAACATGCAATATCAGCCCTTTCTCAATCCAGTGCTTGAGGCGTTAACACGCCATTTCAATTATAGGGCAAATTTCGCTATTATTCACCACACTAGTCACTGGGGTTGATTAAGGGTGGGGGGCACAGGACCAGTTAAGATATCACTCACCACTGAAGGCAGCTATGGCCAGAAATGTAACTCTAGTTACTGGGTTGATGGCACAGTGCTGTTAACGGCTCCGCTGCCACAGACAATATACAGGATAAAAAAATTATCGATTCTTTTATACACAATTCTATGACCACGTTCATAAGAATCAATAAATCAATGCATTATTACATGCCTAGCATACATATTATAGTGCATACAGTAAATAACCAGAAACATGGCAATAACAGTGACTGTTATGATGAATGAACCATAACGGTGACAAACATAAATGTTACGACAGTGATGAAGTAGTTCTTGTGCTGACTGGGGGACTGCACTGAGCCTACCTCCGGTCACAGTTGTCACCGACTGACCGGTCTTCACCAAGCCATTCTTTCACTACTACTTGGTTGCCCAAATACAGTGAACCATTCGATTGTCCATGGGCCGTCTCTCTTGGTTGCGGACTAACCGTACTTGCAAAAAAAGAAATAAAATACCTTTATATGCACTTGTTGGTTTATGAGCAGTGGCTCACTTGTTGAGAGTCAGCGACTCAGTGTCCACGTGACCAAAAACACATGTCAGCAAGCAAATCGATTGCTTTAGTTAGCAACACACCCTACACTTTTTGCGCCTTCATCCTCATTACAAGCTGGTAAACAATAAATATGTTGTTATAGCCTAATTTAAATATCTTTTCCATTATCTGTCTTTTTGTTTTATCCAGGCCACCCCTCTCCCCTCAATAGCCCAGATGATCGAGTTATAGTGCCAGTGTGATGACACAGCAACACGCAGCACAGTGACACAGCGGGAGGGAAATGCATACTTGGGTTTGCACTGTTGTTACCCTGTACACTGGGTTTCAGCCTTTCTTAGTAAACCTTGTCAATAAAATACGTTTTTATTTGTATAAAATCTATTCATTTGTTATTCAATCGACAGCCTAGATGCCGGTTTGTGACAGCTATGTCATCAATTGTGTTCAAATCTGTAAATTAAGGAATAAATGCATAGGCTGATAGAAATGCAGTTTCCACAAAAATATCAGTGACAAAATTAAAATGATACCTTTCAACAAGTGAATGAGGCCCTAAACAAGCAACACTACATTTGTATTTATTTACGTGCGATGGTACAGAGGCCTCAGATGCTCGCCTTCTTGAAGATGCGCGTGATTTTTAAGGCACGGCTCTTCTTGGTGACCGGAGCTCCAGCAGCAACCGCAGCCGCAGTGGGCGAAGACCTCATCACATGGCTGCCTGGACTGCTCGCCCCTCCCCTTCCCAGACTTCCACTGGTACCACCGCCACTGGTGTCGCTCTCACTCGAGTCTTCGGGGCCCGAAGGAGTGTGGCCAGGACCCGATGGGACCTGTCCTGTCGGTGATTGGGAGGTGCAGCCTAGGGGGGCAGATGATATGGAGCCCAGTGACTCCATGCTGGTTCCCTGCCTAAGAGGGAAAAAGGAAGAGAGGAAAGGGAGCATACACGGGTTGTGGGAGATAGCGAGGATAGGGAAAGGATTGGAAAACGAGCAAATAATGAGGAGAGGAGAGAGGTGTTGCAGCAGCATAAGAGAGTGAATGGCAAGAGATGGAATAGGGTAAAGAGATGGAGAGAGAAAGAGGGAGAGGTTGAGATAGAAAAAAATAGATGCAAAGATGCAGAACACAGACAAACACGAACTTAGTACAGTGTCACCAAAATTATGTTACTGTAGTTAAACAAATGTAACACGATAATTCAAGTACCATTTATAATCTGAATGCATTTGGTAGCGATTAATTCACTGCTTGCATTTCATTTTAAATGGTAATAACGACCTAAATACCTATTTAAGTGCCAATTTACCAAAGCAAATGTATGTGGCAATTACAAATCAGTATTCACAAATGCCTTCCATTGGTGCTATGCAGTGGAAGGACGAGGCGATGTCTACAGGAGGGGGTTTCACATATGGTGATAGATCCCTCGTGGTTGTCCTGCACTTGTTGGTGCTGCCCTGGCTGCTTCGGCTGTCCCTGGAGCTCGTGCTGTTGTTGTTGGTGCTGGGTCCTGGCTGCTTTGTCCCAGGCGCTGCCACGGTGTAACTCTCTTCTCTATCCCATGATTCCCTGCTCTTACATTGGCCTCTCCACCAGCCTTCTACCCTCAAGCATTTTTTTGCCCTTCATTCTTTTAAAGCGTCTTAAAATGCGCTTGCATTGAGACACGATATAAAATTAATTCCTGTTGCTGTTTTAATTTTTTAGTATTCTTATCACACAATTGTTTTTGTGCAGTCAACAGCAACTGGGTTGGGACTGTCATAATAAAAACATAGTTGAACCTGGTTTCACCAAAGGTGGCTTATAAGAGTTTAATATTTGAACCTAAGATATCAATAATGCTGACTCGGTGCCCCAACAATTATGAGCTAACAGTTGTAGACACCCAGCCTGATAATTAAAACATAATATTCTAAGTGATGTTGGCTGATTGCCTATAACAACCCCCAGGTCGCCCATCGGCTTATATGGATGCACAGTTTGTTCATTAAAGTTCACCAAATTTTCCTACCGCACGTAGCCTGCAGTGAAAGCCACTTTGGGCTTGTGGAGATGCCCCGCCAAAGGGAGAGGGTCATGTGACACGGTCCTTGACCAATCGGATTGCGGAAGGTGGGCAAAACGTGCTCGCAGTGCCGCAGGAGCCATATCATTGGCCACCGAGCGGGTCACGTGACTCTTGGAGGGGAGTTGATTAGCCGACTGGGATGATGAGAGAGACAAGGAAGACGAGGATGGGCGCGAGGATAAGACAGGCATGGAGGCCGAGGCTGGGATTTCGTCTGTGGGGACAGGGGGGGGGGGGGAGGGAGGGAAATGAAGATGCATAATGATGGGAGGAGGAGACAGTACGATGGGTGGAGATTGTGCTATTACAATCTCCATCCATATACCTGTGTCTTCCTCCCCAAGTCCCAGTCCCTTTGTCCATGTGTTCCCTCTAGTGTTGACATGTATTCAGTCTTCTTTTGTATCCGTAGGTCTCCTTCCAATGTAATGTATGTCCTCCCATGTTCCTGTGTCTCATCCCGTGTCACCATGCGCCCATGAATGCATTGTATGTTGCCTCCCATATCCCATGTGTCCTCCCGGGTCCTGTGTGTCTTTATATACCTTGACATTTCTTGCTATGTCCCTGTGAATTCTCCCGCATTCTGTCTGTCTACCCTACCCATGCTCTCACACCGTCAGCCATAGGATTTCAGGCAACCCTTTGTGTGGTGGACCCACTCCCTGGTCTCTCCCTGTGTCCCCATGCCTCATATACAGGTGTGACCCCATGTCCCACGTCTCTCCCCATTTCCCATGTCTTCCCCCCGTGTCTTGTGTCTCTCCCTGTGTCCCATCTCTCCGTACCGTCTCCCTGGCGCCCCTCTATCAGGCGGGCCTGCAGGGAGTTGAGGCCTGGGTTCTGGACAATATTGAAGCCGCACACTCTCTCTATTTCCTGCCAGCGATGGAGCCGCTCACGCAGGCTGTTGGTCACGTCATACAGCGCCTGCCTGGACATTCACCCACCACAACAACACAATAAAATTAAAAATTAATAACAAAACAACACCGTAATATGGCAAAAGACTACACAAAGAACCCACAAGTAATACAACACTCCATATAATACAGCATGACATAACACAACACACGATACAGTGTAACATAATACACTATATAAGGGGCTGTCCATAAATGACATAACGCGATTTTGGACGATTTTTTACCCCCCCCCCCCCTCGTCACACAGCATCACAAAAAGTCAGACCCCCCCTCAAATATGACGTCACAAAGCTCTGCCCCCCCCCCCCCCAAAAAAAAAAAACAAGCTTCAAATAACTTTAAACTATTGTCATTGTAGCACATATTTAATGTACTGCTGCACTCTGATGTTGTAGGAGAAAACAATTGAAAAAAAAGTCTATTTAATTAAGTATAACGTGTTGTCTATATTTATTTAAAGTTGTGCATTTTGATGCGACGTCACATTTATCAAACCCCCCTCGTCACACATCGTCACAAATGTCTGACCCCCCCCCCCCCCCAGGTGCATGACGTCATTTATAGACGGCCCCCAACTACACAGCACGAAATATTACACCACATCACACAACAGGACGTGCTACAGCACAACCAACTCCAACCCATGAGATTATACCACACAACATGAGGGTGGAAGTGATGTGGTGAACGATAGGCTGTGATGGGGTGAGTGAGGGGGTGAGTGAGGGGGCGAGGTCGTACTTAGCAGTGAGGATCTTGTGATCGACCTCGTCGAGGGAGGCGCTGTGAGCGATGTAGAATGCGCCCAGCACTGAGCTGCGCTTTCGCTGTACCTTCTCGGCCTGCATGGGCACCCGCACACACATGCACACGTACAATTCCGCACACAGACAAAAGCAACGCACACGCACCAATGCATGCCCGAGGCCATATGTGAGAGCTTCATAGCTCATTGGATTCCTCCAGTCTAAATAAAGATTGTGATCCTGATTCTAAGCTGGTGAGCGCATGCATACGTGAGTGTGTACTCGCATATGAGTGAATTCCGCTTGCGAGTATATCAGTGAGTATATCAGGGTGTAAGAAAAAACAACATTATTATGTGTTAATGAGCAAATGAGAGAAAGCTGCTAAAGACCGTCCGGCATGGCGTGGGCTTGTTGCGGCCTTATGCTCCACAGGGATCGAAAAGGAGTAAGCAAGTAAGTAATGAGCATATGCCGTTGAGTGTTCAATATCAGTGAGCGTGATGTGTGCTGGAGAATTTATTATTTGGCTCATGTTGTCATGCTGCAGTGATTGTTTCGTAAACACGTTGGGCTGCCAGTGCGTGTTAGTGAATCCACTGTGGGAATGTTAGTGAGTGTGTGTGTTCGTGAGCAAGAGGACATGTAAGTGTGTGGATGTCCGTGTGTGCATATGTATAGGTCGACTCCGCCTCAAATGAGTACCTGGTGCGGTGTACTGGGGAAACGAAGGCAACCGGGCATGGTGTTGGCCACCCATCCCCTCATAGGTGCTCACTAAGAGCACTTGTCCATACAGTCTGTTAAGGCTATATGGGAGATCTTTTTCTTTGTATGTGTTTGTGTATGTTTGTGTGTGGTTCAGTGCGTAAAGAATCAGCAATGGATTGACAAGGCGATTGATTTCCCACCTAATGACGATTGCTTGTGTTGCAGTCGAAACGTCGTGAGAATTGTATTGTTTAATATTTTTATTATTTTATTATTTCCCTTCTAAGTGACTGTACCGAAAGAACCAAGAATGTTTGTTTTCTCATTCATTTGTACCTGATGATGATTGCTTGTGTAGCAATCGAAACGTCGTATTATATTATTTTATTTCTACATGACTTTACCGAAATAACCAAAGAGTAATTCCTGCAGTCACGAAAGCTTCGGATCTGGCTTAAGACCTTGTGTGTCGGTGAGCAGCGCACACGAGCCTCACCATGTCACGGGCGACTGAGAGCTGGCGTTCAGCATGAGAACGAGCCGTCGCATGGTGCACCACCTCCATCTCATGCGTGAGCTGCAGCCACGCCTGCAGTACGCTCGGCTCATACTCCACCCGCTCACCCGCCACCCACTCGCCTCCCGCCCGCTCGTCCACCGCCCACTCGCCCAACGACCACTCGCCCTGCCCCTTCAACTCGTGCTCATCCGCGGGCTGGGCAGAGCACTCTTGTGCTCGCTTGGTCGCTTCCTGATGCAGCCGCATCTCCAGGTTCTGCTTTTCCTCCTCTGCCTGGCGCTGCTCCTCCTGGGCCTTCAGAAGCCTGTGCAGAGAGAGACAGCGAGATGGTGGCAGTGTCATCAGAAGAGAAATTTGATACCCGCGATCCAGAGCCTCACAGCGTCAGCCAGAGACATATCATCATCAGCCATCGAGACAAAGCATCAACTGTGTGTCTTCGGGTCCTAGTCTCTCTGTTTCCTGTGATTTCGGAAAGTCGAGGCAAGTTTATTTAACCAGGTGAGAATTCAAGAGACCAGGAGAGTCTCATTAGCAAGGGTGACTTGGATATTATTATATGACAATACTTTATCTCATGACCTGGTATCACAATTGCACAGTTGGATCAAAAACTGTGGTCCAAAGTTGTTAAATCGATGTCATGCACACAATACGTGATGCAACTTATCACCGTGTAAATTGATAAATCACTTTAGGCCCTGTGCAGCTCCAATTCCCATGAACCGTTGTCCCACAGTCTCCCGTGTCCCCACCTGGCCTGCATGTCGAGCAGACTCTGTTCTGCCCTTTGAAGGCTGTCAAGCTCGGTAGTAACGCGAGCAACGTGCTCCAGGGCACGACGACGCTGCACCAGTGCCAGCCAGCAGCCCGTCACAGCTGCCACCACCGCTACAGCCAAAGCCACATCCTTCACGCGGCTCCGCTGGGCCGCTGCTTGCACACACATACACAGACAGAAAGTGATTGGGAGCAATGAGATGTGAATGAAAAGGACGTGACAGCATGATAGAGTGTAATGTAAATCCTTTTGGTGTGATGCACATGTGTGTTGTGATGCGCAGTCATGGTATGAAGGACAGTCATGTGGTTTGACATGTAGCAATGTGGCTTCATGATAAATACATGTGCTGTGATGTATATCAATGTGGCTTGATATTTAGTCAATGTGATTTTATGTATGGTCATGTGATATGCAGTAATGGGATGCGGTGGGGAGGAATGGGGTGCGTAGACCTACACAGTGGTGCCCCGAACAGCACCACATCCAGGGCCTTGAGCTGCAGTTTGTGTCGGTGGCTCCTCTCCGGGATTTTCAGAATGGTGGTCATGAATGTGTGGTTGGTGATGGCCAACCTGGAACATACAAAGATAAATATCCCTCAAATAGCCTTAACAGACTGTTCGGGCATGTGCTGTTAAGCAAGCACCTATGAAGACCAGCACGGCATATAAAGGGGTGGGTGGGTGCCCGGCACCATTCCTGTTCGCCTGTTTCCTTCGTAGGCGATGTTTTTACAAATTGCACCTGGTATTTGAGTCCGAGTCGACATAGGGGAAGGCCAGGACTGGTTCAAATAATTGTCGGTGTTGGCCTTATGTGGTAACCAAACTCAGGTCGCTGGGTTCGTAGCACAGTGTGCAAACAACTGTTCCACCACTCCCCACTGAACATACACACACATATGCATGCAGGCAAATTCATACGTGTACACACATTCTGTATTACCACACCCTGAGTCACCACCTCACAGCCCAGCAGGTTTAGGAGTTTCACAAATCTCTGAGCTCTATCAACGCTTGATTCCAAAGCACTAGATCACAGGCATTTAATACCACTGCCAGCTGATAAGTGGTTGTAGGTCGTGGTGTGAAGCTCACACTCACATATGTAGAAAAACAAAGCTCCCCATATAGCCTGTAGAGGCAAGTGCTGTTAGCCAGCACCTATGAAGGCCGGCACAGCACACACACATTTGAGGCTGAGTCGACCTAGGGGAGGCCCATGACCGATTCAGATAATCATCACTGGTGTTGGCCGTGAGCGGGAATCGAACTGAGGTCGCTGGGTTCGTAGCGCAGCGCGCTAATCGCAACACCACCGCTCCCCACATACACTCACATTCACACACACGGCCATAACGCATACTATCAGATACACAATCATACACTCGCTTACACATGCATGCACACAAACTAGCACAAAGATATTCCCACAAATATAAGACATCACAATGATGTAATGTACCCATTTCAACATTCAGAAGTCATGCCACTTTTTCAGAGCAATCTGAAACTATTTATTTTCCGGATAATCTAAAATTTAATTTCACAAAATAACATGGATTCATCAGATGTTAGTGAATCCTCTCAGAACTGAACTCAGAGTACACTGAAATTTGGGGAAGCTGGAAAAACTAACCCAAACCAATAAACAAAGAGATATCCAACCGGAACACTATTTACTCTCTAATTAAGCTGTGCTCGGGATATGGCTTGACAACCGATAAAAACACGATCTCTAACCATTAGCTTGTGCACTGTAAGGTCTAAAGTCCCACGTGTTGTATGGAATGTTGTAAACCCATGCCCTTGGGATGCTCTCAATAATCTACATTCTCCATTTGTGCCTTTGTTTTTTTACTGTTATTTTACATTTATATTATGAATACATTAATTCTTCAAACATGTCAATTAATATCTTCAGCCTCTCATATATGGTGAGCCTCAAGCCTTCCATCTCTGCTTCATGGTGACTGTCAGTGACTGATTAAACTGCATTCATTTTAAGTGGTATTAAATTGTAAATATAAAATTGTAATTATTTTGAGAATAGGTTTTCCAATTTTAATTGCCAAAACAGGTGTTAAGATCTAAAAACACCAAACTGAAACCTTTTACAAAGAATCATGTCTGCATTAACCACAAAACTAGTGGTCAGAATGCAAACAAAAAACACACTGATAATATATGCATTGTCTTTGAAACGGATTGGTCCACACCAGAGACATCTTTCTTTGGAGCCTAGTCTAAAAAGGTGTTAGACCAGAGGACGCCAAAAGGCGCCAAAAGGCGTCCTCTGGCATTGTGAGGCCCTCATTCAGCAGTGGAGTGACAAAAGGACTGTATGTGTACAATGAGCGCTCACCTAGTTGAAGATATGTCAATAATGTGTATAAGCTGAAATTCAAACATGTACATCAAAACACATATAGAGGTAACAGTAGGCCCAGCACCGTGACCACAAGGTTACCTTTGGCTCCAACATACCAGTGTTCATTTGTTCTTGACCAAATACATAAACACAAGTACCTCCCACCCATTTTAGGCTGAGTTTGCCTAAGACAGAACATGTTTGTGCACACCTGGGGAGACTCGGCCCGTCGATGTTGTTCTCGAGGAAGTTTTCCAGGTACTGGGGCAGCTCCACCATGGTCTCCAGCCACAGTGCCACATCCTGCACTGTCCAATTGTAAACTGAGGGGGGCAGACAGACACCACAATAATAACAACCGATGGTTCACACTAAGGCCATGTAAAGTGTTGTAGGCTCACTCGCAGGAGGCAACTGAACAGGGTCAGGTTTTATCGCATCAGTCACATAACTGTTTTAAATTACTGAGGTGACTGCTCCTCACTGTGTCATCTCCCTCGGCTGGTATGCAGAAGCTCAGGGGTTGAATCCTGACAATGCCTGAATATTTGGAGTTTATTTGTTTTCCCCGTGGTCGCGTGGATGTTTCTCCGGGTCCTCCGGTTTTTCTCTCCATATTCAGAAACATGCATTTGGATTATTTGGCTGCTGCTATAACTTTCCAAATGATAAGCCACTTTGTTGAGCTATCATTTGTGGCCAGGTTGCTTCTGAAAATAGCTAATAGCTCAGTGGGTTTTACCTGATAAAATAAATACAAATTATTGCTGTGCTGTATCTGTCCAGGGCTCTGCTCATTGTTTTGAGTGTCACTCCTATGCACTCTGTTGCTATTGGAGGGTGCCTGTCTGCAACTGCTCAGCAGCGTTTTTCACGACTCCACTCCACAAAAGCTGAATTTGACACCGCTAGTACAAATCGTTCGCAGGTCCACTCAGCTCCGTGTCCTGCTGTACCATATCTGCCCATCTCATCTTAAGCACATACCATGCCCATTTAGGCCCATTGAGCCAAACAAAGTATGCAATAGGCATGCAGTGGCTGGGCATGGAAACAGAAGTCTAGATTATTTACAATATGCAAGTTCATCACACAATCTAGTCTTGTCAAATCAACAGTTGATCATAGGCTGGCCAGCCTAAACGTTTCAAGCCAGCGCAGGCGTTCTTTTAAATGGGTGTATGGTTCACAAGTTAAAAAAATTTGAGCATTAATTGTGGCCGAGAATACCCAGAGGTTCTTGTGCAGCAACAAGCTAAGTAGCTTTCACACATTGTTACGTAGCCGATAAAACGAAATTGCAAATTAACCAATTCGAGTGAGAATGTGCAATGAGTCCAGGTAAAAGCACTGCATTCAAGATTGTGAGTGTGTGTGAGTGTACCATCAGATGCAAGCCAGGCTGCCCACATCTCTTTAAGCGTTATTGTCTGGTCTCCGCCGTGGAAGCGACGATGTTGTGTGGCCGGGTCGCTGTACTCCATGTCCTCACGCAGGAACTTGGATGTACAAAGACAAACACATACACACACACGTCTTTACATCACCAGGCGATGGTGGTGTAGGCATATAATCCAGTACTGTGAACGCAGTGAGGGATGGTGGATCACACAAATCATGTTGGTGTCAATGTGCATTACCCTTACTTGCCAGGAGAAGGCGCTATAAAAAATGTGGACTCCACCTTTTCCATCTGCATGGGATAAAGTGTTTCCCCCTCACACGTGTCGGTTTTCTCCAGGTGGTCCGGTTTACACTAACATGTAAACACTAATTAATTTACCAATAACACTTTAATATATAGAGGACCACAGAGCTTTGGTGAAAATTGGTACCAGCTCACCACCTAAATACCTTTATTTGTATGTATGTTAAACTTTTCTAGTGTGTGTACTGTGTCCAAGACATTATTTTTTATTATTAATCATACGAAACGGAACACCAAGTGGTGCTCGTTACTATTGAGACGGTCATGGCACACAAGAGGGTCATGTGACGAACACCATGCCTAGGCGCATTTGTCTCCCCGATGCTGATGTAAACACGCTTCATCAAAGACTAGCTTACGGTTGAGTAGCCACACTACGAGTGGTGCGGATCAGGATAACTCGTGTTAGGTTGCAAAGAATTAAACCTAAGTTCTCAGGACTGCACCTGTGCAGTCTTTCTGTAGGCTCTCTGCGGGGGGCAGGATTTCAGTCCCTTAACTAAGGGCAAATAGGCTTTAGCCTGGGGATGTCATGGACACCTGTACCCAACACTCACACATACACATTTACATACACACAATGCTAGTGAGGCTTGTGTTGGTGAAATCCTTATGCCATTTCCCCGTCAAGGTGTGAATGATGCTGGCAATAATGACAATTGTGAAGTTGCCGATGATGGTATGTTGATGATGATGAAGTAACTGGTGTAATTTGTGTTGATGATATTGATGATGACAACGATCATAATGTTTTGATCGTGACAGTGACGATGATGTTGCTTACGCCGTCGCTCTCCCTCGTGTCAATGGTGCCGTCGTCATCATCGTCCATGCGCGCGTGGATCGAGCTCACGGCATCGAAGCTCAGTTGTGTTGCGGGGTCCACATTGCATCCGGGCAGAGGACACTTGTCTGCACATGAGAAGCACAGGAAAACAACAAAATGCTAAACAACACGTGTACACACACAACAGACAAACACAAGTGGCTTTGATATTACTCTAAAAGATGAGTGTAACCATCAACCGCATCAGAACATCAACAGGCCAATGCACACATCTCCTTCATGAATTTAAAATTAAAAACAAGTCACAGTGCGATTGTGTCCATGCAACCCAAACCTATGGATCATAAAGTAAACCAATGTAGTCTGCGCTCCTTCAGTGGAAAAATATCTAAACTAGACAAACTTTCTCCTGAAGCCATCTCGTGGCTAGCAGACCTCAACATTTGAATTTAGCTACTGAACATATTTCCATAGGCAAGAATAAAACAATTAGCTAGAAGTGCATACATCGGCCTGTACAAAGACACAGATTCCCCCTTAAAGCCTTAACAGATTGTTGGGGCAAGTGCTTTAGCAAGCACCTATGAAGGCCGGCACGACACACGAGGAGGTAGGTGGCCAGCACTAAGTCCGGCCGTCTTAGTCTCCCCAATGGCACAAAGTACTCATTTCAGGCTGGGTCAACCGAGGGGAGGCCCAGGACCAATTCAGATAATTGTCACTGGTGATGGCCATGGGCAGGAAAACAACTCGGTTCGCCCGGGTTTGTAACGCAGCAATCTGACTGCTGTACTACATATGTAGAGAGCACAGGGATTCTATTTTATTTCGCATTTATATCGTGCCCTTTCCAGGGCGCTATATAATACACACGATGAACAGAATGCAGAGGTACACAATACACCTGACATGGGCACACAGGTCTATACAGATCTATCAGCCTCATATCTCACAAACTTTATAACTGGCACATACATTTCGCAGCCTTAAAACAACAAAATTACATGTGGCAAGAAGTGGTACTCTTTGAGGATGGTGTCAAACTAAGGATTTTTCATTCCGGAAGCTTCAACAATTCCACCTGTTTAACTGTGAAAACTGACGATTGTACTTAAATAATATCTGGCTCAACTGTTCCCACAGATTTTTGTATCAAAAAATCATAGACCAGATTTTCATGCAATCACAGACCTTCCTTGACTTTCAATAGATGAAATACTATCAGATGCCACTTCATTTGACTTTGTATAGGTTTAAGGCGTTATGGTTTAGGGATAAAAGCTTATGGATGGGTAACTGCTTGGAGAGTCTCATTGTAAATGTGTGTTGAGCTCTAGTGTCTCGTCAATGAGCCATAAATATGCCTTTAATGGTCTCTGATTTAATATCCAGTACCATGGCCAAGCACATACATATATGGATTTCACAACAGGGGCATTGCAAATCCTTTTTTTTATTTCAGCAATTGAGGCGTGCTCTGGATATTGTTGGACAGTTGTTCAAACATGCGTTACATATTGTGGGATGTGTGTATTTGCATACCAGAATGTAGGTGTTTATGAATATGGCCTTCAAAAGTGTTAACGAATAGCATCTGCCCCAACAGTTTGTATGGCGAAAGGGGGATATTTTTCTTTGCGTGACATGGCCCATTCGTCCGTGTGCTCACGTCAGTAAGCACGCACACAGCTACTTATAACCTGGGTGCAAAGTTTCTGTAAGTACGAGTGTTGTGTATGGTGTACAGTATTACCATGTACGTTATGAAGTGTTCACGTGTTATGTCTGTGTATGTGTGCATATCTAGTACTTGTGTGTGCCTTTATATACCATACTGTATATGTCTTTCGTAAATGCACATCAGTGTGTGGTTACAAAGCAGAAGTGCAGTGGTTAGTGCACTGTGCTACGTACCCAGCAACCAAAGTTCGATTGCCGAGTAAGATAAATAACAGTGACAGAAAATATTTTAACTGGCCCTTGGTCTACCTTAGGTCTACTCAGCTTCAAATGAGTACCTCGTGCAATGTGTTAACTTCGCCACTGGGGAGACAAAGGCAGTTGGGCGTGGTGCTGTCCACCCACCACCTTCTATGCCGTGCCAGCCTTCAAAGGTGTTCACTAACAGCACTTGCCCTAATATACTGTTACATGTTAAAACTGGGGATCTTTCTTGAATGTATTTTTTTCATATCATTGTGGGGATCAGTCGTAGTAATTATGGCACTGCACTATAAACCCAATTATATTCCTGCTGACACGGCCAATATCAGCGGCGATTTTTCTGAACCAGTCATGGGCCTCCCATCGGTGGACTCAGCTTTAAAGGAGTACACGTGTGTAAACATTGGCACTGGACAGACAAAGGTGGTCGGGCATGGTGTTGGCCAGGTCAACTTCACATGCGCCAAGCCGGTCTTAGGTGGTCTTAAGTGCTCGCGAACAGCCCCAACACTGGGTGTTCTCTCTGTACACACAGGCTTCACGGATTAATTTCCGTTTGAAGGAACTGAGGCAATAAAGCACACGGATGTGTGGTCCCATAAAGTGACACTCACAAATATTTAAAAGTAAATTCACCCCTTCCCCCACCACTCACTGTTAACGGACACTTATTGAGGAGACATTGGGGAGGTGGTATATTCTATGCTTGCGAATGGCAATATGTTCAGGGAGTAAGTGCCAATGTAGAGGTCTGCTCGCCAAAAGAAGGCTTCAGGACCGAGTTTGTGTAGTTTTAGTATTCCTCCATTAAAGGAGCGCAGGCCACGGTGGTTTATTATACCGTCCATAGTTGTTGGTTGCATGGCGACAATCGCACTGCGGCTTGTCTTAAATTGTCCACATACGAAGGAGATGTGCCCATCAGCCAGTTAATGTTGTGATGTCTTTGATGAACGTCAACGCCAGGTGTGCGATGTATGGGGTGGTGTAGGAAGCACTACGTCCAGCCATCGTTGTCTCCACAGTGCTGATAAAGTAAAACATATTCAATACGGACTCGAGTAACCTGGAACTTGATTAAGTCGGAAAGGCGACCAAAACTGTTTGTAAAAATATAAGGAAATTTTTGTAAAATAAATACTTCTACCAAAATACTGTTTGTGGGCTAATTAAGCTGTGAGCGGGAGAACATGGCATTAAAACACAGTTTGTGGGATAATTAAGCTGTGAGCGGGAGAACATGGCATTCTGCAGTAATCCTCATTGCAAGTCGACCACACGTCTCTATGCTAATCATGTGCAGGAATTGGAAATGTGCTTATCAACACTGGGAATTGCAAGCCGCTATAGCACAACGATTGTCATAAATACATTATTTGGTGATGCTGCTGAGTTAGCAGTGGTATACAAGCACAATAAAAAAAAACTCAATAGATTATAATCAATAACACGGCTTTAAAATATTCTTATAATTAGGTAACATTTCAGGAAATGCCCCTTCTTTATAATGGTATGCATACTTTTTTACGTGCTATGGAAAATGGCTATTGCCATGTCACCGATTACTGAATATATTTTGACTTAAAGCTTTCGTGACTGCAGGAATTCATACTCTTTGGGTCTTTCAGTAAAGTCACGTAGATAGAAAAATAATAAAATAAATCACGACGTTTCGATCGCAACACAAGCCATCGTCTTCGTGAATTTAAAAAAAAAAATTCTATCTATGTGACTTTACCGAAAGACCCAAAGAGTATGAATTCCTGCAGTCACGAAAGCTTTAAGTCATGATTTAACCGCCTTTGCGGGGAGGGTTTCCACACAACCATTAGATGTTTTAACAAACTCCGAGACAAGAAGATCCATCTGATCGAGTCGCTCACTTCCCTGAAGAGAAGCCGCGACACCAAGATCATACCAATCGCCTTTATTTTTGTTTGCATTCTGACCACAAGTGTTGTGGTTAATGCAGACATGATTAGTCGAGGTATACCTAGCTCTGCGATCTTACATTGACTTGCAAATTCCATCTCTAGCCCCGTCCACTTACCCTTGGGTTGTACCCATCTCAAACATTTCTGACCTTTAGCTGCAGCAGCTCTCTCGCTATGTTTCTTCCTGCCTCAGCAGTCCGCCTGCTGTATTTTTTCGCCTGAAGACGATTGCTTGTGTTGCGATCAAAACGTTGCGATTTATTTTTATTTTTCTATCTACGTGACTTTAACGAAAGACCCAATGAGTCTGTATATATTTTCTTTTCAAGGCCGTGCTTTTGACCATTGTAATAAACAGAGGTGGGACAAAGTCATTGTTATGCAAGTCCAAGTCGAGTCTGAAGTCATCAAATTCATGACTCGAGTCTGACTCGAGTCCAAGTCACATGACTCGAGTCCACACCTCTGGTAATAAATACAATTGATGTATGCTTATGCACTAGAAAATCAAAAGCTACAAATTCACCTCTGCTTCAATGTCTTGGATGAAACTGTACAGTAGTAATATCACTTGTTACTGAATTGTTAATCTTAAATTCTCAAGAATAGATCATTCTTATCAAGTAATTGATTGTTAATTAAATGTGTTAGGCGTTAATTACCTGTAAATATAATTGCTCGTTTGTAGAACTAAAATATGAACTATTTGCAGTATGTCAGACATCCCCCATAACTGGAAAGGCTGTCTACCTAGCTAGCTTTGAGAAGTTTTATTATATTTACACACTGCACCAAGTACTCATTTAGGGAAGAGTTGACCTTAGGGAGACCAAGGACAGGTTGATATACTAACTGCCACAAATATTATCCATAGCAGGGAATCAACTCCAGAGTAATAGAACCGTAGGGCAGTAAAAAAATACCAATTGCACCTCATCACACACAAGCCTTCTGACATTTACCGATACAGCAACTTCAACATTTACATTGTAAAACCATTCACGAGACACGACCTTTAAAAACAAATCCTTACTGGCATAAGCACACAGACTCACTACCAAAAATATGTTGACACAAAAGATGATGACAAACAACTCCTGGTCTGAAAGCTGTTCTGACAAGTGCTGGTTTAAACCATTAATAATCTCATACATATTCACTCACACACATTCTTGATTACCACAATGTGTACAAAATGTTTACAACAACCCACACCCACACCTACATACACAGAAAACGTGACACAC